GGGGGTCACGTGACCACACCTACCTTAAATCAATCAGCTATCAAAAAATAATGTCCAGAAATGGAAAGAGGGGATCAAAATAGTTAAGAAGACAAAGTATCAAGTCTCAACACTAAACACTTCAAAATTGATAGCAAATATAACATTTTTTTCTAGAGGCTTGCTCTCCAGTACTATTTTCCCATACGTTTCTTTAGAAAAATATTTTTACATTTGTTGCCATTTTTGGAGTATTTAGACTTGAGACTTTGACATTTTACGAACATAAACCTGCTCTTTCCATTTGCATAATTGGTGTCTTTGATCAAAATTGCGTATGATTTCTAGATAGTTAGATTCATATCCATGTTTGAATAGTTTGTAAAATTCTAATTTTTTGGATTGGTTTCATTGAGATTTCCACGTTTCGAAATAAAATGTTTCCATTTTGTCGTGGCAATCTGTTACATGTATGGTACATTTGGACACTATGAGCATACAGCTATTTCAAAAAATGTTGTCAGGGAAAACGGTGAACAACGATTGTCGAAGGGAGATTGAACGACCAAAACGGACTATGGTTACACTGTTTTGATAAAGAAAATTTCACCTATTGGGTTCACATTACATTGAAATGGAGACTAAATGGAGGTAATGGAGACAATGCTTTCCACAGACAATCTGAAAGTATAAATCACCTGTTATTGTCTTTCAACTAGCAAAACCCAAGGCTACTTTCGGTCGTGCAATCGCCGTTCGACCATTGACATTCGCCATTTTGTCTGACAACCTTTTTTGAAATAGCTATCTATATGCCTGAGAATTGGCCATTCCGAAATTCAAAAGGAGACTGGGAACGAGTGTGAAAATATTACATTCATCGAAAACTGAACCTCACCACATGAAAGACCACACTAAATAAGTGTTCTTGTCAAGTTTGAGCATATTTGGTTGAATACTCACCGAATAGGATTTTTTTCAAATTTGTAAAAATAAGAGAATGTATGTTTTTTGGGGTCGCTGCTCAAAACCTCCATACGTTCTTTGTAATTTATTTTTTCGAGTTTTAAACGCATGAAAACTCAAATTATTGATCTGAATACTCTCAAGAGATCCCGGAGACTGCATTCCACAAATCCTAAAACTCGAATCCTAAAACTCGAATCCTAAAACTCCAATCCTAAAACTCCAATCCTAAAACTCGAATCCTAACTCGAATCCTAACTCGAATCCTGACTCGGAAAATAGGTATCCTCGTATCATGACCTTGGTTGATCACCGCTTTCTGTGACAAATACTCTTAAACATATCCAATATTTCATTAAAGGCAAAGATAAGACTTATTAAAGAGATTTGAGGCTTTATTCATATTATGGTAATTTCAGCTCACAGACATACATAAGTATTTAAAATCAGTTACAGCCGTTCATCATATTTTTTACCATGGAAAAAATACCCAGAAGACCGAAAACACACCTTTATTTTTAGGTTGACGATATCTCAATCTAACTTTTGAACTAGATGTAAAGTGTCACTACCCGATAATTTTTTTAACGTAAATTTATATGCGGGTAAAGGTAGATAGCGTCCACTCCCGTGTCCACCGTATTTATACAAGTACGCGTCTCCGTAGATTCCTGTATGCACCCTTGAGAATGGACATTTCTGTATACGATGTGTCTCTGGAGTATATGTTGATTACGTTTGGACATTTTTATCCGGATATTGTTTTATACGATTACACAACTAACATAAAAAAAAACATTGCAATCACTACGGACGTTCTTTATGATGCGCATGCTAAATTGACGTATCCTTTCAAAAGTCCAGCTAAAGGGACGCAAATATTTTATGATCCGAATAAAAAAATCCGGGAACAAAAACATATGGACTCTTTATGATGGACGGGACTTTTGTGCCATTTAAACTGTTCAAGTTCTACGTTTACTCAAAATCCTTCAGGAAATACTATCTGTGAGAGTGGCTGTTTCAGATATCTTTACATCGTTGTTATTCGAAAGTCACTAAATCAGAAACGAAAAAGATTCCGATTCCGTTGTGACTCTTCTACCGTTTGATTGATCGCACGTCCTCTGAAATCTCTTCAGAAAACTGCTGCTTTTACTGTGGAAGCAGAGTCAGAAACATTGACAGAAGTGCCTTGCGATGAAGACTAACTCGACATCTACCAATGAAAACAGGAAACGTCCTGAAGCGATCTGTACTAAAATTCTATCAGTACTTGGAGTTCGCTTGCATTACAAATGACGTCCTTAATCCTTTTTAGTTTCCTTTAAAGATCTTTTAGATTTGATTGTTATTGAGTGTTGTTGATATTTTTTGATTTTAGATTGATTATTTTGTTCATTATGAGTCATGTTACTGAAGAACGTAACGTAAATTTCACTACGTACCTTGATGAGTTCCACAATAAATCTGTTGAGTTGTTTCACTTCTCAACCAGTGCAAAGATCAAATCAAGTATTCGATGAAAACACAGAAACATTTATCAGTAATATATCAGTAATCAGGGCTCCCATAGCCCTTTAGGTCCTGACGGGGTTACCAGGTTATATCTATCTAATTATTAGCCGGATGCTAGAAGCTCAGAATGTTGTCTTTCAGATTCCGTCTGTGAATGAAAAATGTAATGCGTTCGTCGACTTTAAACTCATTTATCAACGTTCCTTTTTTGTTCTTTACGCACAAATGCAGGGGTATTAATTTCTTTCAAGTAGGACAATTAAACACTCTAAAAGTGCTGAAGTAATGTTATGTAGGGCGACAAAATACACTTATTAGCATGACACATAATTCAATAAACGAAAAAAACTTAATTATCATGACAATCATTAAACTTCGCGGGAGAAAGAATGTCCTCTGCTTTGAAAAAGGACACATCGCACATATTGACACTCATTAATATTTTTAATGATTTTATGTGAACGACTGGCAGCGACATGTATGACAAGATATAATATACAAACGTTGGTTAGTTCAAATAACGTTTTTGAACAAGCAGAGACCGAATGGTTACATAACAGTACGAGCAATTGCATAGAAAATAATTAAAACTCTTGGTAGTACGACTTGTTGTGTGCGACTTGATGCGCCCTATGTAGAATTTATTATTCAATAGTCCTGGACCCCCCCCCCCCCTTCTTTTCAGCTTTTCAGAGACGGGGGAAGTCTGTTGCATTGTTGTGGCATGGAATAACTACAAAATCAGCCCGTGTTCTCAACACAAGAAAATATCGTGAGACAACAAAATATTAGTCTACGAAAGCAGATAAACTGCTTACAACAGGAATTTAATTAATTTCTTTTATTTATATACAATAACTATGTTTTTGATCAATATTTTTTGTTAGTAATAAAACTGGAGATTCATATGTAAGAGTTTTACCTGTACAAGAAAATTTTATTCTAAAAAATACCCAGAAATGTAAATAAATGGTACTAAAAGTCAGCTTATGGATATCAATTTGGTAGATAGTAATGTTACGAAGTCTGAAAGAAACAAAAAAACAACCTGGCAACAGTTCAATTCCAATCAAGACAATGATCTATTTTCCTACATTTTTAAGTTCTTCAAACATACAAAAAAGATCGATTGACGATTCTTGCGGGAACGCATGCGTTGACTTGATAGCATTTCGCAGAAATGTTGCTGTTTCACATGTAATGTTGTTGTTTTTTTGTCATTTTTTTTTTTTTGTCTTTTTTTTTTCTAAGGTGCCTCTATCAAAATTTCTGTCTTTGTCATGGCGTTATGGCTTTGACTGAAGCACTTGTAGTAGGAAAATGAAAAAAAGAAATTTCATATCATCCAATATGGTCTAGCAAGCATCACCAACTAAGCATAGATTATTACATCGTATCTTATAGTTCTATTGCATGGTAATCATCGTCCGTTGTGCGTAGAATCTGTAATTGATTTTTTCTTCCATCTGTACAAGCATACCATAATAATAAGATCAATAAACTCGCATATTGTCAAGAGACTGCAGCCAAGAAACAGACCCATGTTGCCACCAATATCCGCTGAAAAAGAAGAACAATTTCATTTAATTATCATTTGTGTTGTTTAACGAACATCATTTTGTTATACACTTCTTTCCATTTCTGTTCTTTCTTCAATTTTGTTCAGTTTTTTCATGTTTGTCCATTGTTGTACTTCTCTTTCATTGTCAGTGCTGATGTGGGTGATATATTGTATGACTTTTATAGTCCAGTAAATCCCACTGAGATTGAATATTGTTATATGATTATATCTATTTTTTACTCCTTTCCTTTTTTCTCTTTTTCCCTTTTTCCCATGTATTCAGTTTTCATTATATTCTGTACTTACAACCGAGTTGGCTGACCCCATAGGAAGGTTTTTCCTCTGTTACATCTGTAAGTAGGTTTTCATAAAACACAGTCATTACAGCGATGCGTTTCCTGAAAAAAGGATGAGAAATTCAGAAAGAAAGAATATAAACTTTAACTATTACTGAAGTATGAACAATGAACCTGCTGCTAAAACATTTTTATCTTCCTTTAAATCAAGTGTTCGTTACCTCGCTTCTGTTTGAATTTTTGCTTTTTGTTGAGGATCAGAAGCATTCAGCCCAGTAAGTTGTGCCATTACCGGAAGTAGAGTATCCCAGAGATGCGCAGATGGATAATAGGCGATGGACGTTTTAACATTGTAATTAATGGCTTCACATTCTTGAGGACAACCACACGTCACTGGACTGATATCTTGAACTAATGATATTGAATTAGCATATAGGAAATAATTTTCTAAAATATTTAGGATACTACGCGCGCTGTGATTGGTCGAAAACCATGTTTGATTACAGTATCAAAACACGCTCGCGCGCGTCAAAAATTTCTTTTTTCCCGCCGTTTGCATTTGTTGTTGTTATCATTCATTTTCAAGAACAATGAACGAAGAAATGCCTATTTATGATGTCCTCTGGGATGATATCCCAGAAGAAGAGCTATCAAACGTTTTAGAAGCTACAGAAGCTGCAGAAGCTACTTCGAGATTTGCAGAGATAGACGACAGCCACATATCGTATTTCAGAATTCTTTACAATTTTCGTATTCTTTTAATTTTAGAAAAGAAATAAAAGACGAAATTTCGTGTTTGATACTCTGATCAAAACACTTGGGATGTAGGGAGAGCACTCGAAAAGCTTCTCTCGTGCTCTCCCTACATCCCGCGTGTTTTGATCAGAGTATCAAACACAGAATTTCGTCTTTTATTTCTTAAATCAATACTGTATTAAATGTCTGACTTACGAGATTTTTTGAATGCTTGGAAAATGCATGTGATGATCTCAGTTGTGTTGCAAAATCTTGTGACGTTGATACCTTAAAAAATGGAAATGATGAGAAATTACCCATAGTACACCGCATCAGTGCAACCGTGAAGCAAACGACCACATTTTCATAATTGTCACCTAAACGACTACATCACACTATGCAATGGTCTGACATTGCTGCCACCTCTAATCAAAGACCAAAGAAGCTGGGTTACCTCTGCACAAGGACCCCTGGTACAAAGTGATCAGCCATACAATAAATAGACGAACCCAGTATCTCAAAGCTGCTGGAATAGTGACCTCGTTATCGTATACAACTATAACATTATTTAATTTCCTCTTATCATGTCTTACCTTTCTCAACCATGCTTAATACTCGGCAATTACACTCATCGACCAATTTTTTTGATATACAGGTATGGAAGCAGCCTGACTGGGAATATTTGGCAAAGTTTTCCAGCTCTATTGATGAACAGTTTGTTTCGTATGGTGCTTTTAGAGAGATGGTCTAGAATTAAAATACATCAATATCAACCTAAGTAAATGCTAGGTTTTTTTACATCAGCACATGCATTTAACGTACAGCCGCTGTCCAATTATGCTGTTGGATCAAACTGTTGAACATTCTGAGGAGTTCAGTTTAAGTATGGTCCAGTCACTATAGATACTTTTGCCAGTGACTTCCTTAACTCTTCTAGCATCAAAGACTCACCTTGGTTCGTTTGATTCTAATACTGGTATAAAACCCAGGAGGTACGTCATAACCTTCATTATCAATGTCGTGGTATGTCCCAGGTTCGTGTATTGCTACCTTAAATCCTGTTGCATCGTAGCTGTACGGTCCATAATACTCTTCTGGCTGAGTGTCGAGTTGAAGCGTGAAACCTTGTCGTTTGCCTGAGCCTACCAGCATTTCGCTTGACCCGTTTGCATTGAACGTGTAGCAAAGTCCAAACTGTGAGAAAATGGTAGTTGATGTGAAATTGTCATGAAATTAACCTCATGATGACAAAACCCTCGGACTCAATATGAACTGGCGACAGTGTGGTAGCTATTATATAAACATGTTTATCAGGTCTCCTTTCTCCAAGAAAATTATTTTTTTTTTACCAGACTTGTGTAAATTCTCTCGCTGGCTGATTGGCTGATTAGAGTGCGTGCACACTGTGCTGACAACATCATGTCTCGCGCTCTCAATTGAAAGAAAACAATGATTTTTGTTAATTTTTAGACTAAAAATGTGGTAAAAAACACATTACGCACGGTTTTGAGTTGTATGTCCTCTTATTAACACACTCTTGACGTCATAAAGTGCTCAAAATTTGGCAGTGAATCCACTCGCTACGATCGTGGATCCACTTGATTTTGAACATTTTATGACGTCAAGAGTGTGTCAATAAGAGGACATACAACTCAAAAAATCATGTTCACGGATGTTTAGTGCCAAAGGTGTTGTTTTTTTAGTCATATATTTTGAAATTCTTATATTATTTAATGGTTGTAGTCGATTTCTCCGTTACTCACCGAGTAAGATGACAGCGCAGGTGTGAAGTCGTTAACTGCTGAACATTTCTCTCCAGTAAATTCACATAAGTGAACCATTTCCGTCAGTTGATGACCAGTCTTTTCGAGCATCTTCTCGACGTCAAACGATGGCACCTCCTTTTGCTTCAAACCACCAACAGACAACTTTAGCGAGTCAAGTTGATCCAAATAGTCCTGTGCAATTGTTCCCATGATTTGACTTTTTCTCATCATATTTTGATTGCATATTGTGACTGCAGGGAATGGGAGACTCTTCGAGACTTCGACACTTTTTCGTACGGTAAACTCGTTGGCGTAAAGTTTAGTAAGACTAATATATATCTGTGCAATGAGGAGTCCAAGACCCAAAATGATCAAAAGCACCCACAAAGTTCGTCTCCATATTGATCCTGAATCCAAGATAAAATGAAAGCCATGAAGTGTTGTGTAAGAACCGAAATCCTCGATAAGTTTTTGCTCTTTGTTGCTGGTTGATGATTTTTCTGATTCTTGTTTTGGTTTATCATTAGTCTCGAAGGAAGGCTTAAACGTTTGCCATAAATTGTCTGAGCTCGTGTAGTTTTGCATTTTGACCTCCATACTCTTCAATTCTGAGGAATCGACGATTAGAAACGTTTATACATAATAATCAATATTTTTTAAATTCATGTAAGTTACCAAAGAATTATGATTAAGATTCTTCACAAAGGCGCTGCATGTAGTCAGGGATTCGATGGAGTTTGAAGGGTATTATGGACGCTCTAATGAGCACTCACACAAATTATTAGTTATTATTGCATAACGTTGTTTATAATGTTAAAGATAATGCTGACAATACCAGTGATGAATTTTGTAATGACAGCGATTATCATTAATAATTATAATGTTGATCCATGTGATTTGTGTTGGTCAGTTAAAGGCCAGTAGTGTCTAGATAATCGTTCGCAATAGATCGCCCCAACATTAAACTCGTTTTGCATTGTTTTCAGTTCTCTTGAGCAAATTAGTACAACGAAAAAATGACTTTTCAGGCAATACAGACGATCCTGACGATTAAATGGACACTATTAAGTTCATTACATTGCTTAGGTTTGGTTTCTTTACTTTTCTTTGATAATAGCAAACAGAAATGAAAATTTTATGACTATATTTAGTAGTTCATGTACAACTGTTTGTACTTAATAATTCCCATGCTTGTTATCTAAAGTGTGAATTAGTTTTAATTACTAAATTAGGCGCCAAGAAATCAGATTTAATACATTTCCTTGTCTAAGAACACTAGCACTTTTTTTATGAAATATCCTGCAGAATTGCAGTCCACATGATTCTAGTGTCATATTGTCTGATGTGTCTGTCCAATTATGATTATATTTTGTTTGCGGCTACTTTTTCTTCGCCGCTAATTGTAATAGAACACATTGGCTTAGAAAGGTGTTCCAATACTCCAATTTCAAGTTCCTGTTTTGCTCTGTGTCAGACTGAAAACCAAGCAACATATTCTTTTGTTTCATTGATAGCCCGCGAGAAAACGCATGAATGAAAGACAACAAAATTGATTTGAAATCTCGCACTTTATATGCTCAATATTTTGCACACAAATGAGGCTAACACAGACCAAATTGGACGGTATTGACTACAGGACGATACGGAAATAGCTATGACTAACTAAGAACTTGTGCTTGATCAACTTTCAATTTTTCAGATTTCCCATAGATTTAATTTATTTTTGTTTATTTATCAAATACTCTTGTCATTGCATTGTCATGAGCAATGGCGTTTTTGTTTTGTTTTTTGGTTATATTGTTTTGGTGAGAATCTCCACGGAGAACCTCAAGTTCGCTCGCTCACCCGTGGCTTTTTCTTAGACTGCTGCTATTAAATATCTCATGAAATTCAGCAAAATAAAATTCTTAATGAGAATCGAGGCTTTATTTTATGACTTGTAAATGATAGTAATATTTTATTGTTGTCTCATTTCAGTGTCCGTCGGCTTTAAAATGCTGTTTAAAGTATTTTAGACTCAAAAGAGTTGAAAAAATAAAAACACGAAGAGGAGAGTGGTCAAAAACGGAGAAGCGGCTTACCTGAAATGTTGTGTTGTTCCCAGTGTTAATATCTCTGTCACTTAGCAAAAAGTACAAAACTGTTGATCCAAGTTTTTACATAAACTACCAAAAGTCTGGATCAATTACAGTTTTATCATATATTCAATTTGCTGTTTCTAAAAACATCCCACAGAGACTCAAAAGCATTTCTCCGTTATGTAATTTTTGAAAATTTTGTCACTGAACCACTGACCTTTTAAATAAAAGTCTATTGTGCGAGTTTGATGGCCTTCCCTGATTGAAAATTAACTTATCCATCTGCACTCAGCCTCAATTTACATGAAAATGGTATGCCTAACGGATAAATATAGATCTGTTCTAGATAATGTTCATGGTATACCTCTTGCAGATCTTTTCCAACGGACAAAAAACGATTGTTGTGGTTTTAGGATACTCACCTATTCAAGGAAAGTTTTTGTTTTCATGATGAGAAGGCTGCGAACATACATCTAAACAGGATAAATTGCCAGCTTAATAAATGAATTTAATTATTTTCAAGTCATACTGACAAAAATAAACAATACAAATGTAAAATTGAATTTGCACTGAAAGCCCATGTATTATTTAACCTTACGCTTAAAAACTGATGTAATGCCATTGAAATTCATTGAGTTTTAAAAGATTTTCACATTTTTTCAATGATATCATTGTCATAGTTAAACTATTTTGATAACGAGTTTTTATATAATATGAAGTTTTTATCTTGAAAATATTGTCTGACAGTTTGAACAACTGAATAATAATTTCTGTAGTTTTCCATAGCACTTCTAATTTAGCTGGAGACCTATTATTTATTCATTTGATTTCTACCGTTTTCTAATAATCTAGAGAATATTGTTTTTATATATATCCGACCAGAGCTATTTCTAATGTGCTTTTGTTTCCTATTTTTTTATGTGTATAGAAAAAAAGAATGCTAACGACATGCAGCCATCCTCAATTCAAGACTGCAATTCATATTCATATCAGACCAGTGTCTTTTATGTCATCACTTTTAACGAGCTTTCCCGCACTGAACCTTTGATATGATATTGATAGTATAGTTGCCCAGTGTTTGGCTATTTACTTAATAAGAATTTAAAGTGAATATTACCATTATAGGATTTTATTTCGCTTACATACGGGACTCAAACACAATAATGTCATTTTCCGTCTTTTCCCGCCAACTTGGCAAGCTTGCGTCAAAAATAATGACTGCAATAATCATCGACTTTTTCTTTAGATACAACAAGTTTTTCAGATAGTCAAACAGTTGCATTCGGAGAAAGGGAAGTTTAATAGGAAATGTGCGTAAAAACACTCAGGAAACTCCAGCCGAGAGGTGCCCTTGGTACCAGAGACTTGAGCATGCGCAATTTCTCATTTCGGCGGAAAATCCCCCATCTTGATTCCCAGCATGCACAATTTAACAATTTTCTTGGCAAAATTTGTCGCAACGGTATTGCGTGGCAGATTTCCTCTGACTAGTAATCGAGAGTGATTTTACGAAAATATATTAGAATTCAAATCTAACATTTTCTAATAAATGACGTAAAGAAGGTATTGCTGCTAGTGTCTTGCTATAATGTCTACAAAGAGAAGCAACCAATCATGAAAAATACTCAGTTATCAGACAGAAAGACTGACGAAATATAAAGCTTGAGGTAGTTTTAAAAGAAAATGTAAACACGAAATTGATAAATAAAAACTAAACGCTACACAGATAAATTCTGTCTTTAAATGTATGTGAGAATAACTGGTATGGTCAGGTGCAAAGGAAAGCTGATTAGATTTATTAATAAATCATTATTAAGCGATGTTGCTCACTATTCAATGTGTTAGACAGTCCTCAGTCGACGTAGTTAGTTCTTACATTTGTATCACTGAAAAGTTTCTTTTTTTACACAATTTCCAGGTTGAAGGTTGTGACAGAAACACCTGTTCGTTATGCAGTCTCCCTTTTGGCATGTAATTAATTGAAAATGTCATTAAATAGGGTAATATCAATCGTCTTCCAAGTAATAGGGGATCAAATTAAGTAAGAAGACATAGTTTCAAATCTCAACACTAAATATTTTAAAATGATAGCAAATGTAAAATCATTGTTTTTCTAAAGAAACATACGCAAGGCTTGCTCTCCAGTTCTATTTTCCTATACGTTTCTTTAGAAAAATCAATATTTTACATTTGCTGTCATTTTTGAAGTATTTAGAGTTGAGACTTGAGATTTTGCCATTTTACCAACATAAACCTTCTCTTTCCATTTCTGAACATCATTTTTTGATAGCTGATTGATTTAAGATAAGTATGGTCACGTGACCCCCAGCTGCAAAGGCCCTATTGCTGTTGATGGCATATCCACGCGACCAGCTCATCTTCCAATACGAAGGACTAAATCAATGAGGAAATAAAACTTTATTTTTCTTTTATAGAACGCCTCTGGACATGCAGCACCATTCTAAGGCAAGATGGGTCTTTCAATTGTCGAGCTAGCTCAGACGTACGGCAAGTTCCATTGCCCAGTTCATTCACAGAGCTTCTGGATGGCCTGATCTATACGTGGACATGGACTATGTTTTGCTGAGTCTATACCATAACTACCATTAACATGTATGAACGTAAGTCCTCATTTTGATTATAGAAAATGATTGATACTTAAACTGAATTGAAATCGTAGATTGATGAGTTTTTCTAGAAACCTAGATATGAAGTGCTGAATATCATGCAAATATTTACAAATTGAAAATCGCTCATGTGAGAGGCGTAGCCCTCTTTCTCATATAAAAAAAGCACAATGTGCATCTTGTCAGTCCATTTATATGGAAGTCGATTGATTGAGCTCACACTGTATCAGTCCTTGTTACCATCACTGACCGAATTTGTCGGCTTCTTCCGTCTTCTGTTTATGCATACCATGACAATAAGATCAATAAACTCGCATAGCGTCAAGAAACTGCAGCCAAGAAATAGACCCATGTTGCCACCAAAGTCCGCTGTAAAAGAGTTAGTGGTATTAGTATTAACTCGTGGATACGCGTCATAATTGCTGAGCTGGACGACAGCAATACTGCTTTGGCTTTGTTTTTGTTTTTGTCTCTGCGTTTCTAAAGATGTTACTAAAGGATGTAACAATTTGAATCAACTGAAATGCATAGCTACTCTTTAGGTTTTACTAAATTTCATGGTAGGGTGCTGCTCCTATCTCTTCTGTTAACCATGTCGGTACCCATTATTTAACCTATGTCGGTACCCATTATTTAACCTATGTCGGTACCCATTATTTAACCTATGTCGGTACCCATTATTTAACCTATGTCGGTACCCATTATCAGTACACCTGCTTGGAGACAGACACTAAGAGTGCAAAGTGTCGTTATTTGCCGTGTACATTTGTCGGCAGAATGATTTCAACCTTTGGTTAGTGCTTTAAGTCGTGCACAGTACAGATGTGGACAGAGATATAAATAAGAACAAAACCCTACTTACTTCCCAATTCACTTAAGTTGTAGTTTGGCTTTTCCTCTGTCACATCTGTAGACGTGCTCTCGTAAAAAATTGCGACTGCAGCGTAGGTTTTTCTGCAAAGGAAAAGTGAAAGGGGGAGCTATAGAAGGTTTCAAATCATCGAATTCTGATAACAGATCCCTTAAATGTGAAATAAGCAGCAACTTTTGATGGATAAAGTTGTTTTGCACTCTATAAAAGCTAGTTTTGAGGAATTTGAATAAACGTAAATTGTAAAGAAAATTTCTATATATTAATGCACTGAACTCAAGTAACTGCAAAGATGATGCATTCATAAGATCGACCAGCGAGGCAACGTTTGATTCTGCATTTAACAATTTACCTCACAAGTGCTTGCCATTTTACCAACTGCTCAGGATCAGACATGTTATATCCTGTTGTATTTTGTGTTTTTATTAAGTTTTTCCAACTATGTTCAGATGGATAGTAGGCAATCGAGGTCTTGATATTGTATTGAATCGACTCACACTTCGGTGGACAATCGCACTTTTCATCTGAAATCATTTCAGAAATCATTATACTGTATTTGCGTTATCCTTCGGCCATATTCCATGTTGGATATAAGGAAACATTTAGTGGCCATTGTTTTCTTTTTTTAATATGCACTTACTAATATTATCTTTTAATGCTTTCCTGACACAATTGTAAGTCTCCGTGCTGTTGCAGAATCTCGTCACACCGATTCCTGCAATAATGAGTCAAGAGTACTTGTGAGTACTGCGTTCTCATTGGTCAAAAATCGACCACGTGACCCGATAATGCCCGTCGCGTAAGGCTTCTATAAGTGCACAGAGGCCGGCGCTTCAGAACATTTTGTTGTTGAATAATAAAAACGCTAGAACCGTTGAAATCTCTGCATTCTACGGGCGACTATTTGTTTTTTAGAACATCCAGATTCCAAGCGCAACTATCAAATGAAAATTCCTGAGATTTCAACTACTATATTGTTTAAATAGAGATTATATTATGCTCGGGAACCCACACCGATAATTTTTGTTCACAATTCCTTGGTGAGCTTTCTCGTTATCAAACTACATTTGTATCTTACCTTTCGCAACCATCCCAAGCTGACGACATTTACACTGTTCTGCAATGATTATCGATTTGCACTCGGCCAGACAGGATGGTATGTTGTATTCTTCAAAATTGAGTAGCTTTTTCGTCGCACACTTCGATGGATACGGATATGGTTCGGAAATAAACTATATAAAGAACATGGTAAAACAATTATCTAATGCATTTTTGCTGAAAGGGCGGTGTGTTTGAGTATTTTCAAAATATGCATGTCTACAGATGTGCCGTAAAGATAAAAGCAGGATTTGGGATCATTGCACAAAGATATCAAAAGGATGAATAGTAATAGATATGGAAAAAATTGAGCATTTAAGAAAATGGATTGGCGAGAACTGGAATCACAGGGACAACAAAATACCTACTTTCGCTCGCCTAATCCTGATGCTTGTGTAAAACCCAGGAGGTACATCATAACCTTTATTTTCAATGTCGTGGAATGTCCCAGGTTCGTGTACTGCTACTTTAAAGCCTGTGGCATCGTAGCTAAAAGGTCCATAGTACTCGTATGGTTCAGCATTGAGTTTAAGTTTTAAACCTTTGCGCTGTCCTTCGCTAGTTTCCCTCCAACTAGCGGTTGAAGTGTTTCCATTGAACGTGTAGCAAAGTCCATACTGCAAAAAAAGCACAAAAGAAGGTATCAGGAAGAGAAAAAGGTCGTTAATTGTTTGTATCCCATGTTGAGCTTATGCATCACCATGTTGAGCTTGTTTGAAATATTGCTCTTTCCTCATGATAAATGATTGTTATTCATGAAAACATTTTAATTAAGATTGCTTTTAATTGGTACTTAAACGTACCATGAATGATAGTGTGTTGGTCATGGGAAAGTCTCCGGTCTTTGAACAAGTAATTCCAGGAAAGCTACACTCTTGCATCATCCTATCTATCTGATGACCCGCTCTTTGAATTGTCTTTTCCACGTCAAAAGAAGGTACAGATTTCACGCCAATCTCCGCTATTTTAACCGGGTCCATTTGATCCAAATAATCCTGTGCAATTGTTCCCATGATTTGACTTTTTCTCATCATATTTTGATTGCATATTGTGACTGCAGGGAATGGGAGAGTCTCTGAGAACTCCAAACTCTTTGAAATAGTGACTTGTCGAGATAAAAGTTTCTGAAGATTGAAATATACTTGCACAGTAAGGAAACAAACACTAAAACAGATCAAAATCCCCCACAAGATACGCCGTAATAACGCTCCTGAATCCATGATGAAATGTAACCCATGGACAGTCGTATAGGAACTGAAATCCTTGATAAGTTGATTCGCATTCTTTTTAGCACTGGTGTTGTTATCTTGTGAGTCTTGAGGACTGACATTCTGACATTTACAATGATGAATACTTCCTTGATCCATGTTATAAACCATCAACCATCCCTGCAGAGTTGAGCAGCATCAAATAAAGCCTGTAATTTGAAATAAGACTCATTCAATGCAGTGATATATTTTATGTAGTGTTTAAAGTCCTCCAATTCGGATTTCAAGTCCGCGCAATTAGTTCCAGTCCGAGGCGTTTCATAATTTTGAGTACATGAAGCACCATTTGTTGTTCTCCAATTCCCAAACGGGTTTCAGAAACAAAAGCTATTCAAATTGTTTTTGTCTGATATTCATGGAATTCCACATCAGCATAATTCCGAGTCATAAGATTTATAACTATGTTATCTTCCCAGGAATCGAATCAGAAACTCGGTGGTGTAATGGTATAAGACGGCGCATATAGACTGGACGATTCGAAGGTAGAACTAACTAGAAATAAGGTAGAAGTAACTGGAAATAATGTAGAATACAAGGCAGAAGTACTTTGTCTGGTTTCCAGTTACTGCACGTGGTACAAATTACAATCAGGGATTGGCTGGATACCTCATGAATAATTAATGTTTATGAGAACAAATCATAAAGCTGCGTAGAAGCATTGTTCATAAGCCGACATGTTTTAACTTTTTCAATAAATCTTTATCAGTTCTTCTCAACACTGGACTTAATGAATCATGATTGTGTTCGTTTAAAGAGCTTTATGTGTTCATTCCGAGAGTAATATCGGGCTTATTCCGACTGAATACCGAATACGACGAATATCTTAGATTTCAAGCACTATCTAATAATCATCTCAAAAGTCTTGTTTCATGGGTCGGATCTTTGTAGTTCCAATGTTTAAGTGACGTATATTGTACAAAGAACCTGAATGTAAATTGTAAGCGTTAACAAAGAAAATACAAATCATATATATTATACTCAGTCATAGTCAATTAGCGTACCTAAGATTTTCAAGCGCCCCTGTTCACATGTGGTTTATCAGTGACCTCCATAATGTAGCCGTATGTGCTGCATAAAAACGATCGATAAAATCGTATAATAATCGTTTTGTAAGTTTTAAACTCTCTCTGATATATTTCCATATATAGTTGGACTGAAAACGATCGTACGATACCACTGATGCAACTATTTCAGCATTGCAGTGGTGAAGAGCTACAGATGTAACATGAAAAAAAGAGGAAAACTTTCCTTAAGTAACTGCTAGCGATGTTTTCTCTATCACCTATCAAGGTGCAATGTAAGATAACATGTTTGCAAAAAAAAAGTGTTAATTTGCAGTTGGGCAGTTTCATAGCTAAAATGCATTATTTTTAGAAAAAACAAACAACTTCAAAACGCTCTTGTGGCTGTTGAAATCTAACTTTTACAACCGTGAAAAAGAACTAATTAGGTGTGATTTCTTCGCTGTATCCAATGATATTACAGTGCCTTATCGAGTTTCCATGAGAACCAATCGAAAAGATAAACTCTATTAGAATTTTCAATTAAAAGATTTTAAAATTATACGACTTCGTTAGCTTAAGATAAAAAACAAAGCGTCTACTTACGATAGATGGAAGGGCTTACAAGATATATTATCTTGTTGATAAGAATAATTGCTTGCTGCTCACTCTTCTCTTCCAGTTGTTGATTTTAACTGTCTTATTGGAAACTTTTTTTTTCACACGAGCTCACATAAATGTAATTACTTTCAAGTCAAAATATGTCATTAAAAATAAACAATAAAATTTCTTAAAGATTAATTTGTGAGAAAAATGTTTCACTGATATGTAGTTTTTGAAAAGTTTGCAAAATATTGCATTTGTCAAAAGTCTATGGGTTGAATTTTATATGAGATTTCAATTTTTTTAAAGTGAATATGTTGGTAGCTTTAAAGCTGTTTCAATAAAGAGTTTTCATGTGAAGATTTAATGATAGGAATTAATAAGGTGTCCCCTGATATGACAGCTGCAGAAAGTATTTCCATGATACTAGCTTCCCTACCATTTATCCATGTCATTTCTACCGTTCGGACCAGTGGTCTTACAGATCTACAAATTTGCATTTTTGTCTTCTTTTATAAAGTATAAAACGCATCTCCAAATCATTCATATTCAAATTAAGACGGATGTCTGTAAAAAATGTCAGTTGAGACTCGCAGTAAATGAGATTGTGGGCAGTGCTAATAGCATCTCATATTCCATATTTTTATATTCTTATTTCTTTTTCTCCTGTTGATGTATTTTTATGATTATTCTTTTAATACAAAAAAAACATCAGTCGGTCTTAATGAAACTATAATAATATTGTTTTAATTAAGAGTGACCAATTATTTGTACCTTGTTGTTACTAGCGTTAACTTATACGTGCGCTAGCAGATCATAGTTAATATGAACAGACAACTCAAAATTGCAAATATGTTATTGAATTTCATGATTAAATTTAGTCAAGTAAAGTCAAATATGTTTTTAGATTTTAGATTACAGGGTCGACCCTTTTTTGTTGTCTAGCAAGAACACAAATGTCAGTCTAAGCATGTTCGGTATATACTCCAATATTACTAAGAAGTTGATTTATTCAGCCCTGAAACGAGAACAGTAGGACGTCCTCGCGACACTATTAAAATTAAAAACCTTCCTTGTTTTTCACTAAATTTCTATTTCATTTATCTATTTTTTGTTTGTTTGTTTGTTTGTTTTTCTTAGTTTGTTCAAAATTCTCTCATGAACTAGACGCTCAGTGAGCGCTCACATGGGCTTCCTTGTGCATTAGGTGACACTGGATCATTTTGATTTTACTGTAAATAATCATTTAGTCAGTATTTGCTGATCTCAGTAGTGTTGACATGCACAGCCAAAAGTTTTGTGGCTCATTTGTCATTGTCCCCTGGCTATTGCATAACTGTAAGTATAGTTTACAACATGAGCGGCCGTGGACGTGAATGTTGTAAACGACTTATAAAACTCCAACACAAAGTAACATGAATTACAGTGAGATAAATGACGAAAAATGACAAATAAGGTAACTGCTGAGTTCAGTCCCTAAATTTACTGCAACACAGAACATTTTGAATAATTATCCATCCCACATGGAAAGCAAGCCATCTGTTGCATAAGCGAGTTCTGTTATCCGTCTTTGATTGCTTCAAAACCTAGTGAAGGTCTATGATGCGACACTAAAACTGAGACCTTTGCTAGTGTTGGGTTGTCTCAATGGTGACGACCGTGTTGTAAATCTGATACAACCACTAGTGGTTGTATCAGATTTACAAGGTCAATCACCTGATTAAATGGTCAGCCCTTATTGGAGCAATAGCTTATGCATTATTAATAAGTTTTATAATTTGTGGTATTCAAGTGGGAGATTTCATGTTCATGAAAAGCACTGTAATATTTGTCAAGTAAAGAACAAAGTATAGTTATTGAACAGAATTATATTTAACAAACAACTTCATTAAAATTATCAAAATAGACCATGAACCATGTTTTAAACTTTTCATCAATGCAGTAGAGCAAATGCAGATAAACCATGAAATAAGATCAAACTAAATACTTACAATTCAAATAGTGGCTATTATCAATAGTGTCAATGAACCAGAACACAATATAGATGAATTAAAAACAGTCTTATGTGGGTTCATCTTCATTGTGTTTTGGTTCATTGATACTGACAAATTGTCTCTAAACAGCCGCTATTTGTTAGTATTTAGAATTTGAAAACTCTAAAATATTTAGTTTTAAAACTCTAAAATAAAACAATATTAAAAACATAATCAGTTTTCAAACTATGAAATCAAATGTGATTTATGTAGCTTGTTTGGATGTTTATCTTGTTAAAAATTAATAACAAAAGTTTGCTTGTGCATTCTTTTTTCAAATGTAAGAATGTTATTTAGATTATTCATTTTGTGATGACACAGTTGGGTCAAAAGCTTGACTAGTAAAATTAAAAAAGGGTGAAATATGAAGTTTAACTGATAAAATAAAAAAATGAAATAAATTATAATTATTATCAATGCGATAATAGGTTTTTACATGACTTAATTTTCAGAGGTAGTTTGTTTGTCATTGTATACAATGTACTTCTTATTAATATGAACAATCTTGTACATGACTTACATCTCAGAGGTAGTTACAATATTTCTGTCATTGCAATCCTTCAGCTTAATTATAGTAACAGGGTTCGTACAGATTTTTACATATAAAATTCAAGGACTTTTCAAGGACTTTTTAAGGATTAATTTTCAATTTTCAAGGACACCAATTACAAAGAGAAAGATACAGTTAATAAACTTACTAGTCCTGTGTCTTACCAACAGAACAATTAAAACATTGTAGTCAACTTTGTATAAGAACTTTATCTCTTGGAACATATTTTTCTCCATCTCTATTTTAATTCCTTTACCGCCGTATTGCACAATAGTACAACAGACATTGCCAAAAGGATCGAAATATTATCAATTTGCTTCAAAGCTTGGCAAAATTGATCTCTAAAACATTTCTTCACAACAACCAAGACTGATTCAAGGGCTAAATTATCATTTTCAAGGACCTTTCCTCCAAATTCAAGGACTTTTCAAGGAAAATTTGCATTTAAGGACTTTTCAAGGACCTAGCTCCAAAATCAAGGACTTAAATTCAAGACTGTACGAACCCTGAGTAATCTTAATGTTAAACTCAATATAGCAATCAGTTGAAAGATTATTACAACAAAAACTATAATAAAACCTTGCTAAATGACTCTCTATATTTAGTACAGACAACTATTAAAATAAATATAGTTATCCAAAGACTTACTTATAAGAAATGAATTAAGAAATCGAACCAATGTCGACTCCTTCGCGAGAATAAAATGGCGGCTTCGTTGAATTAGTCGTTCGTTTATTAGGATAGTTGGTTTCAGGTGCCTTTGATTTCTTCATCTCAGCAATCATAGAGTTAGTTGCCGTGTCACGTATTGTAGTTTTCTAGTTACATTGTAGGTTTGAGTCGTATTTGGCTCATTTGAATTTGCTATCTCGTAAGAACTAGTAAGCTTAAATAAGATCAACGCTATCAATTCATGCTAAAATAGATTCGTTGACCGGCCCGTTCCGAAAATTACGCTGAGAATCTTTTAGTGTAGGCCTACCACGAATGGCTTGTGCGTTTGTACGTAAGGACAGCGTTCGTAGCTTGATTTTTTCCATCGAATAACTTTTGCCTTCGCTCTCCACGAGTCAAGACGATCAAGGACGGGTTAATACTTCATGTAACACCTAACTATAAGACTCTACATAAGATCCTATGTAGATATTAGCTATGAGCCAATTCATGGGTAGTACATGAATTACTGTGCAATTTGAAGCCTAACAAAAAATCATGACCAATGAAAGGCTAGTACTTCATGTAAGATCCTACCTAATACAGCAATCTACATATTACTGATGGTGCCTATTCATTTTGTGGTACATGAAGTACTGGCCTACTTTTGTTTGTAATTTATGACATGGACTTCCTTCGGAAGCCCATGTAATTAGTATATCTCTTTCGTTTCCATTTCGATTTTTGAGTGTTATATTGTGAAAGTCGGAAAATATGTTATATATATACGGTGGCTCTTTGCTCCTTAATAAGGTGAGCTTCGTGCATCAGACAAAGAAGTCTAGGATAGATGAGATGAGTTGATTTGGGATCACTTCTTGTACGGTTTCCTGTCTAGATTTCAGTGAAACTAAAAACACCTGGATGATTCAATAGTACCAAGAGGAATTATATTTTTAAAGTCTTAACTAATTTTACATCATCTTACCCACTTTTAAACTTAACCATCCAATGATTGCGCATATATCCTGAAAAACAATTCTCTCTTTTGGCAGTAATTCTTGGAAGAATAGATTTGATGTGCTAATGATGTTATTCCTTACAACTAGACGAAGTAATTTTCTCTGGATTGACTGCGGGACTTCACTCAAGTTCTAAAACTATTCGGTGCGCAAAGACCGTTTGTTTTTATAAAGCGCGGAAAACCAGTAAAATATATATCAAGATATAATTAACATTACAATGAACTTGACGGGAGATATTGGCAACCGCGGTTAGCTAAACAGCTAGGCACTGAGCATTCAAAAACTGATTATGAAAAGGAAATGAAATGTGTATATCAACACTTATAATACTTATAAGTAACGAGTAGAAGGAACCACAAATTCATTTATAGACTAATGCTGTTTTTGTTTTTGTTGTTTATTTTTTTCGAAATATTTTAAAAGTCTTAATGATAATATAAACCGGCTAAATTACACTTAAGTACATACCTTAGAGTCGGTGTTCCTTTAGGACCCGAGAACAATTCCCAAGGTCTTTAAGATGGTAACATCTGCTCTTCTATAATCTTTTTTTTCATATTTCATTCATTGATTAGATGTTGATCAACTTTTATTAATTACAGAAGTCTCGACCTCCCAAGTTTTGCAAAATATTTTACTGATTTTGAAGAATTTCATAACGACAATTGAAATCTGTCATTTTTAATTCAAATCGGGATCGTACCGACGCAAATAATTTCTAGGCTTGCTTGTATTATATTCATTTTTATGATCTGCCGAACAGAGCTTCTAAAAATTACTATCATATATTTTCTGGTCAATCCAGGGTAAATCATGTCCTACAGATTTTTCCTTACAAATTTTTCTTTAAATCATAAACAAAGAAAAGTAAACTGAAAGTTGCGCCTGCACACTTTGTGGTCAACAATAGTTACCATAAGGTCTAAATACGTAAAGCATGCACTAATTTCTGTTGCTGTGCACTGGATATCAAACACATATATTTGGAAACTTGCCCAGAAAAAAAGGGCCTTCTGGAAATTGCGACTATGCATCTTATAAGGGCGTATCCTTGCTCATTGTTTCGTGTAGGTTTTTGATGCATAGACTAACAGGCCAAGTGGACGTCTTTTGAGCTCATACCCGAGCATCAGTCCTTGTTACCATCATTGACTGGATTCTTTTGTTTTTTGTTTATGAATACCATAATAATAAGATCAATAAACTCGCACAGCGTCAAGAGACTGCAGCCAAGAAACAGACCCACGTTGCCTCCAATGTCCGCTGAAAAGAAAACATGACACGTCTTGATATTGATTGGTGATCGAGTTAAAATGCAACTACTTATTTTGTAAACGCAAAACCCATATAATGGATTTTTCATAATTTTCGCATACATGGTGAAACGGATTTAAAACCGTACAGCACCTTTGAAGCGGCCAACGGCTTCTTTAGCACACTTACTAAACGATTTATTAAACCGGCAAACATATTTTTTTACCAACTCTACTTTCTTGTTATAAAAAAATCTCAAGTAATAAAGTTCTTGATTGTAAATTAGATTATGGTTTACTTACTTCCAAAATCACTGAAATTATAGCTTGGTTTTTCTTCGGTCACATCTGTTGACGTGCTCTCGTAAAAGATAGTGACGGCAGCATAACTTTTTCTACGAAGAAATAGATTGAACAAACGGTACTGTTAGATTTATAAAATCTCGTTTGAGTACAATGTTCGCCATTTGAACTGAGTCAAAATGGAGGAATGTGCAATCCGAAATATATATGTATTATGTGTTTTGCATTTAAATTTTATTTATTTTTATGTTACCTGGATCGACATCTGGAGAGTTCCTACCTTATATCTGCTTGCAAGTTTTCCAATTGCTCAGGATCAGACGCGTTAAATCCCGTTGCGTTAAATCCCGTTTTATTGTGCATGTCTATCATGGCTTCCCAACCATGCTCAGAGGGATAGTACGCAATCGACGTCTTGACATTGTATTGGATCGACTCACATTTCGGAGGACAGTCGCACTTGGCATCTGTACACAAATTTGTATGTGAATTAGCGATCATTTGATTTTCGAGAATTGGCATACGCCGTAGCTACATTTTCGTTTTTAAGCTGGATCTCAGTGTGCATGGGACTAATAACATCAAAGAAAAATCCTTTCAGCATCTCTTTAATAAAGTCTCAAAAGATCCAATTATCTCACCATAGCACTATTATACTATACTATATTATATTATACTATAAAATTTGGAATATTTTCAATACAATTACTGTCAGTCAGTGCACGTACTAATGTTTCTCGTCGAGCTTATGACACAATTGGAAGCTTCAGTGCTGTTGCAGAATCTCGTAGCGCTGACACCTGCAATCAAATTAATTGACATATCAACATATAGCGGCTCAAGTAAACGTTGATCCGCCTTACCTGTCGGAACCATTCCAAGATTGCGACATCCACACTGTTCAGCAACGATTTTCGATACACATTCAACCCAACAGGATGGTTGACTATATGATTCAAAATTGAACAACTTTTTCGATCCGCAGTTGGATGGATATGGAGATGGCTGAAAGATAAACTACAAAGAAATCATGCAAGTACAGTGTCTCTATGAGAAGCGACATCTAGCGTCAAAATGGCCGATAAACTGACGACTTGAAGGATTTACAGAAAACAAGTAATGAATAGACAAATAATTAGATATTAACAGAGCAGCTAGCGATGGAACAAAGGAGTTTTTGCGATTTGCGATCGAGAAAGAAGTAGGCTATGAACTGATGATAACAGGTACATACTTTCTCTCGCCTAATCCTGATACTTGTCGAAAATCCAGGAGGCACATCATAACCAACATTGTCAATATGGTGGTATGTCCCAGGTTCGTGTATTGCAACTTTAAAGCCTGTTGCATCATAACTGTACGGTCCATAATACTCGGATGGTTCAGCATTCAGATAAAGCCTTAGCCCTTGCCATTGACCTTCGGTGACGTCCTTACCATTTGCAGTTGAGCTGTTTGGGTTGAATGTGTAACAAAGTCCGTGCTGCAACAAATCGACATAGAGACATAGATATAGGGAATATCGGCTTGAAAAAAACCCACAAAGATGGAAAAATTATCAGGTCTCTGGAATGTTGTTTGAGTTGAGCTTCTTGATGTGTTACTCTCCTTTCTATTTTGATATTAATAGACTCATTATCGTACCCAGATCACTTTTAAGTGTCTCACGTCTCACTTAATTATTGAAGACTCTGTTGAAGACGATTAAATTAAAATTAAGTTGGCTCAAAAATTCCCACGAACAATCAGTATTTGATTATATAGTATGACCCACATTCTGGGACTTCCGGTTTGTCTCCGAGTCTTTGATTTTCTGTCAAGAAACTGAGGTGTGTCTGGGTAAGAGTGGATTATTCAAAAACTTCCGCCTGTAATGAACTTGAAATCATAACTATTGGGCTTTTTGACGTCGTTTGTTACTTGCAGCCCAAAGATAACTAAATTACTCACCAAGAATGATAACGCGGTTGCCATGGTAAAATGTTTTGCATATGAACAATCAATTCCAGGAAAACTACACTCTTGCATCATCTTATCTAACTGATGACCTGTCTTTTTGACTTTCTTTTCCACGTCGAATGAAGGCACTTCAGATTTCTGTCCATACTTCTTATACTTAACCGGGTCCAATTGATCCAAATAGTCCTGTGCAATTGTTCCCATGATTTGACTTTTTCTCATCATATTTTGATTACATATTGTGACTGCAGGGAATGGGAGACTCTTCGAGACTTCGACACTTTTTGTAATAGTGACTTGTCGAGATAAAAGTTTGTCAAGATTGAGATATACTTGTACAGTAAGGAAACAAACACTAAAACACATCAAAATCCCCCACAAGATACGCCGTAACAACGCTCCTGAATCCATGATGAAATGTAACCCATGGACAGTCGTATAGGAACTGAAATCCTTGATGAGTTGATTCGCATTCTTTTTAGTACTGGTGTTGTTTTCTTGTGAGGTTTCGGGGCTGACCGTCTGATTACATTTACAACAATGAGCGCTTTCTCTATCCATATTGTAAATCTGTCATGACAAATATCAGTGCAGCGTTAAGGCGCTGTTAAAATTCGCAATGATATGATTGCGACATAATTTTCCTAGAAATTAATTAGATCCCTGTCATATTGTACAATATCCCCATGACAATCTTGTGGTCAAGAAAAGGTAGGAGCCAGAATGATGGAGATTCTTGCAATGCTCTGCGAATTAGACTTGTACGACGCTGCTTCTAAAGCCGTTTACACTGGCGATTGTTCTGCAGTGTTTCGGGCGATTTTCCCAAAAATATAAATAGATTTTCTCTTATCCTACTGAGGAGATGTTTAGTTAGTTCATCCCGGTGTATTCAATAAAAGTTTACAAAGTTGATTCTTTAATTTTTCTCTAGGATCAAAATGACTACGAAAATCGCTTCAAAAACCGCCATTGTAAACGGAACTTAAAAAAAAAGTTGCGAAACGCAACGACCCCTGTTGCACTGTGCAATTCTTTTTCAATTTATGTCGCAACGTTGTTGCGAGTTGGGTTGTTGAGAACAGTGTAACATATATAAACAGCATCTTTTACAGGTTCGTGAATCACCTTTCAAATAAGTAGGACTGTGTTTGAAATGGAAATAGCAGTGAATTACCTGTTTCCACTTGCGTACTTCACCTCGATTGTGTATGTCTTTTTTACAGCATTCCTTAAACTGATGTTTTGGAGAGTTATATCTCGCTATCTGTGCCAAACCTCATCAGTGCTTTTGAAACTTTGGTCTATTCAAAGAAATTTACCAACCAACTATATTTCAATTTTGACAATAGTTTAAGAAACAATAAGACAGGAACAATAAGACAGATATTATACTGGAGAACTGATTAGGTTCTACGCTGTGACATGTAAACAAATCAATTTAATCAATTTTAATTTCAACAAAAAGAATGTAAAAAAATAGTGAAAAAACGTTTTTAAAACTGATTTTACAACTAAGGAAAATATCAATAATGATGACTTTATGATTCAATTTTTTCTCAGAAATATTTGTTGTATATCTAATTGACAATACGCAATCAAGATTTACAAGTACATAGAGTGGAAATTGGAGTTTGGCAACAGAGCTAGAGGAAGTTCAGACAGAGCAAATAGAAGATGTGTCTGAATAAACCTCCCAATTTGTAGAAATAGAGTGTATTACATGGGCGCGCAGAGATACGCCTACCCTTAGATCATCTCTGTGCTAATCAAGGAGAATAAAGAAAATGCAATACACCTGCTCCAAAGGATATTACTAAGTCAAAGCTACCCTCTCGTTGACGAGACTGCATCACGATACTGGATGCCAATCTGTTCACCTTCAGCCAGATTTTACCTGAAGAACGATTCTTTCACGATAACATTCCACGCACATGCACCCGATCTTTTTTTAATAAATAAACATCGTCACAATATTATAATAATTGTTTAGGCAACTTACGGATTTTTGTCCACTGTACTTGAATTAAACGTTGTTGTTGTTTTAGATACTCCCTTACTAGAGAAGTTTATTTCACACGAGTATCGAACGAGTATGCGTCGTGTCGAGAACACGCAATGCTAGGGCTAATAGCTGTTAGTACCATATATATATTCGATTAGTTTTAAAGTAACGATATGTGATAAAAATATAACAATGCGTTTATTTCAAAAAACTAATTTTCGCTAGGAGCTTATTAATATTTATTTTTTCAAGCTTACAAAAAAAAATAACATCTGTTATAACGGACTTCATGATTGGTTAAATTCTTAATGAGAATTAAGTTAATCAAGTGGAAGCTTTAAGAAATTTCATATAAATGTAATTGTATTTAAAAAATTGACAAAAGCCAAGTATAAAGTATTTCAATTCCATGCATCCTTCCCAGTCAGTATCTATAATCACCATTGGCACAGAGCACTATAGATTTCATGACAGTGGTTTTAAACATAAATATGCCTCTTGAAATAAAAATAGGATTGCTCCGAGCAGTCATCGCAAAACATCTCAAACCAGTACGTTTCTTTCTCGGGTTCTATTCCCGAAACTTTTTGGGGCGATACATTTATTAATAATCGTTTATATTATTATTATTTCACTACGACTATCACAATTCCTTACACAACGTTTCTCTAACCATAGTTAACTATGCTCTAACGAACTGGGCGTGCAAGGCTGCAAGTAGCGAAGATTTTATTGACAAGTCATGTCACGATATTATAAATATATTATGTGATCTATTGCTGAATCTGTCTAAATAATAAAGTCGATCCTCAACAAAACTGCAGGATATGGCATTATTGAATACAGAATTGTCAAAACAAGAAAACCAATGACTCACTGACGCGATAACTGCAACTGCGAAAAAAATTAATAAAATAAACAATCACATAAGGCTGTGTTGTATTATTATCATAATACTATTATTACAACTATTTGTGCTGCCAGAACTAATTATCGGTCAACTATTATTACAACTATTTGTGCTGCCAGAACTAATTATCGGTCAACTATTATTACAACTATTTGTGCTGCCAGAACTAATTATCGGTCAACTATTATTACAACTATTTGTGCTGCCAGAACTAATTATCGGTCAACTATTATTACAACTATTTGTGCTGCCAGAACTAATTATCGGTCAACTATTATTACAACTATTTGTGCTGCCAGAACTAATTATCGGTCAACTATTATTACAACTATTTGTGCTGCCAGAGCTAATTATCGGTCAAGTCATCGATTGTATTATTTCAATTTTTTGTGAGAATGTCAGAAATACAATATTATTTTGTATGTAACGGTGCATACTTCATCATTAGAAGAAGGAAAATAATTTATCATATAATTATCTATGAAATACCTATATTTGTCCATTTCGTAAAATTGATATTTTCACTAGTGAAAATAACACATTCTAGATTTCTCTATATTTTACGACATAATTTGCTTTCATATGTAATTTTATGATAAACAGCTTGGAGAAACGAATTTTATCTTCTCGTGTTGAAAATCTCTTCAACACTCGAAGATAAAATCCATATCTCCGCGCGCCCATGTAATATCCTCTATATATGTTACATGGACGTGTGAACCAGAGAAAACAGAAACAGACGAGCTTCAGCTGCTTGCATGTTACGAGAGAGTATCGGAGCATGCGACATAAGGTAGATGTGCGTGGTTATGACAAGTGTGTACCAGCCTCTGTTTATCTCATAGTCTAATAGATCGGGGGCGCTGCTAACCTGTGCAATTTTTTCAGTACTTTATCTTTCAACGGAATATCGCAATAGGTTACTGGAAAATTTCACAGTATATCGAGGGTTGTTGATATGCTATACTATAGAGTGCGTGTATCACAATCACTGGAAAAAATCGCGCGCTTTAAAGGTTGTAAGTTTGATGTAAATATGATGTAAGTGTCCAAAATGATGTAAATTTGCTGTAAATGATGATATAATTAATTATACAAAGAAAGTGGCTGTAAATGGCTTTGCAAGTTGCAACTCATGCAAGTTGTTGACTGAAACAGTGGAACAGTACCACTAGCTACTTGAATTCTATAAATGATTTAATAATAATTATTATTATTATTTATAATTATAATTAGATATGATATCGAGGCCTTAGGTGCGAAGGGCAAGCACATATCGCGAATTGGCCAACAAACGTCGCCAAACCACTCCTCTAGGCTTGGCTAAAATCTCTGACCATATTAGATGACTTCCTCTTTCTTCTCTTTAAGTACACCATGATAACGAGATCAATGAGCTCACATACAGTTAGGAAACTACAACCAAGAAACATACCCATGCTACCTCCAATGTTTGCTGTGAGGCAAGCAAAACAAGCATTTAGACACACAAAGGTCATTATAAAGTTGCCCATCGTCAATGATCGTTTTAGAAACCAAAACACATACTCACATCCCATTTCACTTAAAGTGTAGGCTGGTCTTTCTCTTGTCACATCTGTTGACATGCTCTGGTAGAAGATCGTGACAGCAGTATAGGTTTTTCTGCAAATAAAATGTGAATAGAAGATCATAAGGCGAGCGTCATGGCAATCACATGACCAACTCTTGATTGTCACGTAAAGCGAGCAGTAGGAAAGCCGAGAAACTCAATGGCCCCTCTACTGCCAAAAGTTTTCGAGTCGTGCTTTCAAACTGGATATGATTGTCAAATTATTGCTCTTGAGTCTACTCAAAGTCATATACTAACACAATAAAACTGCATTTACCTCGCATAGGCTTGTAGCCTTTCCAACTGTTGAGGATCAGATGTGTTGTATCCTGTTGTGTTATGTGTCTTTATCATGGTTTTCCATGTATGTTGAGATGGATAATAAGCCATCGAAGTCTTCGCGTTGTAGTGGATTGATAAGCATGGTCGTGGACAATCGCAGTGGTCCTCTGAAAAATACTTTTCATTTTTATTTGCTTCTTAGAGAACGTGGAAAAGTGATTTCTACTAATCAGCTCGTTAGGATGTAAACTCAACAATATGTTACTTTGACCCCTATACTTCTAAGAACATTTTCTTCGAAGCCCCTCCAAATGCTGAAAATCATATTCCTGAAGTAGGAATGGACAATCCTGGCCCCCTACTTGATCCAGTCTTCGGTGGTCGTTGGTGCCAGGGGGGGCCACCAATATGTTCCGCAGTTCCATTTAATATATCTTGTAATACACCTTAGATCTGCGGGATTTTTTAAAGGTAACAACAATCAACTTACTGATCCCTTGAGACGTCTTTATTATGCATTGTGTAATTTCAGTGCTGTTGCAAAACCTCTTGACGTCTATGCCTGCAATAAAATATCAGCATAGATCGTAACGACATAATGATCTTGTGCAAAATAGATGACGTACCTTTTTCAACCATCCCGACGTAACGACATTTGCACTTGTCAGCAAGAAGTCTAGATTTACACTCTATCAGACATGATGGTTGGCTGTATCTTTCAAAATTGAGCAGCTTTTTTGACCCGCAATTGGATGGATATGGATGAGGCAGAGAAATTGTCTGAAATTAACCAAAAAAATAACATATAAAAATTCGTTTGGATAGACACTACAGACATCTTAATTACGCTGTTCAATTCGTCCCCCAACAGCACAGTATTACAGCTTCGTGATTGGTCAGTTTGGAATCCAACACACGTGCATGTATGAATGGCGGCCAATCAGTTGTTGCTGTCGTTGCACTGCTTCAGTGTTTGAATCCTCCAATCTAATTCTTACACCTACAATTGTAGTTTTTCTATTACATCAATGACAGAGTGAATGGATCAACAATTGTAAACCAGTAATATGACTTCTAGATACGTGATGGATGGCAAGGAAAAAGACATAAGATGTTGGACATATTGGAAGAATAATATACCTTTTCTCTTTTAATCCTGATGCTTGTTAAAAAGCCAGGAGATAGATCAAACCCTTCAATGTTGTCGATGTTGTGGAATGTCCCAGGTTCATGTAGAACTACTTTAAAACCTGTGGCATGGTAGCTAAAAGGTCCATAGTACTCTGATGACTCAGCGTCTAGTTCAAGGGTTAAGCCCTGGTGTTTACCAGTACTCACCTCCTTCACTGTTGAAGCGTTTGCATTGAAAGTGTAGCAAAGCCCGTACTGTAAGAAATCATCACCACAATTAGGCCCCGTACATACATTTTAATTGTACTTGCTTTTATTCAGATACAGCGTCCACTTGTATACACCGTATACACCTAATTCAAAAAGCGTTGCCGAAGCACGTTCAACAGCCTTCAATCTCGGGATTTCTATGCGTAATTAGTTTATTAAGGCCCGGTTCATACGTCGAGCCAGCGGCGTGCCGAACCAAATAGTCTTTGGTGTCGATCCAAATACATTTGGTATTATACGCGGCTTTGATTCATACGTCGAACCAAATGCAGTCAAAAGCAATAAGAAAAGGTGTGATAACACTCAATTTACACCCATTACTATTCTCGAAAAAAAATATTTTTGTGCGTTAAGGCACCATGATAGCTCGACGTTTGAATCAGCGTATTTTGTGTGCACAAGACACTCACCAAGTAAGATAGCGTGGTTGCCATGGTAAACTCTTTGGTCTTCAAACATCTAATTCCAGGAAATTTACAACCATTTATCATCTTCTCTATCTGATGCCCTGCCTTTTTGACGAACTTCTCCACGTCAAATGAGGGTACATCCTTCTGAATCTCACCGGTATTCCGAATCTTAATAGTGTCCATTTGATCCAAATAGTCCTGTGCAATTGTTCCCATGATTTGACTTTTTCTCATCATATTTTGATTGCATATTGTGACTGCAGGGAATGGGAGAGTCTCTGAGAACTCCAAACTCTTTGAAATAGTGACTTCTCGAGATAAAAGATTATCCGCATTGATATATATTTGTGCAGTTAGGAGACCAGCACAAAAACAGATCAAAACCCCCCACACAATACGCCGCCATATTGATCCTGATTCCATGGTGAAATGCAATCCATGTAGTGTCGTGTAGGAACTGAAATCCTTGATGAGTTCATATTTTGTCGGTGTGTTTTCTGGCTTAACGAGGGAATTGCATTTACACGGATACACTACACCACTGTCTTGATTCATATCACAAACTACAAAGTAAACACTGCTTAATGCCAAGGGCGTGTATTAGTTTATCATTAATATATTAGCAGCTGGGTAACGAAAACACGCATGTGCGAACTTTCTACTTGAACATATCCTCATGGGCGGCAATCGTTATAGCACTGTGGATTAAGTGGAATAGAATACAGTATGTCATTCTGGGGATGCCATTTAACTTATCTAGTATTTTCCCTAACCGCATATTTTCATGCGTTGAGGACTCGTTTTTTAAAACTCTTCAGTTTCAAGTTTTCGAAAACGAGGTTATCAAAATAGCGCGTTGTCCAAGTTCAAAAAGCCTGACTTAAATTCTGCCACAGAAATATATTTATCCATGCAACTGCCCTGTGCGTCTCTCTCAAAATGACAAGCTACGCCCCTGTATAAGTGATGTTTTTGATAATCATGCAGTTTTCCTATGTAAATTGTTCATAATCAAAATCCATACGAAATTCTGTTTGTGAATTTGCGCCGATGGTCAAGTAGAAAGAGAAAAGAAAAATATGCGCACATTTAAAATCGTAATAGAAGGAAATCAAACCTTTAGGTCACGATCCACAACGGTCTGCCCAGCTTCTCGAGGCTAATAATGTACGAAACAGATGGTCACAATCTTTTGACTTAGCAAGTTTAATCATTCTTTTTTTTCATGTTTCCAAGATTAAAATTAGTTCTATTCATAACGTATATTAAGCCAAACAATACTTAGAACCTATATCAACTAAATTAAATTTCCAAATATATGAATAATTAATTACGTTATTTCAAATTCTACCTTACTTCTTCATCTTTTTGATTCACTATATCTATTTCTTTAAACACCCTTCATATTTATGCATATAGATGCGTACTGACATTCGCGGTCTGTAAATCCAGCGTGCAGTGCGTGCAGTATGACTGCATAAAATAGTATATTAAATCCAGCGTGCAGTATGATTGCATAGAATAGTATATTAAAAGTCATAATACTATTGACTAGTAGCTTTTGTTAGAAACAAAATTATTTTGTTTACTTTTGTTACTTGGTAAATGAACGTGATGCGTTTGTAGAAAATGTTTTGCATAACAAAACCTTGCTTCACGCTGAAAAAAATGTTGTTGCCTTGGATTTTATTAATTATCTAATGTACATCTAGTAGTTCCATATCGCATGGCCCAACGATCAGACTACCTGGCATTTGACTTTTTTTTCATAACCAAGGCTGACTTCCGCTTCATTCCAAATTTCAATTTCTTGTTTATTTTCTGCTCACTCGAAAACAAAAAAAGTTGTTTAATTTGCTGTTTATTACCCTGGTCCCAGAGGTTTTCTTTTCTCTTCTTTTCTAGATGTTTTTTATCGTATTTTTGTCTTTGTTTTTTATATTTAACGTCGCAACGTCAAAAGAAGAGAAAAGAAAACCTCTGGGACCAGGGTAGCTGTTTATAGGCTTAAATAACATTCTCGGGAACCCAGGCGCAATCTTCCGTCGCTCGCTCTCACTCCCAGAAATAACAAAACGAACAGTAGATTACGAGAATGTTTGCTTAACAATTTAAATCGAATAATGTTGACAATCAATGTTTCTGTAGAATGAGCAATCATTGCAAACATGAACAGCTGTCGAGCCAAGGCAACAACAACAACAACTACTACTACTACTACCCTAATACTTCCAATGAAACAAACAACAAAATTTAATTCGCGAGAAAAAATACAGCTTTAATAGGACTTATGCAGTCATTGTCAAAAGTACAGGGTTTCTTTGCTATTATTGTAAAGTAATATTAATGATATGGGTGACACATTTTTTAAAGGCCCATTCTTTTCCGATGAAGGAAGAGGAGAGACATCAGACGGAAGCGTTGATCTTCTTACCTCATCGGCCATTCAAGCATTCCGTTGTAGTTCGTGTGGTTTCCACTCCATAAACCCCACTTTACGAATAAGAATCGCTGAGTTGCGTAAAGTCTTCTAGTTTGCTTTTCGGTTTCACATTTTTATAGAATATTTTCGATGTATATTAAATAAAACTGTTTCAGGTTTATTAAACAAACTTCATTGCATGGCTTTATAAGACTAAAACAATACTATAGACTAAAATGAGATGAAAAAACAGCGACTACTGGGGAGTTTGTGTATTATCTTTGAGTTACGGATTAGATTCAGTCGACCCTGAAAGAAATGAACAATTGTGAGTGTTTATCTCTATAAGGACATGCCATGGAAAGGAGTTTGGAAAATGCTTTCCTTTTCTTTCCATTTCCCACATTCTCCTAAATTTCCAACATAAGTCCCGAGTGCTGATGGAGTCAATTTACCTACCATTTTCAACTACTGCACCGTCCTCAGACTTCACTGACTACAAACGACAAAAAAAAAAAAAAGTTAAAGCCATTAATGAAAACATTCAAACTAACAGTCAGTACATGTATGGCACTAGTAATTTGTATAGTTTACAACATGAGCGGTCGTGTTGTATGGGAATTACAATCTCGAGCCGCAGKCGAGAGATTGTAATTCCCATACAACACGGACGCGAATGTTGTAAACGACTTTTATAAAACTTATTAATAATGCATAAGCTATTGCTCCAATAAGGGCTGACCATTTAATCAGGTGATTGACCTTGTAAATCTGATACAACCACTAGTGGTTGTATCAGATTTACAACACGGTCGTCACCATTGAGACAACCCAACACTAGMAAAGGTCTCAGTTTTAGTGTCGCATCATAGACCTTCACTAGGTTTTGAAGCAATCAAAGACGGATAACAGAGCTCGCTTATGCAACAGATGGCTTGCTTTCCATGTGGGATGGATAATTATTCAAAATGTTCTGTGTTGCAGTAAATTGCGCATGCTTAATAGGGACTAAACTCAGCAGTTACCTTATTTGTCATTTATCTCACTGTAATTCATGTTAATTTGTGTTGGAGTTTTATGATAATATACTGTACTTAGCGAACTATTTCGTGCGATCGTCATGCACTATTTCATTCATTTTCATGCATTCTCAGATATATTTTGCAAACTATAATAATTCAATTATATTGATAGATGTCAATATTGTATTTATTGTTCTCAGGGCTCCCATTGATAACAGATGCGCATGCAACTGATGGGAAAACCCTGAGCTTTATAATAAATAAAGGTTTATTTAACAACTAACCGGCAGTTCCTGGGCTAATTGTAAAACAACACTTTCCAGGTAATCTGGTAGGGTCTTGAAAGGGTTCGAGCTCGGCTGGAAAAAGTGCTGGCTACGCCGAGCAAGCAGACGTAATGCTACCAATAAAAACATGAAATAACGTTCAAAAATTAACGGCTAAATATAAAAAACACTGTTTATTGAAACAGACGCACGACTTTACGATAACATGTCGTTTCCTGGTAGTTGAAAATGCCTACCTCTCCATCCAAAGTTGCTGTCTTTGATTAATCTGAAAAGTCAAAACAAAAGTTTAAATCGGGTTCCTTAGTCGGGTTTGAACTACCACAGGAAGACTTGACAGTACTTACTTATACTCATCTTCTATCATTGCTGCTGGATCAGATTGTTCGATGGCTTCACCGAAATACTCTTCTAGTGTTGGTAAAAATACTCTGAAAATACAAATGATGCGAGTTTGGTATAACAGAAAACGTAAAACTCTAGAAAATATTTCAATACTAATCAGAAAATTATTAATCCCACGTATACAGCTTTTTTGTTGTTATTGTTGCTGGTAGTTGTTGTTTTCTTTTGTTGTGGTTGTTGTTGCTGTTCTTGTTTGTTTGATGTTTTTGCTTTGTTGGATTTTCCCTTCTATCAATTTTTACCTTTTCTCAGAACTACAAGCTTCCAGATTGTTTGGACAAAGATTCCATAACCGAGTCAGTTCTGAACTACAAAATAATGCATGCAGTCATTTAACAGTGATTAACCTTAAACTATGAATTACCAACAAGAGAAATGGCAAGAATTACTCTGCGAACAGAGCTACTTTTCTCCCCCGCCGAGAAGCGAGAAGTAGCTCTGTTCGCAGAGTAGGCAAGAATAAAACTTACTGAGCAAATCATAATAAAAATCAACAAGACATACTTTCCCATTTGGATTTTCTTGGATTTCCAACCAGAAGAGATCTCTTCCCCAAAGCTTCTTGTTCTCTTCCTTGGTGCCTTGGAGGGAACTTCACTTGGTTCTCTGTTAAAAAAAATACATCACCAGATAACAATGCTGTGGATATCCAAGGTGATTATTTGAAATTTTTATATTAAATAAAAAGAATGATTTTGTTCACTTTGACTAATTCCACATCTTACTTTTCTTTGTCTTTGATAAAACTTGGGCAACCTTCATTCTTCCACAAGATCCAGTTTTCTTCCCTGTCTAATACATGCTGTAGCAATGCAATAAAAATAACATTTACCAAAACAAAAATAGCTTTACTGACTTTAATTATACAGAAAACTGTTTACCTCTGCAACTTTTGTAAACTTTTCCCCATCAGGAGGTATTTCTCTCATTAGCTAAAACATAACAGTTAGCATAACTCTTTGAATGGTACAGGGATGATAAACACTTGACAAGGACGGATGTGAAATAGAGGAAAGACAAGACGAAGAACCAAAGGAGAAGTGAAAGAATGGAAAAGAAGGGAGTAATAAAACAAGGAAGGAGTAAAGCAAGGGAAAAAGAAAGGAAAAGAGGAAAAAACAACGAGATGGAGAACAGGTGAAATATTACTTTATTCTTGGATTCACAACAAATTTCTCTGATTACCTGATAAACTAATTCTGTCATATCTTTAATTGCTACAGTTTGAAGTTCACTCAGAACGTGGTGATTACTGAAATATAACCCAAAAATAATTAAACTACAAACAAACACATCAATATTGTCATAAAACTCTAGATAATAACAATAATGGCAGCACAAACCTTTTGAATTTGACAGTACCCGTGAGGTATTGAAATAATATGATGAACTGCAAGAGTATCTAAATCAAGAAAAAACATGGTCAACCTCTGCTTTGATTGTTTTACAGTTGGAGTTTTCTCCACATAGTCTATTGGGAAACTTTTGACTATAACATCGGCTGTCAATGATAACAAGTCTAAAAACTATATCAAATATTTGTTTGTTGGTAATAAAATAACTTCTTGTTTGATGAAACAAGATCAATGATAAGTCTAAAAACATTCGAGATTCTCAACGTTACATATATTTTTGGCTGTGTGAAAAGTCATTAGTCTTGAAAAAAAAACTACTTTGTGAAAACTGAATACTGACATTTCAAATCTCAAAAATTTCCAGAAGATTTTTCAATATAAACAACATCTATCTGCAGCATTTCCACAAGCAAATGAAAGCATTTCTCATGAAAGTGGACCTCATATCTATTGCTTAGTTGTATCAAAATGCTAACATATTCTGTCTATTTCTTAATGCAACTTACAGTTCTTCTGAAGTTGCTGTCACTGAGCTGCAAGTCCAAGAGCTGAAATGAAGAGAGTATTGTTACAAATTCTGTATAGTTTTAATTGTAAACTTAAGAAAACACTTGTTACCTTCTCATTTGTGAGGAACTTTGGAAAATAGCGAGGCTCTTCACTGCTATCTGTTTTCCTGAAATAATAATTTCACTGCTGTTGTCATAAAGCTTAAAAAACGCAGGTAAATTCACATTTTCTTTCCTTGAAAGGGTAAATTTCAAACTTCTAGATGAACCAGTTTCATTGATGACATGGTTGTTATCAGCGCTTAACAAATAACTCTTTCCCACTATTCTTGGTGATCTTTGATCACATTGCATAAACAGTGGTGAATAAGATCAATTTAACAATCAAAACTACCTTGTTGGGGTGTCCGGTTTCTCATTTGATTTATTCTTAGACAATTTCTTTCTTGAAGTGTGTTCCAATTTATGACTGTTAAACACATTCAGGATCTCTTTAGAGCTCTAACAACAAATATTAAAACAAATATATCAATCAGAACAAAAAGATGAATGAATTGATACACAAATGAATGAATAAGAGAATTGGATGGATGGGAAATGAATAAATGGAAAATGAATGAGCAAATCAAAGATTGAGCAATTGAATTGATGATGGCAGAGGTAAAATAGCACTTACATGTAAATACAATAGATGTAATGTGTTTTTACCTGATAAAACTTTTTCCATCCCTCATTTGTGTAACACTGTGTAGGGTTCCTAAAGAAGTCTTGAAGGGCCCAAAACTTCCTGTATAAATTGTAATCGACTGGGGCACTTGAAGAAAAAAAAAATCAAATCAAATCATTACACAAATTTTAAACATTAAATATGTTTATTTTATAATATTTTTTTTAATTCTTCACCTTGGTAGAATTTCTGTACCATCATCAGTGATCATTGAATCAGATGACTGGTCTTTGCTCTAAAACAAACAATAAATGTATGGTGAATGTACATTTCTGTGAAATACTTTATAATTACTATCATTATTACCAGAAGGTGTATGTACAATGTAAGACATGACTAAAAAACTAATAAAGCTCAAAGAATATTTTTAAGCAAATTCGAATATATTTTTTAGTCTAATAATGAATATAGTATGCCAAGCAGGATAAAGAAAATGTGCAAAAAGTTAATATAGATTAAAAATGAAATGGTTTGCAATAAATATAATCACCTCAAACTCAGTCTTTTTATTGTATTTTGTAACATTCTCTAAGTTAAACTGACTCATCAGGTTCAGACCTTAAAAGAAACAAAAAACAACAACAAATATCTATAAGAGTAATCAACGTAAATGGGTTAGAGCTCATTTCTATCTTTAGTTTAAATGATTACTTCAACTATGTTGCGCTACTATTATCATCGCTTCAAATAATTGTTACCTGATCTTTCTGATAGAGGAAACAGTCTTGCAAGGAACATTTGTATTCTCCCACAAAATACAGTATTCTGTTGCGTTGAAAGTCTTCGTAATAAATCTAAAAGAGTGTATTACAGGTAAGTTCTGTAAGGATACAGTTGGACAAGCCCAATTGAGGATACGTTTTTTCAAAAAAACAAGAAAATAAATAAGTTAAAGACAGCGTATATCTTACCATTGCACATTCTAAGAAGTAGATTTTTTCCAGCACTGAAGAATAAAGGCTGAGAATAAAAAAAAATAGTCAAATGTTGATAATTCAGAGTAGGGTTAGTAACTCTGTTCATAAGATAATAATGTTCTAAATAGTATACATTGCACCCAATGAAAATAATCTATATCATACATCTTGTTCATAAATGCATTAATAGGCTGAATTGATGAAATTTATCTTAGTTAACAATGCTCAGTTAGCATGAGTTTAATCTTCAAATACATGCAGTCAGCTAATAAAATCCCAATATCTCACCATAGTCCATACTGATACTTGTTCTTCGACAAAACCAAAGAGTTTTTCACAAAGTTGCAATGTTATACTGTCAAATACGTCACTCAGAAGAATAAAAGGAAGAGTTGGTGAGCAAGTTCCTGTGAACAACAAAAGGCATCATCTGTTTTAGAAGAAACAGTAAGTTGCAGCTCCTCTATTATGAGGGCAATGCTACATTTTTTCACAGCCCATCAACCATCTTGAAAAGTGGTGACCTTGGCCTTACATTGTTCAAGAAAGATAATGATAAACCTTATACTGAACTGATAGATAAAATGGGACAACTATTCAGATAAACAGTTATGCAAAAAGATAAATTTAACACCGTAAAAAAGTATGTGAAAAAACTTACTGACGTTTCGGATGTTAATCCTTCGTCGGAGTAAAGACGAAGGATTAACATCCGAAACGTCAGTAAGTTTTTCCACATACTTTTTTACGGTGTTAAATTTATCTTTTTACATAACTGTTTCTTTAGAAACACCGACGCAGCTCACACTAGTTTACCGCTAGTTCCCACTATTCAGATAAATACAGTCAACTCTCGCCTTACGGACACCCCGCTACAAGGAACACCCTGATATTGCAGACAGTTAAATACTAAATCTCCGGCGAAAAAATACCAAATAAATGACTGAAAGTCACTCTCATTACTATGGACACTCGCTACTTCAGACACTAAATTACGGTCCTGAGGGTGTCTGTAACAGCGAGTTGACTGTATCAGTGCACAATCAACCTCATCAACCACCATTTTACTTTGATGTACATTGAACGTACAAGGTACTCAAGAGTGACAGTTTGCGTTACACTAATATATACCTTGTTGACATGCTTCTATGGCAAAGGCAATCAGTTGCTCAGATCTTTCCACATCACCATCTTTAAGCTATATTGTAAAATTTGCATTTGAAGAACAATATCAGTCAATAATGTACTTAGCTTTTCTAAATATACACATGAATTTGGCCTAATAATACATGTACATAAGAATAAACAAAGCTAGTAGTAAACAAATCAAACTTATCGTATGCACAATTAGCGAAAGGACATCATCTTAGCGATTACCAAACTATCTTTGACGAGGTCTCTGAAGGCCTGGTCTACAGAATATTTCCTCTCTGCATCGCTGTGTAGTTGGAAAAACGCATTTCAAAAAAAAGTAATCAAACAAACGAAAATATACAAAAATATTTGGATTCTAAGAGAACGTAAATTGAACAAAGCAGAAATGTTTAAGAAATAAATGCATTATAATTAAGCTTAATTCTCAAAAATATTGTGTTCCAATGTGCCTACCTTTCAGCGAGCTTGGAAGATAAATTTGCCAGCTCTTTCGCCGCATCTTTTCCTGAAGCCTTTTCTATAAAATTCTAATAGTATAATATTGTGCTTTTAGATGCAAATAAGAACATATTGTTTGTTTTCTGAGTTTAAAACTTACTTTGACTGTTGATCTAGTTTTTTCGTACCCGTCCGCCATCTTTGATCATAGTAGTACTTATTCCTCCTGACCGAGATGTACACAGGTATGGCTATACAGCGATCTTTGGATACGAGCTTTGAAATCTTCACAAAAAGTTATTAATTACAAAAGTATTTATCAATGCACACGATGCAGAAATGATTTAGATGATAGCATCTTCTGTTTTTTGGACTCAAAATTCTTCAACATCTGAGCACGAAATTTTGCGTAATTACTATGACGTAATAAGTTTGGATTATGACGTTACAAATTGCTATTATTGTCCTCATCATCAAGCGAAAGTAAGCGAACATCTTTTGCTTTTTCACATTTTCAAAAAAGTGCTGAGAAAGGAACCACAGGATCTCCCTTTGGTCCTTGTGGTCCTGGCATTCCTCTACGACCAGGGATAAGTGCACGTCGACGTTTGATTTTTGTAGAATGTGGAAAAGAATTTAATCTCTCGAACTCAAAAACACACCAAGACGTATACCACGGGTTGATAGAAAGCTAAGCCTTGGTTTACAAACTTGATGATTATTTTTGATAGCCCGTCGCCTGGTGTTACGTATGCTTTTGACTTTGGGTACGTTCTTGCTGCACGCTGGCTACTGAATGGTCTGAAATGATTTCTATAGTAAAAAGGTCAGTGTTGCATTATGGAAGCCTGTGTTACATCCGGAATTTCTGTCTAATTTCCGACTAATTGGCCTCAGTCCGCTTGAAGTCGATATAATTCTAGCTTTTTACTGTTATTAAATATTTCATTAGTTTTCTCTTCTTTTTTCTTTCTTCCTTTCTTTTTTGTTTTGTTTTGAGAAACTTGACTCAAAGCTGAGCCTTGCATGCCGCGGAAGTAAGTTGCATGATTTTATTTACCTGAGCTGATCACAATTACTGTGTCACATGAGAGAAAACGAGTAAAAAACAACCCACTTGTAAGCCAGAATTACTTGTACCCGGACTGTAAAGCCTTGAAATTCGACCACTACAAAACCATTTCTCCACACACGTGATAACCTAATGCATGTCAATTTTTCATTTTCAAATTAATGCCTTACATAAGCATAAAAGATACTGTTATTCGGGGGCTGGGGAGGGCACGAAATAAAACCGATTCTTATAACTTCTCGTTTGTGTCCACCGCTTTTGTCCAAGCGGTTCAGAACATCATCTTAAAAATGAAATGCGGTAGCTTTTAAAGTTTCTCACTCTCTTTGTTGTTGTGATTAATTTAAAAGGGGTGGGTCGATCTATCATAGTCTATTTGATAAAGGAAAAGTTTAATAAACTCTAGATAGGAAGGCTTAGCACAGTTATCAATAACTACAAAAATATATCTAAGCATGTAATCAACAGGCATTCAAACCCACGCAAAAATGAAAATACCAAATATAACATTGCTCTAAATGTGAACTTCATAAATGTTCTTGTTTTCAAGTAAAATACTCATAGTACACGCGTTATTGCTTTTGTTATATTGTCATGATTACATAAATATTATGTTTGGGTTTCTATTATCTTTCCATTCAGTTTTTGCGTTTATATTTCCTGCCCAGCAGGTCTCATTTGCCGATGCGAGTCGTGACGCCAGTAATAATCTTGAATTGCACGATATGTCATGCAAAGCACGTCATTTAAAAATGAAAACCTTTTTGTGTTGAAGAAAACAAAAATATAAAGTTGTTTTAACAACCTTGACAACAGATACGCCATATCACAACACGCTATAACATATTACGAGCTATATGATTGGTCACTTTACAGACTACGTCATAAAAGACGCGTTTTGATTGGCTGATTGTCACTGTAACAGGTGCTCGCACAGAGTATCTCGATAATTCGTTGATGACATCCACTTGAAGAGTGTTATCACAAACTGTAGATATTATATCAACTTCTCAGTAAAAAATGGTCGATATTATTCAAGATAACTTGAGTTTGTCAGCACAAGATGATACGAATAGTGAGGTTAGTTTCGCAAAGATCGATGTGACTTTAGAAAGTTTGCGTCAGTTCTGATTAATTGTGTATAGTTTTAATGCATTGTTTGGTAAATTCTAATTTTGAAGAGATAACTTTTCTTTCAATTTGTCAGCATAGATGATCTTATATCTCCTAAACTTATAGCACGGATCCTCTATTAAAACCTTCTAATTTTATGTATAAGAGTCGTCAATAATTACAAATTGACGATTTTGGGATCTGTTACAAATATCGCGGTTTCTGTGCAGAAAAATAGTCATGAAATCATAAAAAGTTTGTCACACAAAAAATGTTTTTTCTCATTCGTAAATCTCTAAAGATAAACTTCTTTATTAACCACAAACGTTACTTTAATTTTATCCCAAAAATGTACAAATTCTGATTAACTATTGCTCCATTTAGCTTCTTCAAATAGCATATTGTAGCCTATGTATGCAAATGGCATGCATGCTGCACATCAGTTATTCTATTTTATTTCTAATGACGAACTTCCAGTGAAACGTTTGCCAAACCACTTCAAGTTATAGCGATACTTCAGCAATTCAAATCACGCGATTTATGATAGATCTTGTTTAGTACGAAACGTAATTAACATTGCCGACATAATTCTTGAATCGTGTGCGAAAGTTATAGAGTGTTCCAATCATAATTGTTTTAGTTTTGATATACTTCCATGGGAAATCTTGAGTCAAGAAGCTTTACTTTTTAAACTAGTCTAATCACCCTTTTATCATGATCTCACCTTTTTCAAAGTATTGCACCATTGTGTAAAACTAAATTAAAGAATAGATATGTTGAGTAAAAAGTAATCTACTTTCAATGAAAGATATTTGAGATGTGCCTGAAATTTCTAGAGGTTTTATAACAGGTTTTTCTTATATTTAATAGGCAATAATGTGCTATAGCATCAGTGTTAAAACTATTTTTTTCAACTCGGTAACCTTTATTTTTCTGTCAACTGCCAAACGCACTGGAAAGAATCTAGATGCTCAATATAATAAGATATAACGCTGCCTGCAAACATTTTGTATCCAAAATACTTTGGAGCTTCCAGAAAACTATTGCAGTTTAGTCGCAAATGTTGCATACTGTGCATCAATAATTGTACAGCGTCATCACTTCTCAGTCCAAAAATTGACAATGTCAGCAAAACTAGAATGATCTATGTACCAAACTTAATCTTGAAAATATTTTCTCGCTCTTAAGCATTCAGTGGCGTAATTTAGTTATTGGAATTAAATATCCCTGAAAGCTCGAGCGAAGCAAAGCCATATAACAGGATGTCACAAGATTTTGCAGCCTTTCATCCCATTCATCATTGCTTCGCGTGACGCCATTTTGTACAAGAAAGCATTATGGGGCTGTATTCCTCGCTATATTTTTTATAGCCCAGAACAACGGATAACAGAATTTTATAATACTTTTATCATTTTCTATTCAATTGAGTACAATTGTTTGCCAATAAAGTTCATATTCTCCATAGAACTCTAAATCAGGTAGCCGAAGAGGCTCAAATACAAGTGGTCTAAGTCGTGGCTCCAACAAGGCAAACAAACCGCCTATACCCGAGGCTTTTCCAAAAGACTTAATAGTGTCTCCTCCCGACAAGAAGTACGTTTGCTTGAAATGCGACGAAATTCTTCGTGAGCCCGTGCAAATCAAAGAATGTGGTCATCGGTTGTGCTTTCACTGTTACGAAGATATCAGATTGTAAGTATAGCCATGAAACAGGGGGGTCGCTTGTTGAAGGAAGGGGGGTTGTGACTAAATGAATATCAGTCTTCAGGTTTATTCTGTAGCTCACTATAAGTAGTTTCCGCTGGTCTTCTCTCAGCATGACCATATTTTTTTATTGCGCAAGGTTTCAGCACAGTTATAATTGTTCAATATAAGCAGCACGAAGCAGAAACATGTATTCCTGACCAGTTGGTCGAACTACCTACTGAATGTAAGCTTTTTTACGTTATTTTTTAGTGGAGAAGAGTCTCCAGTTTGTCCTGAAGATCAAAATGAGTTCGACCGAGACACTCCTCCGGTAGGTACAGCTATGTCAGAACCGCGTATACGCAGAATTCCTCATTAGAGTAGAATAGGTATTGAACGCTAGCGCAGTGCTGATGATATTCCATTAGTGTCTGCTAAAATATTGACAAGGGGACGATGATCTAAGTGGAGTCGACAATACGCCTTTTTCCCGTTCAAAGCGAACAACCGCTGTTTAAGTTGACAACAGTCTTTCATGCGCAGGGACCTGACCAAAAACCGAACGAAAACACGAAAAGCTTTTATCATTACACAAAAGCCCCACAAATTTGCATTTATCCGATTTGAGCAACTGTGGGAATACATGCTAAGCCTCGAATCGGAGAAGATTCAAATTTCTAGAGGTATTGTAATGTCAACATTTTTTCGTGGTTTCTTTTGTTCTCTACGCAAGTGAGTCTATTGTCTACTAAAACAGCGGTCGTTCACATTGAACACAAATCAGGATAGACTGCTGCATAAAACTGGAACACAAGAAAGATACATTTGTAACTGATTTGCAGCTCCGCCCCTTAGCGTAATATGATAATAAATATATTACAATTGATATAGAATTCCAGTAATATCAAAAACTCACAATTCCTCTACAGGATATCGACAAAGCCTTCAAGAGAGAGATCGAAGAACTACAAGTAAAATGCAAGAACGTAGGAAGCGGCTGTTCATGGGAAGGACCGATGATTGAATTCCAGGTAAAAGTAGAAACAGTAAAAACAGATAATGCCATCGAAAACTGGGTACATTGTGCTGATGTTGCGATAATAACATCCCGTACTAGAAACTGATTCTATTTTCTCGTGGACAAGAGTACTAGTTCTGAAACTGGCTCTTTGCATTAATAAATGTACTTTGAACTACAATAAATTGGTGGAAACCATTCCAATAAACCTGAGATCATCAATAACATGACGTCCTTGTAAAAAGATGACGTTGGCAATGATTATTCATCAGTGACAGCAATGATTATTATAACAAATGTATTATTGAATTATTGTTTCAGGCGCACGTGAAAGAGTGCGATTATGAAGATATCCTTTGTGAATACGACTGCGGAGCCTCTTACCAGAGACGCTACAATCAGAAACATGTCGATAAAGAATGTGGCAAAAAGATTATCTCATGTACATATTGTAATGACAGATTCCTTCGTGAAGACAAGAAGGTTAATGAAATGATATTTGAAAATGATAGACGTCTAATCCTGCTTGACGTTTGATATTTAAATCCGCAGAGTCATCTGGAAGATTGTCCTAAAATTCCAGTAATGTGTCCAAACAAATGCGATAAGAAAGTGACTTTTCCAAGAGAAGAGGTGCGTTTCAGAACTTTTAAAATGTAAACCAGTTGTCTTGAAGTACGTTCGTAGTTTCTGCTCATGTTTGAATTGGTTAAAATCCTATGATTTCTGATCTTTAGCTTGAAAAACATATTACAGAAGAATGCAATCGCGCCAAGATCAATTGTGACTTTGAGGATGTATGCTGTGAACACAAGGTGAGAAAACACACGAGCACTATCGTAGATGATTGAGTTGATGATGATGATCATCATCATCATCACATGAAGCGGCTCGTAACTGCCCCGCCCCTCTAATCGAGCTTATCTCTAGCCATTGGAGGTCTCAGCTGGTCATGAGCAGTGTTGATGGAAGCTGATTAAAAGTGCAAACTTTTCATCCTTTATGTAAAGTTGTGCTATAGTTACATTCATCAAGGAAACCCGCTCCCCATCATGATCACAACGCCTTTTAAAAAAACTTATAAAATTATCATCATTACTAGAAATAATTCTCGGCCGCAATCGTCTTTAATCCCCATTATTATTTCCATCTCCACCACAAAATAATTTGCCGTGATGATGATTATTCATCTTTATCAAAAACCATGACCATCATGACGTGACATCAGTATGACTCAGTGTGTTTTCATTATCCAGGCTAGTCGAGAGAAGATGATAAAACATTACACTAAAGAAATAACAAACCACGTGAGGCTTCTCCACGACCGGCTGATGAAACATGACATACTTCTGAACCAGGTCAAAGAAACCGTCGAACTTCACGGGTCCATGTTCGACCAACATGCTGCTCGAATTGTTGACTTGGAGAGAATTGCCCATAGTCAACTGATATGGAGAATTGACGAGTATTCTGAGTATGTTTACTAATAGTAGCGTTGGATTATTGTTTATCTGAGCTGTTTTATATTTACCACGCAGTAAAAACTCTGATGACCATCACTGACTACAATTTTTTCTGTTATTCGCAACAGTAAAATGAAAGCAGCTCAGTCAGGTGAGATGACAACATTATACAGTCCTGGATTTATAACAAGCAAACATGGCTACCGTCTCAGTGCTTCCGTCTCTCTCAATGGCGACGGAAAAGGCAAAGGAACTCACATGTCGGTTTTCATATGTATTCTGAGAGGTAAGGACGCGAAACTTTTTAACCTCTTTACAAAAGGAAGCAGCATGATGACTGGGCATGTTGATCGTGCAATCCAGTGGTCCGAGTTCCAGTCTGATCGCGAACACCTGGAAAGACGTTCTAATTTCGAATTGATTTAGTTAGCTGGCTGGCTGGTTGAACAGTAGGACATTACATTCATATTCTTGTATTTTGTAGGTCCATATGACGCTTTGCTCAAGTGGCCTTTTGATTGCCGTGTAACGTTTACCCTGCTCGACCAAAATTCAGATCCTAGTCAGAGAAAACACCTGAAGTTCACCATCAAACCAAACCCTTCGCCGGAGAACGCGCAGTTTCTAAGCCGACCTCACAAAGCAGAGAAAAACGCTAGCTTTGGATCTGCTAAGTTTGCTAAACATGCGGAAATTGAGTCGAGGAATTATATCAAAGATGATACCGTGTTCTTGAAAATCAATATCGATACCGAGGGGCAGACTGAACCCTTTGATTGACAGGTTTTGCAGCTACTTTTGTAATTTTTGTAAGGTTAATGTAATATGGAAGGCGGCAACGATTTCGCATCGAAATTGAAAGTGAACTTAAACTTATTTTGATCTTGAACTGTCTTCAATCCTTGCTAACTAAAGGCGCTCATCCACACTTTGTCCTAAAGGGGATCACAAATAATACAAAAATCAAACTGAGACAATGCATGAGATGAAAATCTAGAATATATAGACTAACTGAGTTAGGTGTTGTAACATAATTATTTGCTTTGTAAAAATGTGGTATATACGATGTGAGAAGAAAAAGAAGGACTTACAATGTAAATCGAAAGTTTTTCCAGGTTCCGTGCAACACAAAATAGACCTAATCGGACAATGAAACATGCCACGTAGTCTTTACCAATAAGCAACCTTTTTCTCTAAGAATTCATCCTGTTGCATGCTATAACTAATGCCATAGCTTACAAAAAAGAAAACGGTGTTAGTTGATTATGTTCATTGTGAAATTTTTCAGGCACATGTACATAAAGTACAACTGTACAAAGGATTAGATTCCAAACGTTTATTATACGTTTATATACAATATAAATTGTCATGTTGATGACTGGAGACTGGATGAGTGTGTCAGATCGGTGGTCAGATGTTCAAGAGTGTGATGCGTTTGATAAGATGGAGATCCCATATTGTTGGGTGCGTGAGATCCTCAGGTCCCAAATTGATGGGTGCGTTTGATACTATGGGTCCTATATCAGCTATATTGATTGGTGCGTGAGATCTTCAGGTCCCATATTGATTGGTGCGTGATGGATACCGAGGTCCCATATTGACTATTGTTGTTAAAGGCCCAGTATTTTACTACCATAATGATATCGCAATATATTTCTAACACAACCTAGACTGCGCTTGCGGGTATTCCGACACAGGTAGTCCACGGAGTTTAACGGGGAATGTCGATGGCCTGATCTATTTGTAATATTTGGACATGACGATGAGAACCAGCTCGATGTGCACAGACACGACACCAAAAACAAGCTGTAACAACAGGACGCAACTCAAAACTTCTGTAACTTTTGCAAAAATGCATTTTCAGAAGATATTTTTCTAAATCTCCGAAAATTCGAGCCTTGTAACCACTACTCATAGATCATTAATTTGAAAACCTGACTCGAAAGTTACAGGATACTGCAATTTTTGCCTTCTCACTAAAAATTGTTATGATAAGATTAATTGTTTATTCAATGTTTATTATCTGTCAAAATGTCAAGGTAACTGATCGGATAAATATCAATACACTGCCTCCCAAGAAAACTCCATTATATTGACGCGGCGTAAGTTCAAGTCTAATTAGGCCTTCCTCTCCTGCAAATAAATGAATTTGTAGTCGCAGTCGAAATGATTGATCTGTTTTATGCCACTATTGTACATGTAGTCGTTTTGAACACAATGCACAGTCAGACTGCAGTAGATTCTAATCAGTACTCCTGACTTGCACTTGCTTCGATAACAATAACACAATCTTCGTCTGAAATATTAATTTGTAATTTTTAATGAAATCTATTGTTATTAGACTGCATTAGACAAGCCCCGTTACACGCTACCAAATAAAGTAACGTTGAAGTGAGTTTGAATGAATTAGATAAATTAACTCTCTCACTAGAAAGGCCACAGTAATGACAACTTTCAATGATCTGAATTCTCTCCATACTATAGTCTATGATCCCAAATTGAATCATCTTGTCCATACTGCTGGTCAATATTGATTTATACTTAGTAACGAAGAATAGGATAACATATAATTGTCAATATTTGAATTTAGGATTTTTGAAATACCAAAAGCCTTTTTCACGTAGAATTGTGAATGTGTCTTATGAAGATGACTTAAATTGTCATATATATCACGGGCAGAACAAAATGCTTAGCAAAATACTCATTCAAAACATAGGAATTGACTTTTCGCTGCCAAAGCAAGTAAGAAAGTGTTTTTAAACCTTGACAACACACACACTGTACTACAACATATAACGGGGAATATGATTGGATGTATCTGGTTGCCGTGTCATCTTATTTTCTTAAAAGAGTTATGATTGGCTGACTGTCACTGTAACAGGTGTTTGCACTGAGTATCTCGATAATTCGTTAATAACATTCACTTTGGAAGAGAAGTGTTATCACAAACTATAGACTAAAACACTTCCCTCAGAAAAATGGTTGACAAACAAGATAGTGTTAGTCTAACATCAAATGACAGCTACATTAACCAAAAGAGGCTACCCAAAAACGAGAATGAAGTAAGTCAAAACATTGAAATCATCTTTCGTTGCGATGTTGAAAAAAAGACGGAATTCCTCATATGCGGTATCTTGAAAAAGTTTTCTAAGTATTAAGAATTTCATTTTTTGACAATAATCTAAAGAAGTGTTTTGCAGACTCTGCAAAACACTTCTTTAGATTATTGTCAAAAAATGGTGCAGTATTTAACACAGACACATTTCTCGTTGAGATATGAATGTCATTGTCTTCATTGAAATACTTCCAAACAATTTGCGCATTTTGAAACACTCATGAAGACTAAACGTTGGCAAATGCTATGGACTCGTATGAAAATAACCAGTCGTCGAAAATAGAAAAAAAAAACGAAATTTACATGAAAATGATGTTTTCAACTTTTAAAATAACAATTTCGACAAATTAATTAGAATTCTTTTTAGTCATTCTACTTCATCTTCAGGCAAGATTTGCACCACAAGCGGTCACGATATCTTGAAATTTCCATTTTTTTAAAAACTGTGAATCGCAAGGAATGTGATTTTTCTCTCATGAAGTTCGTTCCTTATTGAAAGTATGTTGAATATTTTGCAGAAAAAAGTTACAGAGTAGAAAAAGTCAAGTTCCCTCTAGAACATTCCAGAATTTACTTATGTCGGCTCTGCATGTTAACCTCTGTTTGTCAAGCATGCGCTAAAATACCACTCGCCCCCTGCATCTTCCCATCTCTTGAGAGTTCTCAAAAACTCTTGCATGTAACCTTGTTAAGCGTTATTGATTCTCTGCTCACTGCATGCGCTCGGCCCATGGGGACGACTTGAATTTCTGTCGCTGGGTTTTAGCCAACATTTCCAGGTTCATCACATGTTGCATGTCTACTAGAATGACGGCTACGAGAACTTACAACAACAACCAGCATCCAACGAAAACCAATACGAAAACACGGAAGGCAACCGATACGAAAACGCATCAGCGAAACAGGGTCTATTTGTAAACGAGAAAGTTAGACAGTACGAAAACGCGACGGCGGGTCATTTCGACATAATTGTTAAAGAAAACGAATACGAGAACACAGACGAAAACCAATATGAAAGTGTGGGAGAGGTAAAACTACATTCTCACTGGCACCTCACTTGCAAAATATCTTAGTATCAAATATTAATGCACTTTTTAGAAACAAATTATTTCCTTCCAAGAAGTTGATCTTTATTCATAAATGAACTTTTATTCATGAATTTTGGCCACGACAAATTTTCAACACGCGAGCAGCGGACTTATCTCGAGCTTTTCCAGGGATTCGAGTCATTTTTGGTGAATTTGTACCGCCGCTCATTTCCAAGGAAAACAGAAAAAGTTTTTATAACCAAACTAAAAAGAATCTATTGTCAGAATCCGCTTGTTTGGTCATCGCACTTGGAAAATTATCTGTGAGCAATTTCATTTCACTGAGCTTTTCGTGCAAAACTTACTTCGCTATTCCGTTCAAAGTTAAAAATACACTACTCGTCATCAGTTAAATAGGAACCCCGCCGATCAACCGTACTGCCTGCTGTACTATTACAATGATCATCCATACCTTAATCTACAAGGCTTGTTAAAAAATGATTGTATGCCAAGATGTAACACCCACGTTTGTACCGTGGGGTTCCGCAGGTCTTCACTGAAAGATCGAGAAAATGAATTCATTATTTTTTGATTATTGTATGGCGTACGTATGACGTAATTATTGCTATTGGATACGGTAAAGTTGTAGCGGGAAATTTCATCACGCGGCCTGTACATCTGTATATTAGAATATTTTGTACTTGGGATTTTGGATGCGTTTTTCATTTAATCACAAATTCTGGAAAGTAAAACGAAATTTTACTTTACGCCATTCTCATTCCACCAATTTTGCAAATGACATTCCAGAATCGTAAAGAAGCTCCATTACGATTCACGTCACACCTCACAACACGAAAAATAAAAGCAAGCGCACAAACAAAACACTACTGGAATATCTTAGGTAAAACTGGACAATATTGACGTCAGTGAATAAAAAACGATTTCATACAAAACTAACCTATAATCACTGCACTGTGACTTGGTCGGAAATTCATTCTAGAAATGTAGTCAGTAAAATTCCATCAATTCCAGGAAAATTCCAGGCGAAGTAGTCGAGCTGCGAGTCCAAGTGGTAGCCATGGATCACGCACTAGCAGCGCACGGCCTGACTCCCCGGACATCTTTCCTGTCTTACCTAAAAGACTAGAAGATATAGATGAAAAATACGGATGTTTGAAGTGTAAAAAAGTCCTGTGCCATCCTGTCCAAATTCAACCATGCGGACATTATCTTTGTTATAAGTGCTTCAAAGAAATCGTCAAGTAAGCATAAAATTTCCTATCTCTTCAGTCTCTTTAGTTTGGTATGATATCTAAGAATCAGTTGACTGTATTGAAACTCTTCACAGTTAACTTGAAGTCACTGCGCGTGCAACTTCAGCTTGGTTGCTATTGTGGTGGATACAAAACTACCGTTTCAGCCTCTCTAGTTGTTGTATACTCATCATGATTTGTTTCCTAGTGAAAGTGATAATGAAAAGCCGCCAAAATGTCCAAAAGACAAGCAGGAAATAGACTCGGATGTTCCTGTGAGTATAGCTATAATGGGTACCTGCGATTGCTTTTTCTTCTTTTTCCCCTTTGACTTTTGAATGGTTATTGGACTAGACGCTCTTGACAACTATTTTAAAAACATAAAATGTTTGAGCTTGATATGAAATGATGTAATTATCACACGCAGAATTTGGACAAAGATCTTTGGAATGAGATCCAGGCTTTGGACGTGGTATGCGAGAACCAACAATGGGGCTGTAAATGGGAAGGAAACATTATGTCATTCGAGGTAAGCTGTGTGGTATGGACTTTAGAATCAATAAAATTACAGATGTTCTTTTCTAGTAAGCTGAGCTCTGTGTTGAATGTCTTGACTAGGATCATAACGACGAATGTCCATACACCGATGTACTGTGCAAGGCCGACTGTGGAGCGAAATTCCAAAGACGATACATTACAAAACATGAAGATAAAGACTGTCCTAAAAAGATGATTTCTTGTCCTTACTGCGCAGAAAGACATCTCAGAGAAGAAAAGAAGGTAGAAGGTTTGATGATCATTTCTGATCTCCTTTAAAATCAATTAATTGTGTAATTGTTAAGTCAATACTATTTTGTAATTGCAAGAAAACTGATTATATTTACGTGTATATTTTTTAGACTCATTTCGAAGAATGTCCAGATATCCCTCTTCCCTGCCCAAACAAGTGCGACAAAAAGTTAACCATTGAGAGATCAAAGGTATTCGATATCAAATTGATAACTAATAAGTCATATTCTATGACCGATATTTGTCGTTTTTTTTTTCTCTAGCTTGAAAACCACGTTGACAATGAATGTCCTCGTACTAAAATCCTGTGCATGTTTGAAAACATTGGCTGCGCACACCGAGTAAGTTTGTTCTGTCTTAATCTCTAGTTGATTGATTGATTGATTGATTGATTGATTGATTGATTGATTGATTGATTGATTGATTGATTGGTCGGTGGGATGATGGTTGCTTGATTGTTTATTTGGTTGGTTGGTTGGTCGGTTGGTTGTTGGTTGGTGGATTGGTCAGGGTCGGTTGGTTTATCTTCTGACGATTGGTTGATTGGTTGGTTGGTCGGTTGGCTGGTTGGTGGTTGGTTGTTCGGTTGGTTAGGGTTGATCGGTCGGTCGGTCGATTGCTTGTTTGTTCGCTGGGTTGATGTTTGGTTAGTTGCCTGGTTGGTTGGGTGTTGTTCCGTGGATTGGTTGGTCGGTGGTTGATTGGTTTGTCGATGACGTGATATATGGTATCTTCCTATGTCTAATCCTATTCTGTATTTTTTTTCAGTCCAGTCGAGAGAAAATGGCAAAACATTATTCAAAGGAGACATCGAGCCATGTTAAACTCCTCTTCGATATGCTGTTAAAACAGGGACAGTCTATTGACATGCAAGATGAGAGGCTATTATCTTCTGAACAGTCGTTGATGGAACAAGACAAGCGTATTGGAGACCTTGAAAAGATCGCTCACAGCCAGTTGATCTGGCGAATTGAGGACTATAACAGGTAAAGAGACTTATCAGTAAGCTTATGTAATACTAGTTTATTAGTACAGACCAGAAGTACAGACGAAGAGCAGGCGCACGTTGTCATTGGTCCGTCACGTTATCATTGAACCAATACAAGTCTTTAAAGTTTTTTTCTCTTTTAATAATTGTTATTTTTTTTAGAAAGTTGAAGGAGTGCAAGGCAGGAAATGTCGATTCTCTTTTCAGTCCGACATTCACGACGAGTAAACATGGTTACCGTCTGTGTGCGTCTGTCTGTCTGAATGGCGATGGGAAGGGAAAAGGAAGTCACATGTCCGTGTTTATCAGTGTTCTTAAAGGTATTATAGATCGAAATAAATATTTTACCACTAATACTGAACTCTCTTAGTAAATGTACCAACAAACAAAGTGCACATGCCAACCAAACACGAACAACCCAAGGCATAAAAAACCAGCCAACCAACCAACGTGATTCAAAATGGATCAGAGTCTTCTGTTTGGACCTCGCTTTCAGAAACGATAAAAGGTTACCTTGGTTTGGGCTTGAATCAGACCTATTGCTTGCTCGTCGCTGTATATACCACTGATGAAATAATTTGCCGACTATAAGTCTAAATACAATTACGGAATGCCACGCAACTTTGTTAAAATTCTGCGCTTCTAAAAAATGGCGATAAAGATCAACGAATTTGCATTACACTACTCAAATAAAACTAGAATTAAGCTAAACACACACTCAGTCGGTATTACAAAAAGTAAAAGCACTACACATGAACTTACAATTAAGAGCTTCTGAATCAAAACAACCAAGCAGTTCCTTTTTAGACATTTTGCAAAACATCCATACTTCAAGAAAGTTCATAGAAGTTCTGCTATTGTTACGTCACTAATTCAGGAATTAGAGAAATGCGCGCGCAAATTCACACGCATGCGCATCTTATCCACAGGAAGCCCGGACGCGTTTTGTTCTTAGCTTATCAGGTCATTATGATATTTCACTGAAATGGCCTTTGAATACCGTGCTACGTTCAATTTGTTGAACGATTTGCAGTGGAACAATCCTTTCTATAGTTTCTTTTAATCCTAATACCAACCAAGCTGCCCTGGGGTTGGAGGGGTGGGGATGATTGTCGTATCTTTTTGAGGTAAAAACCAGGGTTCTGGTATTACATATTCCATTTGTTCCTTTTTATGACATTTATGACATTTATAGATCATAATTGAACTCTATATATTTTCAGGTCATTATGATTCTTTACTGAAGTGGCCTTTTGAATACCGTGTTACATTCACCATGTTGGATCAGAACGAAGACATCAATGCCAGGAAGCACATCAAATTCAGCATCAAACCAAACCCATGTCCTGAGAACGAACCTTTTCTTGGCAGACCCAAAATGGAGAAGAACGCCAGCTTTGGTGGCGCTAAGTTTGCAAGACATGAGGATATCGAGGCGGGGGGATACATCAAAGATGATGTAATCTTCCTGAAAATAGCTGTTGATTGTGATGGACTTAGTGAGCCTTAGATATATACTTGCATATAACACAACACAGTCACGTTTGTACTCAGAAATATGTATATAAACCTTTGAAGGTCTGCGTCCCATTCAATTTCATAAAAGTTTTAGCTTTTTCTGTTGCTCAAAATTCGCAAATATTGTAGTCACCGATAGTCACCTCTATCGCATTAAAGACATTATCTAAAAGGGACAGGCCCCAATTGCGTATAAAGTGAATAAATTTCTCCAAGAAAAATTGCGGTTTGGGGGGTTGTCAACGTAACATTGAAACTCTCAATAAGTAAGATATTATAAATCGTGGATTATTTGTTTTTTGTAAAAGCTCACTCGCTTTATATAATATAAATTGAAGATTCACATTTATTAGAATAAAGAAACCATTTTCACTAAACACGCAATTTTGCCCTGTTCATGGTTTGCTCGTTCGTTGTGTATTACCCATATATAAAATAATCATGGAATGTTCTTGCTGTTGTTTACTGCTATACCAAAAAATACCACAAAATCTCTTTTTTTCTCTCCAAAATTATACCACAAATCTCTTTTTTTCCCTCTTTTAACTCAGAAGAAAGGATTAACACCCGAAACGTGAGTAAGTTGTTTCACCGTTTTTTTCGGTGTTATTTAAATTTATCTTTTTACCCAACTGCAGTTCCTTTAGTGACACCGACGCAGACCGACGCAGGCCGCGAGTTTACACAACAAATCTCTTTGCTCGACTTTTCGGTCTTCCTGTGGTCGTCAAGAACGCGCGGGAGACGGTCACGTGATAGAAACAAAAATGGCGGCTGAGTTGAAAGGTGTTTTGAAAGAAACTTCATCAAAAAACATTACTTTATCGCCATTTAACTGCAATTTCTTTTGATCCCCCGCAAAAGTTGCATAGAAAAATGGATTTTTTTATGCAAGGGTGCTAATATTTTTGAGAGAATGTTTTTTATTTGGTGCCAAAGTTATAAACAAAATGACGTTCCTTCTGCAAGCTTCCTAAGACCGTTGAAGAGTAAATTTGTCTATTAAGGTTAAATGGAGAATTACCATGTACTGCATCTTATTGGTGAAGGTTCGTTTGGTAAAGTTTACAAAGGAAGAAGGAAGTATTCGGGTCAGGTAGGAATTTTAATCATCATCCAGTGTGATATCGTACTATTGAGAATTATACCAGTCCAGTTAGAGTTAGTGAAAAATAGTCACATGAACAAGGTAGGGTACCTTTAGTGCACAGCTTCACACCCCTAGAACTGCCCTGATTGTACAACGTCATTGTTAGTAGAGATTTATTGCAGAGTATATTCATTCAGATCGTTGCCATGAAGTTCATCCCAAAGACTGGTCGATCAGAAAAAGAACTGAAAAATCTTCAAAGAGAAATCGACATAATGAGATCATTGGACCATGAAAACATCATTAGGTTACTGGATTCCTTTGAAACACCAAAAGAGGTACACTAGCAATAAATGATTATATTATTACAATAGGAAACATTTCTATAAAATTATGCTGTTCATTTCAGTGCTGTAGCTAGTTTATAGCCTTGCTCTCCTCCCTCTTCATTGCTTAAAGGTTTTGTACATTTTTACTTAGCTTGTATGGATAGAGACTACTGTACATATATTAGTCATTGTTCTTAGTTGGATTGTTATACTGTAGGTTTGTGTTGTGACTGATTACGCAGAAGGTGAATTGTTTCAAGTTTTGGAAGATGACGGTAGTTTGCCAGAAGAGCAGGTAATACAATCATAGATATATTACTTTCCTTAAGTTATAATTAGGATGTATTTTTCATGAATGTATTTCCATTGTAGGTTCAAAAGATTGCTTGTCAATTGGTCAAAGCATTGTATTATTTGCATTCTCATCGGATACTTCATAGAGATATGAAACCACAGAATATCCTGCTTGGAAAACATGGCATTGTTAAACTTTGTGACTTTGGGTAAGAGCTTCAAGAGTGCTTGTCTGTCTTAGACAAAGTGTACTTAGTTATTAACTAATATAAGCATTGGGTTTTAAGGTTTGCTCGTGCTATGAGTATTAATACCCTGGTCCTGACATCAATCAAGGTAATACAACTCACTTGTGCTTTTATTATTTGTCATTATTATTGATACTTTACCTCAAGAATGATTTCATAATTCAATGTTGTTATCTGAAAGGGTACACCTCTTTACATGTCTCCTGAACTTGTGCAAGAAAAGCCTTATGACTATAACTCTGACCTCTGGTAAGATTTTGCAAACTAAATGAACTATATTATAGGGACAGAAAACTGTCAATCAACATCCCACAGTGTACTCTGAGAATGAAGCTCCATCTGGAGGACGACAACAAAGGCTTTTTTCCTCACTACAAAGCCACCATTGTTTTGTCCCCCAGATAGTGCTGAGATATGATATCATTATGAAACAGTGCCTATTCACAAACAACATGTAGTTTTTTTTCAATTTTATTACAAATTGTTTTTTTAATTCATCAAAGATAAGTTGTTTATTAATCTATATTTTAACATGTTTTTTAGGTCATTGGGATGTATACTATATGAACTGTATGTTGGTACACCACCCTTTCATACTAACAGTATATTCCAACTAGTCAATCTTATATGCAGGGTAATGAAATCACAACTATACATTATCAAACCTGTGTTCTTTTAGTCGGCCTTGTTTCTTTATTGTTTTATTGATAATATTATTAATGGATTATCAATGGTAAACTTCGATAAATATAATTGTTCTTGTTCAATATTGTTGTCTTTTATCAGGATACTGTCAAGTGGCCAGAAAGTATGAGCCCCGACTTCCAGGTATAATACGTGACTAACATACATGTACTAGAGAGAATCTACCTTGTGATATCTAGGAAGTGAGATATTTTTTATAATACAAAGTTTTTGTTGGCTTATGTAGAGCTTCCTTCAAGGACTACTTACCAAAGATCCAAAAAAGAGGTTGACTTGGCCTTATGTCTTACGCCATCCTTTTGTTGCCGATGGGATTGATGGTGAGTTAACAGCTCCTCAATGTTACTATTGAATATCTAACATTCACAGAGTTCACACATTATGTGTAATTAATTTTATTGTGCAATTAAACCATGCAAGAATGCCTGGACTGGTGATTATGAATTTTCAATTATAATTATGTTATCCCTTGATTTAAATTACTAGAGCAAGAACTAGAAGTTAATGGAGTGCCACCTTCCCAGTTTGAAAAAACACAACAGACAAGAGGGATATCTACACCAGATAAGGTTATAATATAGTCATACTTTCTAGTTTTAGAGGGGTATTCTGAGATTTTCCTGCCATAGCAACCAGAAATTCTAATTTAGTATATAATACAGATTTTAATTGATTTGTAGTTTGACTTATTGATTGAAAGCTGAAAAAGAAGGATTATTGAATGAGAATTATCAAAATATTGCATCAACAGAAAGAGGCTGGTGATATCAAGCCATCATGGATAAGAAAACTACAACAACAAGAAGGCAACAAACACAAAAAAAATAAAGAAAATGAGAAAGAAAAAGAGAAAACTAAGACTCCTTTAAAGAAGCAGCCATCTTTAGTAAAGAGAAAACCAAGTAAAGAGGAAAAACCAGTCGTGAAAAAACAAAATAGCAAAGAAAACAAACAGCAGGCTAAGGAAGTCAAACAAAAACCTGATGGTACTGAAATGCAATTAGGAGGTCGTCATTATATAATGCTTACAACTGTCAGTGATACATTTATAAATTATAATCAATTTATATTACATTATACACTTGTGTTTTTTTAAGCGCTGTCTCAAGGTGTTTTTGAACATCCCTGTGTTGTTTCAGTGATGACCAGAACAATCCATGTGTCTGCACTCTAATATACTCAAATGAATTAATGCTTCAATAGGAAAAATATTGCTTTAAAAACTCTCAGAGATATAATTACAGGTGGACTCCATCTTTGAGCCCATTCTCCCATTCATATTCATTTCTGTCATTTTTTCATTATCACACAAGAGTTCTGTTCATATTTCAAGGCTTATTGTTGTGTTCTATTCTAGATGACTGGGAAGTTGAAAGCCCTCAAGCCAGCAATACCACAACTGCAAGAAAAGGCCATGAGATTAGTGATGACTATGAGAGAGAGATGTCAATTATTAACAAAGTCCTTGCCGCTGCAGCAAAGAGGAAGGAAAGACAAGGAAAAGGAAAGCATCCAGCTGAGGTAATGTTAAAGTAAAACCCTGTTTTTTGTATGTCCAATGTAAGTTATAAAATGTGTAATATTGGACTAGAGTTAAATGCAAAATGTGTGAATTAGAACACGCCAAATGATGCTAAAACATTATAAAATAGTGTTATGAGGGACATTAAAAACAAAGGAATAAGCATAATTTAGTATCTGAATAAATTGATTAAAATTAATTGTTAAATTGCACACTTCTATCCATATTTTTTTTAGTAAAACACACCATTTAACAATTAATAGTACATGTACTTCATACATGTGGATTATAGGACCTTGATAGCGACGAGGAATGGGCATATATAGTAGAGATTACTGAACCGCACCGTGAATCATTATCAACCACCATTGCACAGAAAGAAGATGATATTACAAGAGAATTGCTCCATGACAGCGAATTCATGAATCGTACAAGAACTGCTATGGATAATGCTTGTTCTTTGGTGTCAGAAGGAGTTCTTGAAGGAGCTTCTAAGCTGAGACAAGTTCTCAGGGTACTTAGAAACTTGGTTATGGCAAACTGGTGAGATTTTAATAGCAGTATAGTTCAAATCAGGATGGAATTTTTTACTAGTTCTAACAATTTTCCACAGTCAAAAATTTGATGATTCTCTAATTAGTCCATGAAATTCTCTTGGCATTTTCAATCCTATAAATATTTTATTGGCATATTGCACATGGCACATTCAATTTCATGGAGTTCAGCCTACAGTTTGAGTTCACAGTCTCATTTGTTTCTTTCAGTTCATCAAGAGAGAAATCCCTGTTTTTCAGTTCTCTTGGTTTACCACTCAAAGCTGTCCAGATAGTCAGCCAAATGGTAAAAAAGACCAAGTCTGTTCAGCAAACATGGAGTGTACAAGTAATGACTGACCTCCTACATCTGACAAATTTGTATCTTAAGCAATGTTTTCTCTCTGAAGAAAGGTACATGCTACTTTGTTGTATGGCATAAATTCTGATTGTTTGATTGATAAACATATCTACACATATATGGCACTAAGCAATAAGTGGCAAATACATTAAACATGGAAAGGAAAATAAAGAAAAAAAGTATTCTTCATTTTGAAAGAACATTTAGTCCTTAGAGTGGATGTACACAAATTATTTGATGGTACATGCTGTATGTCCTCAAACCTCAAATTGCACCTCCCATATTTTTAGTTGTTTGTAAATGACAAATGCATAAAGTTTGTATTTTCTGTTATTTAGAGTTGATCATTGTGGCTTACTAGACACTGGTAAATCCCTTGTTGCAGCCATTCCTCAGCTGCTCAAACATGGTCTGGATAAGGAGTTAACCCTGAGGGAGATTTCCCTTGAGGTACATGTACATAGTGTTGCAGCAGATATATAGTTTCATACTTAGTAAGCTTGCAGTTATTATAAGTATCAACATAGAATAAATCATTTCATTTCTTTTAACAATGATTATGACTAGAGATATCTAATATTTATACTCTAACGTTTATCAAGAATCAAAAGTAGAAAGAGTTTTATCATTTCTGGAGATGTTTTCCATATTTTCTTTAAATAATTTATTCGGTTTGTTTTCAGAGTATAAGTTTATTGTGTCAAGCTATAGACAAGCTTCCTGCTGATAATGTAGATGATTTCTATGACAGTCTTAGTACTCAACACATCAAAGCAATTGATGACATCATAAGTTCAATTGTACTGGATCAAACATCACTGCAGAAACTTAAAGGTTAGTCACCCTTCAATCAATCAATCATTCAATCAGTCAGTCAATCAATCAATAAATCAATCAACAATCAGTCAATCAATCAATCAATCAGTCTATCAATCAATCAGTCTATCAATCAATCAGCCTATCAATCAATCAATAATTTATAAATCAATAATTTATTAATTATTGAAATTATTAATAATATATAAAATAAATATTATCCAAATAATTTATCAGCAATTAACAAGTTATTTTGAATTAATAAGAAAAGTGTATTAATATAAAAAGCCTTGTCACATATTAAGTATAGACTGAGATGTCCAATTTGTCTTTTAAGGATCTTCAGGAGATGTGAACACCATCAAAAACAGAGCAAAACAGCTTCAGTCATTCTCAAGATCAGCCATTTCTTGTCTTGTCACCTTCCAGGAATCTACTAAACTGGTACCCAACTCAAAAAAGAACTTGACATCAGTTATAGCAAAGAAATTCCTTCAGCAATCTCATGAGAAACATTTAGAAACAATGCTACAGTATTCCAGCAGTAAACACCCTGTTCATTCTGCACTGTGTATATTGTGTCAACTGTGTGAGATGTCAAATGAGTTGTGTATTCACATCACCAAACAAGGCAAACTTTTAGAGGCATTTGTTGAATATATTAAAGACTGGGAGAAATTGTTACAGTCAAAAAGCACAGAAACACTGTATGCTGTCTTAAAAGTAATGTTTTATGTTGTCACTACTCAAGAAGATTTGTCAGTTGAGTAAGTAAATTTACTTGTATTTAGGAATTTAGGAAAAATCAAAATCTAAATGTAGAGGTAGTCAGTGTGACATTCACTTTGAATCCTATCAAAGTGTTTCCCCTTCCACTACTAACAAGACTTTTCCCCTCTTTCCTTCATTACTTCTCATCCCTTCTTTTCTTTCATCCATGCTTTTTCCTTCTTTCCCTCTTTAATTTTACATTATTCCTCACATGCTTGTTTTTTTTCTTCACAAATGACAATAATCTATGAAGAATACATTTAATTAAATCACTTTTAATCTCATGCAGGTTATCTGACGTACCAAAGCATCTATCACATTTATTTATCACTACTGAGGATTTTGACTTAAAGGCTGCTTCTGCCATGCTTATTGCTCAGCTATGGGACCCAGAATGTATTGCTAAGTCTCCTGACTCAATAAAGACCATGTTAGATGCAATACACCAAACTATTTGTTATATTTATAAAACAAAGGTAAGACTTACTGTCAAATAAGTAGTGATTTGGCTTCAAATTAATTAACAAAAAGTTCTTTGAATTTTGTTTATTGGCTAAAATGCACTTTGATACTTTTAGGTTACACCATGTTGTCTATTTGGTGGTGCTTCAGGGCTTTTAGATGGTGTTTTGTCAGTCCTTTCACTTATGACAAAAGAGGTAATCATAATTATGTAGAACAGTCCAATATATTATTAGCATGTCATCGAATTTCCGCTTTTCATCTTTGTGTGAAAAATGAGTCAGCTCTCCTAGTGGACAGCTGTGTTAGCCCACAGTAATGGCTATGTATGGTTTGTACAGTGAACTCTCAGGATTGGATTCCATGAAGTATTGGATGAGAAATTATCCTGCCATAAGATCAAGAATCATGATCAAGAATCAAACATAATCTGAGCATGATAATTGTTAAATTGCAAGCATTAATTTGACAGAACTTGATGCTCAATGTTCATATTTTTTCTATAGTTTAAATGTATTCAGGAATGACAACCATTTTCTGCTCTTCTCTAGTGTGATATCCCTCCATATCAACTGCTAGAACACAGTCTATGGCATAATGTATGGGGTGCCATGGCAACAGTACTTAATCTTAACGACAATGATGTCATAGGAGATATACAATGGTATATGGTGTCATTCTCTGGTGTTATAGAAGTCTTGTATTCCACTGACCAGCTATTTAATAAGGTATAAAATATAGTATACATTACACCAGGGTTTTATACCTTTATACCATTTGGCATTGCAGAATCCCACAGTTTTATTATAATAAATGAGATATCTAGTATTGTTTTTCTCACACAATGCTGTGTTGTGTTTGCTAGGCTCCAGTTGAATGCACTGATAGCTTCTCTGATTCTCGCTCCAACTTTGCCTTGATTTTGACAAGATGGCTGACTATGGATTTCATCATTCCTTTGCAACAACAGTATGTGTTTCTTGTGTGATGTTCAACTAAAATTGATTAAGTGCAGTGGTAACAGTGGTTCACAAAATGATTAAAGCATCCTTGTTATGCATAGTTTGACAACAGCAATATGCAGTAGCAGTGAGGAAACAATGGTTGCTGTCTGTGCCTTTGTGCTTCAGGTAATGCAAGGAAATGTGCATGATGTATCTAGCTATACATGTGTTGCATTGTACACAAGAGGCAGGGATTATGAAGGGCGAACAGCAATATCCATTGGATAAATCCTGGTCTACCTCATCCTTATCATAAACTCCATAGAAAATCTAAGAAGCAGATAACTTTATCTAGTATTCATGGACCCCAGATGTCTGAGACATTTTAAATGACTACATATTAACGTTCTGGTTGTCAGTGCTGATTAATAAGAATAAGTATTTTTCAATGATTGCTATCCATTTTCCCAGGTTGTTCGTATCTTGTACTGTCCTTTTGCTGTTGATTTGGATGAAGCTTTACTAAATGACACTCAAAGGTACATTTTCTTGTAAAGTTTTTGCATCAGGTTCCAGCTGTACAAAGGATGAGATAGAATGCTACTCACTCTTAGCTACACCAGTCAAAAATATTAAAATAATTATCAAGTAATCAAAGACAACTTTAAAAATTGCTTTGGATAAATGCAGTAAATTAATATTATTTTATTATTATCCTTTGTGTTTCAGTGTTTTTTATCAACGTAATGTGCTTCCAAACATTATGGAGATCTGCTGTACTGTTCTACCTGAAGATGCTATGGAGCTTCCTATTGGTTAGTATTCTCCTGTTCATCTGTCTTATGATATAATAATAAGTCTTTTATTTTGAGAGGGAAGCATGTAATAGTCACTATACAAATAAACTTGTGGCTTTCTCTACATTCACTAAGTCTTACACCCACTACCACAACACTCCTCACAGCCACGATACTAATCACAGCTAGTATTTGACAGAGGGAGAAAAATCAGACTCTTATGACAAACAGAGGATACTTGACTTGATCTGAACCCTAATTGAGATTTCAATGACACTGTTTATATCACTCTTCTGTCATTAGTTAGAGTAAAACATCCTATTCTATAATAAAGGTCAACTATCAAATGTTGTTATTGCAGGTCTTATAACAAGACTAGTTTTGAGTGATGACATGTTTGTATCGCAGTTTGTACATTATGTTACTAAAGAAAAGGTAATATGAATACTTTGCCGTTGATGATTATGATGCATATAACCATGATTATGATAGTAATAATTAAATAGTGTTTGCAATGATTCCAGTGATTACATGTATGTAATAATATGATGATCAATATGATGATGATTAGAGCACGAATAGTATGGATATGATGATGCTGATGATGAGTTTTAAGAATTGATAACGTGAGTCATATGATATTTAAATGTATTACCAGAGCTAACATGGTCGAAATCATATCACCAACCATCTTTCCTGTTTTGTTTGTTTTCAGTTAGAACCGTTTTTGACTTCACTACTCATCACCGAGAATTTCCCGACGTTAATATCTGACGTCATAGCTCTATTAAGTCACGTGGCTCGCTGCTCGGTTGAATACGTCGACATGGTTATTGGTGTCTTGTCAGGAGAAAAAGGTTTGTAGGTCCATTCCATAGGATCACAAATATTACTAAACGTACGTAAAATAAAGATCGTTGATTATTTAACTAGCAATTGAAATGGTCATTTATTATCAGGGGAATGATACAGGTTTTACAAATCGACAACTCAAGACTCTTCAAAATTGATAAAAATGTTCAATGTATGATAATGATCGTTTTTTCATGGATGTCTCTATTGACGTCCATATTTCCGTATTTTCTACAGGTACTTTTGAGACCCTATATACACTCCTCTTGCATAATGACGTCACTATCAGTGCCAGTGCCTGCAACATGCTGGGAAATGTGCTGAAGCAATCCTCAGTTCTCTATTCTGTCTTGCAAAGGTAGGATTTACTGGATTGTTTTATAAGAAAATGCTTTCACATTTAGATTCTCATAGGTCTAACCTGAAATAGCATAGCGCATTGCAATGTGGTCTAGATTCGGTACAAAGTATTTTGTTTCTGTGGCCAATATGGTATTGTTGTTGATGCATCTAGACCAGAATGCAGCAACTTTGTATTTCAAAAAGGTCTATTGAAAACAGCTAGTATCATGTCAATTTGGAAAAACAACATAACATTTTATAGAGGTTTACATTTCTGGTATTCATGCTCTCTCAATGAATAGTTTTATCCATGATTCGTCGCGCAGCATTTTCCTGAGCAGTGTAAGGCATTCATGTAGACAGGGTTCAGACGTGTAAAAGCTGTTTTCTTATCACGATTTTACGTTCTACAGAAGTGAAGTTCTTTCTATCTTATTTGGTTTGTTGAAGTCTGAAGATGCGAATGTTAGAAAGGTAACGCTTCGTTCGTTCATTGATTCATTTTTCTTCCATGCAATCATGTTTTCTTTCATCCATCTGTACATTCTGTCATTTAACCTTTTACCTTCTTCTCCAATTATCCCTATTAGCACATTTTAACAAAGAAAAAACAAGCCCTCAATAAAAATCCCATTATGGCAATTTATTCATTGGAATCTCGTATTGTCCCTCTACCGGTCGATTTACTGGAATCTTGTGTTATTTTCCAGGCAGCGAGTTTTGCTGTAGGGTACGCCGCGTACCATAGTGACTCATTATATTCATATTTATCTCCTGTTATCCCTCTACTGGTCGATTTGTTGGCTGATACATTACCAAAAACCCGCTCCAATGCAGCAGGTGAGTTGTTTTCTGCACAGAAAGACTAGGAAACCAAACACAAACACCGCTTTCTACCAAAGAAACGTGACTATTATCACTGATTGACGAAAATTTCTGCACAACGTTCAACATTGAACCCTTTGCAGCAGTTTTCATATGTGGTCAAGATAAAGTGTCCTCCAGCTAAGAGTAAGGTTTCCTTGTATATGATGCGACAATTAAACTAGGTGGATGTTAGTACTAAAGGGGTTATAAGTAGTATCGTTTTGTTGTTATAGGTGCTTTGGGTAATCTTGTACGACATTCGCCTGTGTTGTATCCACAGCTTATCAGAGAACAAGCTCCTCAAGGGTGAGTTCTAGCCATGATTTGAACGGTATGAATAGTTGTAATGATTTATTTGTTCATGTTTTCAGGATCCTCAAAATGGCTTGTAGTGATTCTCACCCTGATGCACAAAATGCTGCTCTCAAGACTTTAAGGCTATTTTGCAGAAATCCAGAGTGTAGACAGGTAAGTTCAGCCCCCTCATTCTATCCTCCTCATTCTGTCCTCCTTCTATCCTCCTTCTATCCTCCTCCTCGGTAATGAATTCCACCTTTCTTGTATTGCTGGCCAAGGTTTTAGTTACCATGGGAATTGAGCAACAAATATTGCGAATGGTGGACAGGTCCCGTATGTCAAGCGCCAGCAGTCAGGCGTCCAGCGTTCCTCCAACACCTTCGACTGCGCAGACATTGGATGGTGCTGTTTCTGAACACTGTGTACATATTTTAAAGAAACTAAAATCGAGGAATTAACATGTTAACCCAAAAAATTCAGTGATGTCTGAACAAGATGCAAGCGAAGTTCAAACTTTTTGATATCTAGTCGAGAATGAAGAGACTAGTTGAATTTATTGGATGGTAAGTTCTCGATGTCGAAACGAGAAGAATGCGAGGACTAGACGAACGCTTCACGAGATTGAGACGAAAAGCTCACAATTTTGTTGTCTGCGCACGTTGTGTTCACATTCGCACGCTTTGCATAGACGATTTGCTTGAGTTATCTCTAAGAATTGTCAAAAAATATAGAACAGTCAAGGCAATTACAGCAACCAATTTTATTGCTAAGTAAAATCGTATTGTCTTTTTAGATTATCAAAGAGACCAAAAACTGACAATGTTTGTATGTAAATAAATATGTGATGAAATGGTGCAGATATTCCGATTCTTATCATATGTCGTTGTTTCAAAAACTCAAAATCACTTTCTACGCTCGTGATTTTTTTTTCCGTGTTCTCCAAACATCACCGATAAACGGCAATCTTTTGTTGCTTAAATAAATACATATTATTTATTTCAAGTAGTTTTGTTATAGATAATCGCCTGATTTGCGGTATTTTATTATTTGTTTACGATATGGTTCAATAAAATTCTGTACTTTGGAATCGGATTCGATTTTCAATTCTGTACTTTGGAATCGGATTCGATTCCATGGTTACTATAGTTATTTGAGTAATAATTAATCACACTTCTCAAAGCCAATGAAATTGCTATGTTTTTTGTTATATCACTGCATCTTAATGATTTCACTTACGCAATAATACTCGAAATAAAGAGACAATCGTTTTGAAAACGACGATAACGCATAATTAATAGCTGGTCTGTAAAAAAAATGGGAGGTTGGATTTATGACAAGTATTTTCGTTGTTTATATCATACATTACTCTATGCAGTACAAAAAAAAAGCTCTAAAAGAGTTCCCGCGCTTTTCGTCATTCCAGTCACATTTTTAAGTCATTAGTCATGTAATTTTGACTTATTGTCAAGGGGCTTTGCATGAGCGCATGAATTGTTCAATGGTCTCACTGCGACACGAAGACAGTTGTTATCTAAAAAAATACTCTTATGCAGTAAATTTACTAGACGATACATTTCCAAACGTTACCAAATTTCCAGATTGTTATGGAAATACCTTACCAGATAACAAAAAATATCTTATAGTGTCTACCGCATAAATTAACAGACGACTCGATACGACGATAAGTCGTGTACGTGGTATATTATTATACTTATAGTATAAAAGACAAAAAAACCCTAAATTCTCAGAGCTTTTTGTAATCCCTGATGCACTGAAGGTTTATACACTGTTTACATGAGATAGGGTGCCCGTAGGTGGTAGGAACAGAATCTTTTGTTTTAAATCATTCAGGGAAAAGAAAACAAACGAGGTTGGCCCGACTACCAAAGGGCACTCTACCTCATGTACGTAAACAAGGCCTTAGTCTTTAACTAAAATTTCCTTTTAAAATAATATTTCAACTTATTGTTGGCGGGCACTATAATTGCTAACTTAGTCTAATCATTTTAGTTATATTTTAGTTATAAAGTGAACATTTTTCTCTATAATCAAAGCATATTTTTATTGGATTCTATGAATGATTATCCCTCTTTTGTTAAACTGTTTTCGTAATGTATTATTAGCTATTTCGAAAAGTTCTCACGCGTTTCATATGATACTAGATACTTCATATTTCTTTTAAACTCTGAAGTCATTTTCAATTTAATTTCGACGATTTATCAAATGGATTTATATATGTCAACATTTTATTGTATCGTTTAAAAGTTTCCATAAGAGAATTCAGTATTGATGCCACTGTTTTTTGGCGTCAAAGCTGAATAAACTTCTCCATATGGATTTCTATAAAGTAATTTTTCAATGACAACGAAGCCAGAATTCTAAGTTCTGAAGTTTTCAGTCTTGCTTGTGTTCTCCATTCATGCAAAAACCGCGCCAGGGTTTCCCGCGCTTTTCGAAATTTCGGATGCACTCGGATTCATCTACTTCAAAACAGTTGAGATTATTATCTTGCTTCTGCTTATATTTTTATAGTCTTTCTTTTATAGTCTTCATTTTTAATAAAGTTTCTTTAGCAGGACTGTATTGTATAATATTTTAGTTGTGAATTGACGCATGAATTGCTGTTATGTCGTAAGATCTCGCTCTCGTTGCTACCAACAACCGACAATCATGACAACGATTGTTGAAAATGGTTTGATTCACAATTTACTTAATTTATTTACTAAATTTTGTCAGTTCTAAACCAGTAACACGAATATGCACAATTTATAATAAAACTCGATGTATATCTACATTTAATCATGTACGAATTTCAATTCAAATGTTGTTCCATAAATTGTATTGCACAATAGACGCCATTAACAACACTAAACGATGTTGCATATATTTTGCACGATACCTTATATGACAAAATATCAATTTAGGGATTGTTACCAGAAACTCAGACACATTTTTTCTCGTCTATTATCTGACAAACCTGTAAAATTCATCATTTGGTCTTCTATGCAAGCACGTGGCTGAAATTGAAATTTTCACATTTAAAAAATCAATTTTGCATTTTGTCAAGCATTGAGGTCACTCTTTTTATAAATCCTTTTTGATGAAAATTAGATATTATGATTGCATCGAAAAAGTGTAATGATGCTCGGCTCATTTCGTGTTCCCTTATGTAAATCAGTTGCTGTACACGTGGTGCCAGCAATTAGGAAAAGAAAAAAGATGGAGCTCTAGAAACGTTCCCTTACTGCAAGTGTAAAGTAAACATGAACCTTATTTCTGTATAAGAGACTTTTAAAGGATAAGAAGAGAGGCTGATGTGTTGTTTTATTAAACATATTCAATTTTTGAATGTTGATTAGATTTTTACGTCTCGTAATCCCTTGAAAAGAGTAAAAGTACTTATTTCAAGTGTTGAAAATGCGGCGTAGGGGGACAATTAAGTCAGCCAATAAAACCGCAAAAAGAAAACTGCTTTTATATGGCCATTTCTTTGTTCACGCTCCTATTTATTGCCTACAAGTGTCGAAAAATTAAAATGTTTCGTATTTGTTCTTTTGGATGTTATCATTGGCTATCAGATTAAAAGCCATATTTAGTTAACAGGTGCAGGTGTTTGAACGAGGCCGATGGCTAATAGCACGTGTCAGTCACGTGCAAATCATTTGCATAAGCCACGTGGTTGTCACTGTTGATATGGCAACGTCATTTTAAATTTTGACCGTGAGAAGCAATTTAGTCAAATTCAATCTTAATAGTAAATTATAGTACTAAAAGTGTCAAAAGAGGTAGTATTATACAAAGGTCTCGAATTCTTGCAAAAAATTATATGTACAAAGGTGATGTACATGGAAAAATTTGTCCCTTCCTCCATACGATTTGTATGTGTCGTTATCCGCTGTGCGTTACGTTTTTCTTCTATAGTTGTACAAAAGTGCATTTTTTCGATAGTGTTGTACGGCCTGGGGTTCATATTAGCACTCATCATTGTCAGACAAAACTAATAAAATGGACTAAGAGCATGTTTAGTTTTTATTCGCTAGTTCAAGTAGTTCAACAGGCTTGCTCTTTAGAATGGGGTTTTTAATTGCAAGCCGTAAATGGCCATTGTGAAACTTGCAGTCCGGCCCTTTTCACATGCTTAACTGGTTTTGGAACTGGTCGTACCTGTTTTCCCATGAGCCACTCATTCATTGAGATTTTTTCGTCTTATCGCATTTGTGGCAAACAAAATTATAGAGTATTTTGTTTTTTTTTTCCTTTGCAACTGAAATTTCAAAAGTCAGAACTTTGCGAAATTAAAAAAAAACTGATGTCGATGAATTGAATTAATCGTTCATATTAAGTTGACTGCTGATTTGATTTCTATTTTAGTGGATATTGCGATGTTATATATAACGGTGGTTTGTGGCTCTTTTTACCAATACAATAAAATCATATAAAATAGTCCATCTGTTAAGACTACCGATTGCTGAAGACGTCAGCAGTCAACCTGTTTGACCAGCACCACAAGCGATGATGTGACTGGTTGAGAGCAGGACACGATATAGTCAGCTTTTGATCAAAGATGATATGCGAAACAAACACTCCATTTTAAGAAAGATGGTTAACGCACACTATTTTAAGTCTATTTTCGTCATAGGTTTTTCAAGTACGAATAGAGAGAATATTGAGTTTGTTATTAAGTCTAGTGTTTCCGAAATAAGACTTATTTATATTAATTCTATAATATACTTATTCATTTATTTATACATATGTATTTATAGTTTTTATTAGATATTGCATATTACACATGAGACTCTGGCTAGGGCGTCAACCATGCCCTACACTTGATAATAATCTTGCATTGTATTGTATTGTACGGTGGAGAATTGCAGATTCTGTATCGTCTAGACACGAACCCAACACCTCAGAGCTGCCAACCGATACGGTCGTTATTTATAGTCGTAGGGTGTAATTAGAAATATATTCTGTTACTACCAAAAGGTCATTTACACATTGTCATTACAGTGCACACTGCTATTGTTCAGTTTTTTGTTGTTTTTTGTTGTTTTTTATTATTATTAATAGATTGAGAGTCTTTTGAACTAGAGATTAGAGATTTAGAGATTTAGAGATTACTTTTTAAGATAATCAAAGATAGACATAATCATATCCAATAGATGACTTGCTTTCCATGTGGGATAGGTAATGATTCAAAAGTGTAATGGTGGGGACTAGTGGTAAACTAGTGTGAGCTGCGTCGGTGTTTCTAAAGAAACAGTTGTGTAAAAAGATAAATTTAACACCGTAAAAAAGTATGTGAAATAACTTACTTAACTTACTTACTTAACTTTAGTACTTACTTAACAACTGATTCAAAAGTGTGTTCAGTTGTAATAGATTGCGCATGCGTCTTAGCGACTGAACTCGACATCGATATCTTATTTTGTCGTTTTTCGTTTCTTATCTCACTGTAATTCATGTTTATTGGTGTGGGCTTTTTAAGTCGTTTACAACATTCAACTCAGTGTTGTATGCATGGGTATTGCAGACCTCGCTTGTGGCTCGAGATTGTACACTTTACCATGCAACACGGCAGCTCATGTTGTAAACTATACTTGCTTTACTAATGCGTCTAAAGATCTCAAATTTTCCTGGAAAATAATATAGAAGTCTGTGAATAGATTAAATCATGTACCGTAAAACTGCATGACGCATTTCCAAAACCCACATGGATCGGTGTATATACGAATCAGATTGTGAGATAAGTAGACATTTTAGCTTCGTCGTACATTGCGCGCCAGAAAAAACTTTTATAGGATTTGGTATGGTTATTTTTACTACATGACTTAGGTAATTTAAAACTGTATACTTATATAATTTTCCCGCTAAGTTACTATGGGGAGGGAGCGAGGGTCATTTGATTGTGTACAAAAGATCACACGTACACACTTTTTGAGTATGAATCACATCTATTATCGGATATTATTCCACGGGTTACATGTCTTCACTCACTAACCTTATAAGCATGTTGTTTAAAATTGTTTGTAATAAGTAATGCGCAATAAAATACAAATTTTCTTATTTTTGATATAATTGTTGTTTTTATATAAAAAGTGGTATATAAGCGACATGATCTTGAAATTCGTTTTACTTATCTTTCTGATCTTTATTATATTGCGCATATATTTGTCTAACAAAAGCTGAAATCAATACTGTCAACAATGTCTTACGCAACTTGTTGCGTGAATTCCACCACAACACGCGAATGTTCCGTCATTGTTAATATCATAAGGAGATTGTAAAAGATTACACCAATACTTGACCCAGAGCCAACATTTCTGTATCCATGTACCTACGCATTGTCAATGAAAACGTGAGACGACATGCCACGACATGACTGCTGCACGCCTTTTATTTTGACGGGTTTCATATGACTGCAGTATCGAGTAGTGAGTGTTTTTTTTAGTTTCCAAACGAAATCAGCTCTTTTGTTGCTTTTGCAGCTCTACGTTCATCCGGCTGTATGCTTTTGATTTACTAGAGTTCATATTTTTGTAACGGTTAACACTACACGGTCACCAGTGATAGTGTGCTTATTGGCATGCCATATAAAGATGGCGGACATATCGATATCTAAATACTTATCTGTTTGCACTCAAAGTTTGGATTTTAATCAGAGAAATCAATTTCTCATTCAACTCTCAACATTGTGGATTTTGTTTTGTGGTGGTTAGGCTTGTTCATCACAAAAAAGATTGCAACCTTATCGATAAAGACTGATTCCATTTTCACGGTCTTTCAAAGTCCTATATTGAATTGAGTACAGATGAGCCGACTATATCACGCACCGATATTATATATTGTGCATTACCCATAAAAGGTCAGGAGCCGTCACTTTGCAATTGATTTGTTTCAGTTTTCTAGCTTGTCTTTTGTGACTGCAGTGCAGAAAAACAACCGTTGACCTTTAACATAAATAAGAAATGGGAACGTTCGGTGCTTTGCACGGTTGGTGTCAAAATTCTGGACCTCAAAAACTCTGCCAAAACGTATTTGCTTTCCCGTCTGTTTTCCGGGGAACTGACGCAATTAGAACTGTCCCATCTGAAGTACACTCAAGGGCTAGGGCATTTACACCAAGGCGTCACCACGCCCATACTAGTTTTTCACTAGTTCATTTTAAAAAGCCGCAGCATTTTCCTATGTTTATACTTAAGTTCTCAGTTCCTTGAGGAGTGGAAAGCAATACAAAAAACTCGACTGGAAGAGACCATTCGGAATATAATAGGGAAAGTAGGCTTTATGGGGAGTATTATCATATTGTACCGGTACTCGTGTGGTTTTCCAGTAACATCCGCTCATTCTTTTTTGTCTTCACGATAGCAGCGGTTATAAAAGCCTTTTTAGCTTTCGTAATTGTACCTTTTACTTAAAAAACTTTCGATTGACTGAATTCCATAAAAAATTAAAATGATACCACACACCTCGGCAAAATATTTACTAACACCCCGAATTGTGGCGCTGATTGACATTCTGATTATTTTATTTTTGGAAGTCTGGATTAAAAATTGAATATAGGTTGAGAACTATCCGCAAGGAGCAAAAGATTGAAGATGATTTTCGATCACTCAAAATTCAATCATTAAAATTCAGTAAACTAATTGATTTAGCAATAATTACGTGAAACTTTGCTGAATTCACTTAAAACTTTCTAAAAACTAATTAGATAAAACCACATTTTATGTATATTTTACAAACTTCTATTTCGGATGTTTTTTATAGTGTGTTTTTTATTATATATTTGGATGTTGAACACTCCACTCATCAAATAAAAATGCATTCTGGGAAATCTGTCAAATAGCTGGATTTCAATGCCAACATCTTCAATATTCCGCTAAATCAAGTATATAGTTATGTTGTTTGCATTCTTCACTGCATTGTATTTAAGTCATAAAAAAGCTAAAGAAAATAAACAATTCCTTCGTGTTCCTTCCAGGAGGTTCAGTGGCGTAGACAATCAATTTATCGCTGTTAGAGTTTGGAAAATAACCCAATAGTAGCTATTCCGTTAGAATATTTGGAATACGAGTGTCAAAACAAGATGGAGAAAATAATTTCACAGAAAATTAGAAGAAAAAGCCAGGAAACTATCAAATCAAACTACAAACACAAATAAATCAATTCGTGAGAGTATCTCAAGATTTAACCCGCTTGCATGAGTGTGAAACAGGTTTGAAGATTAAAATTCTGGATAAAGCGGAAAGCAGAGGGTTTTTGAACGGATTAGATTGTTATCATCTCATTCAAACGTATGAATCCAAATATGCAAAAAAATTATATTGTCTGGTGAGCATGTATATGAGTCATAGTAATATTACTGGACGGTCGCTTTGCATAAAAACTATTAATTATTTTAATTTTTTCGGCATATAAGGGATTCTTTTTGCAGTTTTCTATCGTTTCCAACTCTTGGAGACACTTCTTAGAATTGAACCAATACCGCTATTCTGGAAATTAATCGAAATGAAATTAATGCGAACATTTTCTTGACATTGTAGTGATTGGTGATGAAGTTGCTATTGCTCAGTGTTGCTCAACCAGAACAACTCAAACACAGTCACTAGTTCTGGATGAGTGACAGCGACTATGAGTCACAACAAGAAGTGTATTTAAACTATTTGAGTAGCATTTTTTGGTGTTTTCTTTCATTGTTTTAATGATGTATTCATGATATTCACATGCGTGGTAGTGTCTTGTATGTGGGTGTCGCTGCTATCGATTCATGTCATTACCCGCTAAGTTATAACCAGTGACAACTACTGGCGAATTCACGCTTTCACTTCAAAGACAGTATCTCAAATACACTTTTAGAATGGCTTTTACGCCATTAATTTCAATAAAAGATATATGATTCAGATAACGAACATGAAAATAAAACTTCGGGAAGACTTCATTAATGCGGTGATCTTTAGTTTCGTGTTCCTCAAACGTCGCAGAAAAACAAAAATATCGAGCGATGTGAGCAACATTTTGGTCTTTCCTTATAAATAAGCATTGAAATATTGAGTTTTGCTGGGAATTTATTAAAATGGAGTTTTGAGATAAAACGAGGGCCTTTTGGTCTTTTAAGCGGTAACAAGTGGTGAAATATTGGCGCCGACATAAATTCACAATTATTCATGTTGTTGAGCAGCTGTACAGTCTGGAGGCCCCGGTATTTCATCAGTTCTTAAAGCAAATTGAAACTTTCACTACTGAAATAAAATCCTTGCAAATTTGTCTTCCCCTTTCGCCCAAAATAGTTGAAAACGAAAAACCGGTTTTTGGTCAGTTGACAGTGGCCGGTGTCACCTGGCGTAAAACTGGTTTCTGAAAATCGGTGTTTCTATTGCTCTAGGGTCTCAAAACTAGAAAATAAACGAGTCATCAGTAGTCGAGAATAAATGAAATATTTCTCCTATGCTTTCACTCTGGAAAATCCCAGAATATCAAAATGTATTCAAATGAGTCCAGTAAAACTACTACGGCGAGATGATTTGCATAAAGAATTAATGACATGCAAGCGAGGTTGCTGTGTTACTATATAAAGGGGAATAGGTTCCCGCGGTTTTCATTCATCGCTGACCACGAGGAAGAGTAAACTTGTCATTGAAATTCTGTCAAAAAATCTTGTAAAAACACTTGATTTAAGAAAGAGAAAATCCTGAAACATCGTCAAAAATGAGTTCAGAAGACGTTGAGATTAAAGACGCTATAAATGGTCGCCCTCTTTTGCCAAAGGGAAAAGATTCAAACGAGGTTTTGAGTCAAGGAAGCGATAGCTCAGGCCGTGACTCGCCGGTGGTCAACGTGGACGACCAAAGAGAAACTTGGGGGAGAAAGGCTGATTTTATGCTTTCTTGTGTTGGATACGCTGTTGGTCTAGGGAATATCTGGCGTTTTCCATATCTTTGCTACGCCAATGGAGGAGGTAAGGCTCTTTTAAACTGATTTTGTCTTGTTTTAACGTAGTCCCTTCCTCGTTCCGGCGTATGTTCACGAAATCGTTTTACTCGATAGTTCTAAAGATGAACTCAATAATTTTCTATACAAAGGTTCCGTTTTCTCTTTCCACGTGTATTTGATAAGTAATGAAAATTTTACCAGCCGTTTAGGTAATGATTTCAGGGAACATTGAACTGGTGGCGCTTATCCATTGTGCTACACGGTGCTAAGCTTTTTTAGTGGCGGGGCGTGAGTGGATTCAAGTCACATGTTGAATACTGACTCATTATTATTCTATACTAAATCCTTTGTAAAAATTTCTAAACCAGTCCCATGAGAGCAGTGTTTTGATCTAGGGTTTAGTTTTTCTATTCACGGTGTTTTGTGGTTAGAAACGTTTGACCTCGACGAACTCTTACGTCTCTCGAATTAAAACATCGTAAACGACTGCTTGGACTCGGTCCATTATGGGAACGACAAATATTGGCTGATATCACTTATACCACACAAATTGATCCTCTTGTTTGTCAAATCTTTAAACATAAACATCGAACTGTCTGACAAAGACAGTACAGATTGTACGAAATGATCTTGTTTTCGTCATTTACTAATAACAACTTTATGTAAAAATGCCAAGAAAACATGCCATGTGTCATAGTTCTGTGTCATTTAGCATGCCAGTGTGAAATTATCTGGTCTCCTTTCCATAATCTTCAGACGCAGAAAGTACACGCAGTCCGTAATCACTAACAACGCTGCAATATTTGGTTTAAAACACAACACAGACTACAAGATCTTTTATTTTCGTCTTCGTTATCTCAATTAGAATCGAAAGTGATCACTGTTTGACAATAGAAAAGCAAAAACACAAATAATCTGCAACCTATAGTCACGCCATTATTGGGCGTTTGCAACTACGCACGTAAATATAAACACTAGTGAAAACATGCCAGTAATGTGCTTTGTTTTTGGCAGCGATGAGTGTTTTTCGATCTTTCACCCCAACCCCCGTCGTTAATCCTTTAGTGCATGGCCTAAAGAACGAAATCAAGGGGTGAACGCTAATGACAGCTATTTAGACTACTTCAAAAGTATTTGCTATAATAGTTTCAGGAAATGAGATTAAATTTATGTTTGAAAAAGTGTGCATTCGAATATATTCTATGCAAAGTAAGCATGATTTACTGTATCAAGCAATGTACTTTCCTAGAAAGTGTGTACTTTGTATTTAAGTCATTATAAATTCCTACTACTGGAACCTCAATACTTAATATGAGATTATGCATGTAGCGTCATAGTACACCAGCAACATCATTGCCAAGTCTTTTCTAAGACCCCTTCATTGGAGTGTTTGGAAAGTGATACTCTCGTACTTGACACTTCATGTTCATGGCAAACTATTTTCCATCTTGTCATCACATTGTTATGAAATCACAAATTTCACTAGTTTTTTATCATTTGGACAATAATCTAGAAACAATCAATCTATGAACAATCAGTATACCTTACTAAATATATACTTCTGTTTAAACTATGGCACTACTTTGCGTAGTATCGTGTCTTGAGTGTGTGCCAACCTTACTGTGTTGATGTTTGACATGTCAAAACAAGATGATGGTTTTGTTAGAATACAGAAACTATGAAAACTCTAGTCATATTGATAATGTAATAGCATATGATAAATGTCAACAACATACTTATGTGTATTCTCGACTTGTACTATTAATCATAACGATAGTATATAATAATGTTATTATTATAGTAGTGATATTTGAGGTTTTGCAGTGTTTTAGAAATAAACTTTTTCTCAATTCCATGTCTGTTATATCTTTTCAGGAGCATTCTTGATTCCTTATCTTATTATGTTGGTAATTTGTGGTATGCCAATGTTTTACATGGAGTTGGCGGCTGGACAGTACTTCAGCCTTGGACCTATTGGTGTTTGGGGATCAATATGCCCTCTGTTCAAAGGTATTAGGACAAACCTACTATTAATTGCTTTGTGAAATATGCAACAGCTATAGATAGCAATCGATGACTGGAAATTATTCAAACCACAGTAATGGAAAATGACATAAATCTTTGTTGAACTAGACCATGAGTACCAATGTCTTGAATGTTAGAAGTGTTTTTGTGACTTTTGTAACCAAGACTGTGAAGGCAGAGTAATGGGCTTTGCATTATTTGTATTAATGCAGCTTTCATCACAAAAAAAATATTAAAAAAATATTCCATGCATATTTCAGCATTAACAGTTTCATTAAGTCAACTGTAATTTGGTCTTTTTTCCAGGTATTGGTATGGCAAGCATTGTTGTCTCATTCCTGGTTTGTATTTACTACAATGTCATCATTGCTTGGTGTCTCTACTTCCTGGCCATTTCATTCCGTAGTGAGGTGCTTTGGAAACACTGCAATAATTGGTGGAACACAGACAACTGTTATGAGGGCAGACTTCCTGATGCCAAAAACTGTGCCAGCATGATAAATGCAACCATCAATGCAACAGTTGCCGGTGGTAACATCACTAACTGTACTTCAATTAACACCAAAGATCTAACTTCACCCTCACTTGAATTCTGGAAGTAAGTGATTGATAACATCAACATAACTTTTTATGATATTTGTTTGAAATGCAAGGAATGTAAATTTGAGCAGCTGTATAATTGATGCTACATTCTCTGGATTGTAGTCATTGCTATGTAATTTTAACTCCTAATCCTTGCAACAATTTTCAAAGCTATCATTAAGTAAGGAGATTTGATTAAGACCTTTATTCTCGTTAAGCATTATAGTGCAAATTACAGAAATAAGTGCAATTTTCGTCTTAATGTAAACTTTGCACATAAACAGCCTGAATGTCTAAGAATTCATGTAAAGGTGATTTTGCTATGGTGTTGGCATAACCTCCATTTGTTAAATGTTTTGTCTGCATTCTTTTGTACATACAGCAACAAACGTAGACACTTTGAGAACATTCTTTTAAAATGCAGAATCATACACTAAAACGAACACTGCAATAAACAGTCCTATTTTGGGCATAATTATCCATGTAAATTCAACTTAGAAATGGGTATATCATGCAATAAAGGAATTCAGACTTCAATCAATGGAGGTGTGGCAGAGGCATGTCTTTGTCAGACAAAAAAAACAGACCTTGTTTACATAAAAAATGATAGAAAATGTCAATAAATTGGTCTGTTACTTTTCGAACCATCAAAATAAACTAGTATTCTTGACATAATTTGGCTTCTTATGTTACTAATATCTGTCCTGTCTGCATCTGAAATATCTTTAACTGTTTTCAGTCACTATGTGTTGGAGATTAGTGATGGTATTGGTAACCCAGGAATTGTCAAGTGGGAGTTGTTCTTGTGTCTTGTCATTGCATGGATTGGAATATATTTCTGTATGTGGAAAGGTGTCAAATCGTCTGGAAAGGTAATTTGTCTTTGTCTGTGATATTTGTTATCCATAAGAGATAAGTAAACCTCGTATACATAAAAAATTAAAATAGAATCCAGACTACAAAAGAGTCGGATATTGATTCAGGGTTTTCATTAGACGCGGGGAACTGATGAAAACCGGTATTTATTTTGACCTTTGGGTGGGCTACTTTTACCAAATTAAGATTGTAATGCTTGTGGATCCTTATGATTCGCATACGGTTATTTTTTTCAGAACAGACACCTTCTTCCAAATCTAATGAAACTCCTGTTTTTTTTTGCCTTTAAAATTTGAAACAGTCATAGAAAATATTTCTTATTGCTTTTAGTTTCTGCATTATTCCTATGTTTGTGCAATATATATAGTCACTCAAACTTCAAAATGAAAGATAACAACTTTTACAGCAAGCTTTATCTGATAAAAAAAGACAAAGCAAATAAATTCTTCCGTTTTTCCAAGCAATGATCAATCCTTGATTTAAGTGTTTTTTGGTTTGACTAGGTTGTGTACTTCACTGCTACATTCCCATATGTTGTCTTGTTCATTCTATTCATCCGTGGTGTTACTTTTCCTGGCGCCAACATTGGAATAGAGTACTATCTGACTCCTAAGTGGGAAAAATTGAAAGATCCCAAGGTAAGGGACTATGTACAACAAAAATGATTTGTAGGCTGTTTACAATTTTGATGCTTGTTTTTTGCTACTCACTCTATCTGTGGTAAAGACTTTATCTTGGTTATAAGTGTACTTAAAGTGTAGGTTTTCATTATTTACTTAAACATATCCATAGAATATACCAGTATAAAACAGGTTTTGATTCAAATTAATAATCTTCATGCACAGTTATGACAGATTTCCTTAAGCCTGTCAGGGTGCCAAATTCTCAAAGTGAAAATGTTTCATCACATTGTCCTAGCCTATCTAACCAATGGATATTTTGACTAGGTGTGGGTTGCAGCTGCTACTCAGATATTCTATTCATTAGGAATTGGATTTGGATCTCTTGTGGCCATGGGAAGCTACAATAAATTCCATAACAACATATTCAGGTATTATTTCTTTTAAAATTTATACTGCAGTAAAAGTATTATAGGTACTATTGTATTTACCACCTATACATTTAGAAAAACAATTTGTTTGATTGACCACAGTAAAGTAAGAGAATTCGAGAATAGTTGTTGTGATTTCCTGTTATGTGTGGTATTCTGTGACTGGGTTTTTCAACACAATCCTTCCTGTTTTCCCCAATGTGATTCCAATATGATACCATGTGATAAGCTGTGTGAAACACACATTTAGCATAAAGGTGTGCCACCCACGCATTAATTTGAATACCTTATTAGGTCATGGATGGGTGTTTACTTTTAACTGAATAATGTTTAAAACAAAAACACAGAACATAATCAAAAAAATCAAGGGTCATCAATTTACATTTTGCTCTATGCCAGGCTGAGTATGGCACTCCAGTCAATCTTGATTCTGCCACTTAAAAAAAAGACCAATTTATGTTAAGGATTGGTCTTAATGATTTCAATATTACTCATGCATCAGAAATCTTTTTCCATTTCTTTTAACAATAATACGTCCAAAGTAAACTAAAAATTGGTATATTTTTGAACTCGAGAGAATATTAGGAACATTGATTTCCTTACACTACATCATTTTCTATTGCAGAGATGCTGTCACTATATCAATAATTATTACACTACATCGTTTTCTATTGCAGAGATGCTGTCACTATATCAATAATTAACTGTGCAACAAGTGTCTTTGCTGGCTTTGTTGTCTTCTCAACACTTGGATTTATGTCTTACACTCTGAATAAGCCAATTGAAGAAGTTGCAGGCTCTGGTAAGAATCTTGATTGAATACCTATACTGTGTATATCAAACTGATCCCAAAATATCCACTAGAGCTTTACTTCGGGTGCAGGCATGTGACCTTCTCATGTCAAACGAAAGTTTAACAGCATGTGTTCCTGTATGTGCCAGGTTAATTAAGATTATTAGATTATTAGATTTACAATACTATTTTTTTTAACTCTAGGACCTGGTTTAGTATTTGTGGTGTACCCCCAGGCCATTGCGCAAATGCCTGTTTCCCCCGTGTGGGCCATCTTGTTCTTCATTATGATTCTGACGTTAGGTCTTGACAGCCAGGTAAATATATGTTCTATTTTAAACTCTGTCGATATAACTGTATTATCATAAGTGATTGATTAATTGGTTCGAACATTGACAGGTTGATTAATTGAAAGATTGATTAAATTATAAGTAATTGTTCATTTTGATTATAAAGATCGGCTGCTCATTTTGATGTCTTAATATGGTTCTTTTAGTTTGGTATGATGGAAGCAGTTATCACTGGTTTGGTCGATGAGTACAAAATCCTTAATAAACGTAAAGAATTGTTTGTTGCTGCAACATGTCTGCTGTGTTTCCTGCCTGGAATAACCCATGTTACACAGGTAATGAATCGTACCATATAAACAATGTTGCAGGTTATTGGTATGAACATTAGATCATTTGCCAACTATCAAATTGAAAAACCTCAAAATTGACATTCAACATTCTATAGAAAGACTATTTATCTAAAAATGGAATCAAACACCCCTTCACTTTCTATTTTCATTTTGGCTTATTGAAAAGTTGGGATTTTGGCTGATGAAAAGTGTGATAATCTGAGTTTCATTACCAATATTTGCAAAAATGCTGTAACATCATGCATTAACTGAATTATTGACTCCATTCGTTTCGACAGGTACAATTATTTTAGTTAGAATCGTTATGATTTGATCACCTTAAGGTGTTTGTACGTAGTACAAAGATATCTGGGGTATATGTTGGGCATATATTATGACAGACATTTTCTGGAACAATTGAGGTTTGGGGTGAGATTTCTGGAAGAATTGAGGTTTAGGGGGAGATTTCTGGTACAAATTGAGGCATAAGGCAGGAACGCTTCTTGTGTTGATTCAGAGATGGACTTCCTGTGTGATATAAGTTTAAATGCTGGTCTAAACAATATTCTGAAATGTTGGTCTGCATACTCCTGTTTTGAGATCTTATTTTCACAGCCCTAATCTTATTCAGTAAAAGTCTATTGTAAATTCTATTGTTTAAATCTTAAATTTGTGCTCTTGTGACCATTTGGAAATTCTATTTCTTGTATTTCAAACCTTAAAGAAGACCATCTGAAGAATACTGAATTAAAGCAAAGGCTGTTATAAGCAATGTCAAAATTGGAGTATTGCTTTGTTGTGAAGGTGGAATTTCTGTACAAGCTTGATCTTTGTCAAACACAAAAGAGCTACATGTCAATCATGTTTTAGAAGGAAGTAGTTTTTCAATGTCATGGGTTACTGAGGTCTTCTCAATGGATACAAATTAACTGGTAGTGTTAACTACCTTTACTAGATGACGGTTGATTTCCATTAGTGTTTTGGTCTTGGACAAGAGAGTGTGATAAAAGATTTGGAAAGTTAGGTGGGGGATTCTTAGGAGGGGGAGGTGGGGATTGGATTCCAAAGGGCAAGGGGTAAGGATTTGGCATGTTTCTGGGGCAGTGGCTTAGTGCAGACTGGTATTTAAAGTTAGTAATTATGTAATTCACAAGGCAAAGTGTAAAATTTAAAACTTTTTCTCAAAAACTGTAAGAAGACATCAGACATTTAAAATAATAACGAGTCACTGTCTATGAATTTGCACCAAACTATTTGAGCACACAAAATTGAATTTGATTAAGTTATAGTAAACTTATAAAAGTTTCTACTAAATTCTCTTTTTGTAATCCAATTGGCTTTAAATCCTTTGATTCTCAAATTTGATTACATATAAATTAAGCCAGTAATATTAAATCACAAAGAATAGATTATATGGTAGTGTAGGCACAGTCAAAGTTATTCAAGCTAAGATCAATAGCTTCACATTTTATTGTATTCATGACATGTGTTAACCAGGCAATGCTTTGCCAATAATGCATGTTTTGACTGGGAACATGCACTTGCCTAATACTTATTTAACTTATAATATTCTAGCAACCTTTGTCTTGTTTTCATCGTTTCCAATAGGGGACCTTGCCGAGGTGTTGTCTCCATGGAGAGCCGACAAAGTAACACTTTATTTTAAACCTTGATTGCTGTACTTATTTAATGTTTTGTTGTGCTTGCATGTTTTTTTAACATTTCACTGCTAGCTGCATATTCTCTGCAGTCTGTCACTTTATTCCTTGCGCAGTCGCGGTTGTTGTTTTTTTTGTCCAACTGACTGATGAACTATTGTGTGCTCCTGCATTAATCCTGAATATTTACTTTTAATTTTTCTTTTCCAAATTAAGAGTTAAATTTAGTGTTGTGTGATCTACAACATTGCAATAAACTTTAGTTTTTCAAGAGCGACCCACTCTACAAGTAATACAAAATATTGTGATTTTCAACTTATTTTATTGACCTACAAATACATGTACCATCAATGTTTAGTACTTCCTAACAAATTAAAATGATTTTGGAGGCACAGCAGAAACATTAGTCAGCAGTGGACTTTTTTGTTCCCTGGTTTAGAGGCAGTTCATTCATTTTAATACCACACACTTGGCTGTAAGTACATGATACCAGGCAGTTGCTGGACTATTCAGAAGGTTGTGTTCATTTACCATTACTGTACCCTTGCATTTCCTGGAAAATAGCTTAGTTCAAGCTTTATAACTTTCCCTGGTCAACTTTCTGAATGGTAGAAATTTGTCAAGTAACATGTAAATACAGCCCTACATTTGTTTGTCTCCACAAAGTAACAACCTTGACAGCAAATTTGTCTCTTAGCAAAAAAAACAAAAAAAAAAACATAAAATTTAGACACTTGATAAACATTACAAATACTAAACATGAATGTTTTTTTTCAAGGGAATGTTAGTTTGTGAAGACAAACAAATTATTATTCCTGAATGTACATACATGCTTCTCCAAATAAACCTGGCAATGTTGAAATTAAAAAAAAAAGATACATGTTGGAAATTATTAACTAAACAACAATATTGGCAGATTAAAATCGATTTCAAAATTTTGGTAATTGATTTGTGTAAGCATCTTTCCCTAAGGAATGGTTTTAAGTAGTTGTGTACATTCTACCTTGACACACTGTTGACTTTCATGTGTGTTTACAATTACTAAAGTAAGTACAGTATTAGCAATCTAAGTCTTAAATTGCATTTTCAAAATCATGAAATATTTGTGATAACTACCTGTACTTGTTTAGTAGTTGTAATCACACTTGGTTGTCTTAACTGCCTGTAAACAAGGGAACAAGCTTTGCTGTAAACTTTCACAGTGGGTGGCATCAGAATGTACCAAGAACCATCCAATATTTTGCTGTACAATTCTTGCTGGTGTGTTTTTGGTTACATCTGATTGTCTTTGCCCATAATTGCATGCCATATCTGTAGCCAACAATGCTTAGCCCTGAAATACCAATAGCAAATGGAATTATTAGTAGTGAATTGGCAACCTATTGCATTTAGGCATTACAGATATTGCATTAGCACTCATGAACTCCAACGCTGCTGCATATCAAATGTTGGGTTGATATTGTTTGTAACTGTACCTTACTTTTCAACCTCTCTTGTCATTCACACCATATGAGGTTAAAAGGTAGGTTCAATTGCAGAGTATCAATGCACATTTGATCCAGGTTTGTGTAGTTTTTGTTGTTTTGTACTCAATGTCATAACACCTTTAATTCAAAGGGAGGAGCCTATGTCCTGAACCTGTTTGACTTCCAGTCTGGAGGAGTTTCACTACTGTTCCTTGGCTTCTTTGAAACACTCTCTCTTGCTTGGATGTATGGTACTACAAGGTTCTCTAAAGATATTGAAGACATGGTTGGCTCAAGACCTGGTAAATGGTGGAAGTTCACTTGGAAGATTTGTGCTCCAACAGTTATGTTAGGGGTGTTCTTCTACAGCATCTCACAGTGGAGTGGAGTCACTTACGGAGAATACAAATATCCATCATGGGCGGAGTTTCTTGGATGGGTTATTGCGTTATCATCAATGTTATGCATTCCTGGATTTGCCATATATCAAATATTAACCACACCTGGAACCTTTATGGAGGTATGTACCATTCAATATAACATAAGACTGTCAATAATGCTCTCAGCTTATCTGCTTAGAACGAGGTGATTATGTGAAGTTTATGTGCTATAAACTTATTAATCATGACGTATACATTGGTTCAGTTATTTGACAGTAATGACAGTAGTCATTGATTTTATAATGATTTCCTCTCAGAACTCTGCATTTTGAGTAACCAGCACTTTTCAGATTTTACTTGTAGATGATAGTATAAGATAGGCTACCATCAATGACTTAAGGGCAGCATAGTAACTATTTTTTTAATATTTTGACTTTTGTTTTACAGAGAATTCATTTCCTAATGCAACCAAACAGAGAAGTATTAGACAAAATTGAGGAGAGAGAAGGACTAGAAAGGAAAATTCCACTTGTAAAAGTATAAAATCAGTGGAACTGCCTTTTTGTAGGTAAGACATGATTTCAATATTAACATGAAAAAGGCTTATAATCATAAAACCATGTACAAATTGTACTTATTGTCATATATTGTACTTGCAGATCAACGTGCTGGCACTCTGCATCAACAGTGGTTCATCTGAATCAAGACATTCTGTGAATTGCTTTAAGAGACTGTATGCAGGTCCTTTTTATTAAACTGTATTATAAAGAGTGTTTACATTCAAGAAGACACTAAACATCTAAAAAAGACAAGATTTAACTTGTTTACTGCCTGCTTACAGACTAAAATTGATTGATTTTGTATTAGTTTGTTTGTTACGGTGAATATTTTGAGGTCCTGAAGTTATTTTCAAGAAAGTTAGGTAGAAATCATCAATATTAATGGCATTAGAATAACATCATACATGCCACTTGATTTTAGTTAGTTTCCTATGTACTATAGCTTCTCTAAAAAGACTTGATAAAGACTGAACTAAGTTGTACAATATGAATGGAAGACTTGATCAAGAGGGAAGCAAGTTATAGCTCCTCTCAGAAGACTTGATCAAGACTAAACTGAGTTGTACAATAAGGATAGAAGACTTGATCAAGAGGGAACCATGTTTGTACAATAAAGAAATATTAGATTTCATAAGATGTAAATTGTGCAATAATTATCAGAAGAAAAAACTTAACTTGAAAATTACTTTATTGGAATTTTTCATAGTATATTTATAAAACCATTGTATATTTTGCACTATAATTATAAATTAACTATTATAATATATCCATTTTGTTAAAGTTAAAAATGTTCAAACAATTTGATAAGTTACACTGTGTCAGTGTCCAGGGTCTGTATATTTTACTCCATGATCTTAATAACTATTTCACTAGATATCTTTATCATCAGGATAGTATGGCTAAAGCAACATATTATGTAATAACTATAATTTATAGATGATTTTATGAGCCAATCACACATAAAGTAGCCATTTCCCTCAATTACATCACTCTCAGTTTAGCAATGAACAGGTAGTGAGTTTCCTTCTTCTGTGAAAAGAAAGAAAGAAAAGATGGAAAAAATGAAAGACACCCAATGGGTTTTGCTCCAAAAAATGCATTCTTTTCATCAATGTTGGAAAACCACTATCTTCAGTTATATCAAGAGTCGTTGAGTTAGTTCTAGTTAGGTCACTTCAATAAGTTATTTTTGCTATTTGTTTAAATTTTGCATGAAACCAGGAATTATTGGTTGGTAATGGTGCAATAAGAATATTCATGTTGCATTGATTAGCAAGTTTAAGAAGCAGTTTTTCTAGATACCCCATACTATCAGTAGTATGCATTCCCAGTTGTAGTTTTATAAAGTGTAGTTATTCATGTAGTTTAATCAGTAAAAAGAACAAGAACATTATTTTGTAACTAAGTTAAATATTAAATAAAGCGAAAGTGTGTTAAAATGACTGTAGATTTTCTGTGTCAAATAATGCTTTGCAGATAAATGCTCCAACAGATACATTCTTAATCTTTACATATTAACTTTTCACAGGAAAGCTAAGTTAAAAACAAAAAGTTGTTCATTTTAACTTGGCTCTACTGTAAGATGTAGATCACTACTGAGCCAAGAGAATCCACCTGAATCTTAGTTATTTTAGAGTGAATGCACTTAATCCGTGCAACTGTACAAAATCTAAGTAGTATTAATTTGTACTAAAAGTGGACCTGAAGCAAGACTGTATTGAATGCTCCGTTTGTATCAACTCAATTTCATTTACGTACCGCATTCACGATTTAGTACTAAATACAACTAAAAAGCACTATTTAGTTTGTACAGTTGCACAGATTAAGTGCGTTCACTCTACAATGACAATTTTCAAATGTTTTAAAGGGCAACACATTGAGAATGCCAATCTGTTATTGGCGTCCAGATATCTACTTGATTCCTTAGCTTCTCCACCTAAAATAAACAAACAATAAAAGAAAATGATATTTATTTGGTAAACTGACAAAATAATGGGCTTCCCGTTGTAAAAAAGACCATATTCCTGCATATGGCAGGACAAATAATTCAATAACTAAGAGTGCAATGAAGTGAAATAAACATTCTATTATTTACATGTGAACATTAAGTTCTATTCTTATGCACACACAATCCATTTCAAGCTGAGTTATTTTGGCCTTCCACGTTCATTTGCAATATTAAAAAAATGGGCTTCCTGTGTGGTCAAAATTGTATGGGAATTTGTTTTCCATGAATCAAATTGTGTTCAAACTTGAGCAGAGCTTTCGTATTTCTTGTAAATCAGTATGCTCTTCAATAATTTCCTTAATACTTGGGAAATGTTTTTTCCTGTTCTATAGCCTGTGTAGCCAGGCGTTCCTAGCTGCTCTGAGAGAGTTTGGGCTCAAGAAACTTTTTCGGAGCAGCTAGAAATGCCTGGTTATGCAGGCTACCTGTTCTAGTAGGGATGGGCATTAATATGCAAATTTACTTACACTTTGAGAACTTTGTCTTTTCCACCACTGCAAACACGTGTCCCATCAGGACTCCAGTCAACACTGTAAACCTTGACATTCATGGGAGACAAGACAATGATAAGGTTGAACTCATGCCTTTGACCCCTTCCCTGGTCATTAAATTTTGATGTCTGGACAACCGCAATGTCTGGACGACTGTAATGTTTGGACAATTGTCATCAAACCCTTCCCCAATAATTATAGTTTGAACAGGTCATGAGCCGTTCCTTTAAATACAAGAAGTCTAGTTTCTCACCTCGTCAGCATGTCCAGGTAAATCAAACATGAGCTTCTTGATCTTCATATCCCATACCTTATAAAAAACACACAAAACTTATAATTATCTGTGAGTGGAACAGAATCTAAAACCTTGCTGTGTACTCCCTCCACGCTGCAGACCAAGAAGTAAGATTCATTCTCCATATTTTCATTCATTCACTCCTGATCCCATTACAAATTTCTTACTTTCAATGTACTGTCTGCACTTCCACTGCACAATAGCCTGCTGTCTGCTGACCAGGAAATCTGGAAAGAATTTTTATTTGTAGAATTTATTTGTATTTAAATAAATTAAAACAGTTTGTTTTATAAGATTCTTTTTAAAATTTAAAATTCTTACCTGATACACAGAGTTTACATGACCACGTAAAGATGTTATATACCTGGTAGACAATAAAATAAAATGAACTTATCTCACCATGCAACCTCAGTGCTTTTACATTGTTCATAAATAGACAAAAAGAAATGCTTGGACAGGTTGTACAAAGCCTGCTTAGCATTAATCCACGGTTAACTAGGTTTTTTTAGGATTAGCGCCAAACAAACTTTGAACAAGTCAGCCCAAATAATTATTAAGAATATAATGAAATACACATAACAATATTTTCGTCCTCTAAAATTAATAATAAAAAAAATGAAAATGCATAAAATGCAGCTTCCAATATCCTATATTTTATGTAATCCAAGGTTGAGCATACTATTGTTAAGATCTTGCCATTGAAAACTTACTTCCCATTGTCTCCATTCCATATTTTCACAGACTTGTCAAATGATGCACTTGCAATCAATCGACCATCAGGGGAGTAACAAACCTGATTGATAAGAGCTTGGTGACCTTGGAAGAAGATAAGAAACTTTGTGAAGGTCAAATCAATTGCCTTGCGGGATAAAAACTAGTCTGTGGCAGTATTTGATCCCACAGGATCATGAATGGTGTAATACGACAGGTAATCCACACAGCGCGCGCTGATACAATAAAAGTGTGTGCATTTATTATTTTCTTTCTCTCCAGCAATAGTAGGGCCTATTGTTCAATCTCGCAAACAACCATTAGTTTTTAAGGGTAAATGCTGAATGAAACTCAGGCTGACCCACCCTCTATGCTTGACAACTTTGTTATCAGAGAATAAATTGTGTTAAATTAATGCTAAGGCTGAAAACCAAATAATATACACTTCTTACCAGTCATTCTTCCAACGTTTTTACTATTGGTTTCAGGTTCCCATAGAAATAAAGTGAAGTCATCTGATCCTGACACCAAACGCTCTGGACGTCCTCCCTGAAACATCAAAATAACATTTCATCATAGAACACAGTCCAGCATCCAATAGGGTTGCCCAACAGTCATACAGAACATTACTTTTAAGTCTTGATATCTTTGTAAAGCTTGTTTTTTCAGTGCATCTTGGTTTAAGTTGTCAAGAGTTTGTCCTTTTATGGGGTCAAATGCTCCAGTTCTCAAGGCATAATCTGTGTTAAGGGCCATGTGGTTGACCTACAATGAAATGTTTAGAAGTGACCATAAAGATGGTTATTGCGATCAGTCACAGACAGACAACACTGAACTTTACCCAATGACCATGTCCCTGAAGTGTTCTGCAAAGTACACCCTACCAAAACAATCATAGACATAAACTTTTATTAATAATTTCTAAATAATTTCCAATGGTGTAAAAAGATAACTTGAAAAACACATTTTACTAAACAAGCACAAAAAGATTAGGAATCACATGATTAATATTATATACAATTAAAATGGTGGTATTTACGCTATTATGTGACATCATATTTGAATGATTGACAAGGTAGATTGGTACTAACTTGAAGTAATGAGAATATATTAAATGAATGACCAAAACAAGGAATGGATGAATGAATATAAGTCAATCATTCAAATACTAATCAGTCACTCACTGATTCACTTAATCGATCAATCAATCATTCCACCATCAATCAATCAACCATTCACTCACTCAATCATTCTACCAACCAACCAGTCAGTTAGTCAACAAATAGATCAATCAACCTCCCATTCAATATGTTTGTCAATCAATCAATTGATCAAAAATGAATCTACATAATAGAGTGGTTTTCATTAACCCGTGAAACACACTTTAGCGTATTTATCACTATTACACTTTGGCTCTTTTGTTTTTTATTGTCTCTACACGTCTATTACAATCTATTACACTCTAATTATTACACTTTGTTTCGCGGGTTTATGAAAACCACTCTAAAAGACTTCATAATGAATTCACTTACATCTTCAGCTCTCCAAACTTTGATTGTTCTATCTTGTGATGATGAATAGATAAGACCCTCCCCTCCCCACTTCACACATGTCACAGATTGAGTGTGACTGGCCAGTGTTTTCTGTATACTGAAGGTACATGTGTCCCATATCTTAATGGTAGAATCCTTGACATAAACAAAACATATCATTGATGATTTAACCTTGATAGCATTTTCAACTATTGCATTTTTGATAAGGACAGGGAGGTGCTGCCTTTTTGCTCTTAAATCTTGAACCAAGCTTTGACATTACAATTATTTTTAGCAGTGATACTGTGAATACACCAAATATATTGTACCTTTGAAGAACTTGCTAGATATCTGCATTCCGGGTTTCTGGAAAAGTAAAAAAAAATTAGTGACAACATTGAAATTAATAATAATTTAGGCTGTATAGATAAATGTTTCTCCAACTACTAACTTATCACATTATGATCTAGCCTGGTATCATTACCAGTAGCTTTAACATATTGTCATTAAAAATCCTTTGGTGGTCAAAAAATGAAAAGTTGGTTTGATTACTGACGCAATATCTGCATTTTTTCATTGTATTACTTGACTTAGAAAGCAAGTCAGACTGATCAATACCAACCTGTGAAGAGGTTCCCAACTTAACCATGTGATCCATTTCAAATGTCCTTTTAATGCTTTCCCTAGTTGTTTGCCAGTCTCAGGATCCCAGATGCATATCTAAAGAAAATACAGTACTTTATTAATAAGTAAGTTTTCCTAATTCTCAAACCCAAATGTTAGTTTTAAAACATTAAAATTACTTAATTTTTACCTCTCCAATTTTACAGGCAGATGCCAACTTCTTGCCATCAGGTGACCATGCTATATGTAGTATCCAATGCTTGTGACCTAATCACAGACAKACAAGAAAATTAGGAAAGATAAATAGAAACATTAAAATAATCATTTATAAATGTACCTTTACAAGTAAAATGAGGTGTTTCAGTTGACACATCCCAAAATCTGACTGTTGTATCACCAGAACCACTTGCTAAATGTCTACACAAAAACTTACAAGTGAGAAATTCATCTCTACGAACTTTAAAGAAATTTTATATAACATTCCTTAGTTAAAAATCCCTGGTTGCAAGCATAGGGCTAAATGGTAATGTCATAATTAAGTGCTGAATGATTATAGTTATATATCACTATGTATCAAGACCACTAATTTTATTACCTTCCGTCAGGACTGAAAGCAACAGAAATTACAGCTTCTGTATGACCTACAATAAAGTATTGTACATATTAAGTAGAATTCAAATGAATGGTAGAAATGAAATAAAATTAATGATAATAAACTGTTAAGGTTTTTGAAAAGCACTTTACATACTGTTTCACATAATTTAGAAATTGTCTTTTTTATGATATTATATAATATCATAACTATCAAGTAAACATAAAAAGCATTACTTATTTTTATAAGTACTTTGTTGAATCAACCATGAATAATTTTAACAATTTATTCCAAGCTTTTGACCTAAATTTCTTATTTTGTTATTTCACCTGGTATTGTGCTTGTACATCTGGTAACAGCTCTTACTTTAAACACTGCTTGGGGCTGATAAACAATTTCTACAACTTTTTCTGTTTCTATGGAATGTTTTTCTATTGTTTCTTCAAGTTTTCCTGTGACCTCTGTTTCATTGACAAAGAATGTATAGGGTACAGTCTCTTCCTGCAAAACACAATGATGTTATAATGAAAGCAGTCCTTAGTTGTTTGAAGGATACACTAAACTTTAGGAAGACCAGGGGACCTGAAGAAAAGACATGGAGAGAACAACATCCAACAAATAATTGAGGCCACACAGGAATTCGCTACTAACATTACATGTATATTATTTGTACAATTGGCTGGAAGGTACCATCAAGAGTGGGACACCATGGGACCATACAATTCAGATAGTATTAAAGGATAATCAATCACGAAATAAGCTAAGTTTGGAATACAGTGAAAACCTCCCATTCCCTTCAACCCTGTCGATGTAGCCACAACTGATAGAGTACGATAGATTCTCTCTTACCTTTTGTATAATAGCATTACATATCAGTTCTAGCTGGTCTGGAGTGACATTCAAGGGTAAATCAAATGGTGTTCCTATAAGATCTCCTGATTCATTCTTAAATTGAGCTAAAACTCTACCACTGTCATCACTGAAATACAAAAAGGAATTTACTATTAACCACTGATAACAGGCAGCATCTTCCTAGTTCCCCAGGGTAATTAGTAAGCATGAAATGATTAATTTTTTTTTTCAGAACTCAATACAATGCTTTAGGTATCTATCATTGCATGCTTACTGACCATATATCATTTCCATATAAAGGCACAGCTATTTATTTATTATCTATCATTCATTTAAGTCAATACACCTGTATTTGTTTGATTCAAGATTCTTAATGGTCTTCCAAACTCAATTGCACGAGATGATGAAAAAATATAATAGCAACATCTCAATAGTTATTTATTTAGTTAAAAATATAAAAAAACTGCAGGTGATTAGTATTTATGCAAATGAAGCAAAAGCTGCCATCAAATCTGATGTCTGTTATTAATCATCATGAGCTGTCAATCAACACATCAATCACTGACGACAGGAAATGCAGCACTTGCATTGGTGCTTCATAGCATTTCTGCATCATTTAATAACTTGAAGAATCGAGCTTTAAACTATGATGGTATAACTGTACCAATAATATGTGATTGTCCGTCTAGGTTTAAGTTTTATAGCCTTTTACTTACCTCATTTTCCTTACGACTTGAAGAATATTTGGTGAATAATTACACTTCCTTGTATAACTGGTTAGAATTTCTACCAACAGCTGGTAATGAATATTTATTTACACGAATGAAATACTTGAGAACATTACTTCAAAACATTCCCACGTGCAAATCAAATTTATTTGATCTCTGGACAGCGGTGACCACGTTAGCATGCGCAAAAGTTCTAATTCAACATGGCGGCGATCAGAGCAAAATTATTTGTGCAAAACAGACCACAAAATATACTAAATTCAGTGATAAAAACAAAGATTAATGCTTCTTCTATAATAAGAAGTTCAGCTTTAATATGTAGGTGTATCAATGCTAGTGCACAAGAAAACGTAGAGTCTAAAATTCCTGCAAGTTCTTGCCAACCGGTGAAGACTCATTTCACGAATCGTAACCCTAGGAACGTGGAGTACGAAGGCAAGAATAAACCAAGAGGCTATGGAACACAGTTTTCAAGGAGAGATTTTTACAACAAGTAAGTAATGGCCACCTAAGGTACAACATCATAGTCGACAGTATCTTCAGTATATGAAGCACTCTAGGCCTATTAAGCTTATAAGGTGTATGAGTGAAAATAAAGATATCTTCAGCCTGCTTATTTTACATGAAATAACCTTGTTTCCATGTGCTTAATTATAAAGTATATAAAGCTTGACAGCACCTCCATCTATTCCCACTATATAACACATACTGCAACTAAGGGGCCATCATGGTCACCACCTTGAAATTTATGCATTCTAAAAACATCTATTTTTAGGTTAAATTTTGTGATAACCAATCGTCACATCAAAGCTTATGTTCAGCATAATTCGGGGACAGTGCTTATATCAGCATCTACAACAGAATTTCCAATAACGAAACAGTTATACAAGACGACAGACACAACTGCCGCTGTAAATATTGGTAGAGTACTTGCTGACCGTTGCCTAGAAGCAGGGTTTACTAGAGTATGCTGGGAACCAAGATGGGTAGATAAACACAAGAAAAGAGTAAGCATCATTTATTAGATCACATTCCATTGGTATGGCCAGGGCTTCAATATTTTCCAGGATCACCAAAGATTGTATGTTGTAAAGAAATTAAATCACTAATGTTGATGTCACATAAACATGCTTGTCTAGTTTCCCAGCAGTGATTTTTAAATATCTTATAATCATTCATTTGTTTTCAAAAAATGTCATTGATGAAATTTGACCTTCACTATCATTTGGTTACAAATAAGACTTTTTAGTAACTTCACCTTATTTTGATTCATTTCTAATATGACCAATATTACATTCTCCTCAGGTCAAAGCATTCACAACAGCTGTTCAAAAAGGTGGTTTAACTCTAAATGAACCAAGAGCTGTTATTCCTCTACAAAACTTCTACTCAGGTGATTATCAAGATTCGTCAAAGCTTTTTAGTATGTAACTGACTTAACTGGAGTGTAGTGGTGATATTGCTGAAGTCTCTCTGCATGAAATCAATGACCTAGTAAAGTGCCACCTTAAAAAGTAGCCATGCCTTTGTATCAATGTGGACAATGGCTACCTTTCAATATGGTGCAGGGAACTGTAAAGGAAAATGTATTTAGTGTGCAAATCTTTTATCAGCCTCTTTAGTGTTTTTTTTAAGTAATTATTCATTAATCTACTTTTATGAATGTTACTTTTACAGATTTCACTCCAAGAAAGGCGAAAAAGAAGTGGAAAAAAATGCCAAATTCTGAAAAAAGAAAATTCATATGAAAAATATTTGTAAATATACTAGTATCTGAGGAATACAGATGCTTTGATTAAAGATAATATAATGCTTGTATGTTTGCTTTATTGCCTCTTTCGTACACTGTCAAACTGTAAAAATAAAAAAAGACGAAGTCAGTGAACTGATCCGGAATTTTAGAGTGCCTGTGGACTATGGAAGACGAGAAGGACTAGGTCTACTTGATCACGCATGCTCAGTTGTTCTCGTCTAAATCGACGTGGCGTTTTGGACAAAAGAGAAAAGCTGAATGCGAACTTTAGTTGAAATTATTATATTTTATAACTAGTCCAAAATGACCACTCTAAATATATTATATAGTTGTTTATCTCTTCTTTTTGTTCTGCGATCTTCATATTGTTATTTTATAACCATTGACGCTCATGGAGAGGAGTGTTTTCATGATAGAGTAAACTCCGGCACCAAGATGGGCCTCATATTCGAGGTTGCAGAAGGCGGATTTTTAGACATAGATGTTAAGGTAAGATATATCGATTCTGTTTATTAAAAACCGTGGTTTATCCTTGGACCTTTCAAATGATAAAAAACAGGTTTTTGGGGCCAATGTTGTGATGTTTTCAAAAAGTCCCTAGTGGTGCATGTAAGTAGACTGCCGACCACAACTTTTAGATTTGTTTTTATTCATAAGAAATATAGGTTAACTTTTGTCATGATTATTGTCAAAATTATTGTGAATGATTGCAGTTTATATTAACTGAAGATTTTATATATTGTAGCACATCTTCAGTTCATTTACACTGCATACAACGTTTAGGTTTTATTACGTGTAACAAGATCTTTCCTTATCAATTCCATGACAGCTGCACAGATTTGTATCACCTTTTTAAAAAATTAAACTCAATTGGCTTTGATACAATTTATACTAAAACTTGCTGTTTTGCAATGGCTCTTACTATGACTTTGTCTACAGTATTCTGATTAAATAATTCATTGATCAACATTATCTCTAATTCACCTAAAGACTACGTACACACAGGGCCGGTCAAGTTTGAGGACACCTCGGGTTTAGGACAGTTCCCACTGTTCACATGGAACCGTCCACATTTCGGTACGGATTGAAGCAGTGTTCACACGGATCCGTTCATGCGTCGAAGTGACCTGTCCTCAAAGTGGATCAGCTTTTTAGTCGGCCCCAAAACCTGACCACTTTGCCAGCCTCAGATGAGGCCAGTTCCAGTGTGAATGCGCGCCTAAACTAGAACGGTTCCAAATAGAAACAGTGATGTGTGAACGGGGCCTAAGTTGTAAAAGGGGTGTTTATGCCAAGTAGAGGAACTACTGAATGCCCTGCATTAGAACAAACTTCTATTTTGGATTGAAGCCTACATGTATGCATCAAAAGTCTTCTCGCAGCCATTCTTAGTGGTGGGCTCCCTGTCCCCTGCCCGCCACTAAGAACTGCTGCTCGCTTGATGTCTCATTTAATAATACATTAATGATTGTTCATAATTGGGATTTATTTCTTCATATATTAGATAACGGGTCCTGATCAAAAGGTGATCTATTCTGGAGAAAGAGAAACCAATGGAAAGTATACATTTGCTGCTCACATGGATGGAGTGTACAACTACTGTTTCAGCAACAAAATGTCAACTATGACACCTAAGATAGTCAAATTTTCAATGGATATTGGAGAACCACCAAAAGATACCAGTAAAGATGATAGTAAGTATTGTAACAGAGAATCTAGAAGTCCTTTATTGACAACGCTTGATTAAACTTTGATGCAGAATAGTAATAGCAAGAAGTAGAAGCAGCTGAGCAAGGGAGAGGGGTCTGTGAAAGCTTAAGTTTGGCCAGTCAACACATCCAATAGCTTGACAAAATGCCCTTTTGTACAAAGATTTGACTGGTCAAACTGAAATTTTGACTGGGCATTGTCTATTTGCTAACCTGGCATTAAAACTTGCAATCATAGCATAGATTTCAAGTGGTTTTCTTTGTACAGTTCCACACTGCACACAGGGTAGCATTGCGACTACATACACTTTGTCAGTTTTTACAATAATAGAGGTCATAATAGTAAGATTCATGTTATTTTTGTTTAGATGCCAACCATGATAAGCTTACTGAGATGGTGAGTCAGTTATCTGAAGCCATGACAGGAGTCAAACATGAACAGGAATACATGGAAGTTAGAGAGAGGATTCATAGATCAAGTAAGTATTCATATTGACGCAGAAACTTAGTTACCATTATCAGAAGTATGCATGGACCATGAACTAGGAAGGATTTCTGGAAAAACTGTGGGAAAAGTTATTTTAAAAGTCATTTGTTGTGATGAAATTGTGCTTAAATTATGGTGCTGACATACAAATAACATTGTAGGACATGATTGATATAATAGTAATGACGTGATGGAGCATTTTTGGCTACTATATAGATCAGGTTTTAGGGTGTTTTCTCCAGGAGTTGGATGCTAATTTTGATTCTGAGTGCCAAGATATGATCTTATATTTCTGTTTTTCATACCCTCCCATCCCTCATCTCTTATTCCATTCTTCTTATTCTTGTCTTTTCTTTGTCTTTCACAGTTAACGATAATACTAATAGCCGTGTGGTCTGGTGGTCATTCTTTGAATCTCTGGTTCTTGTTGCAATGACTCTTGGTCAAGTGTACTACCTCAAGAGATTCTTTGAAGTCAGAAGAGTTGTTTAATTTCTACATTTACAAAACTGTTTCACCTGATATTAACTAATGCAAGTGGGTACTGTGAACCAGTCTTGTGTATAAGATCATAGTACTGGACGTTTTACTTGAATTTCTTGTCCATTGTGATAAACAGTCGGCTATACAACTAGCAAGTCATGCATACTAAGATCATTATATCTTTCATCTTGTGTTATTTAATTAGCTCTCCATCACCTGCGAAACAAATTGTTTCATAGTTTCTACTAATTACGATACAGAAAAATACAGTAAACTACTCCTTCCTGGATGGAGAGCTATTTGAATAAGTCTCCTTGTAACAAGATTGAAAAAAAGTCAAAGAGGATATAAGAACAATTGCCTAAGTAGATAATTTTTTTAATTAGAAGTGTGTAAAGGAGGAAGTGATGATGTGTTTAATTGAAAATTATAATTGGATAACCAGTAATCTTGAAACAATACAAGCCAGGATGCTTTCTCTTGTTTTTAATGTCCTCATGTAAGGGACACAAAAACAAAAGAAACAGCCAGGGCTCTAACTTTGTAATATAGATAGATTCTATGTCTATTACGGGAAGCTGTTATCATGATTCTCAATGGGGGGAGGGTGGGGGAGAATTTTGTTTCTGATATAATGAAATTCCAATTACTCTTGAGTTCATGCCAGCAGAATATAAAGTAGCATTTGATAACCTTGATGCTTTGGACGTTTATTTTCTCTTATTAAGGCAAATCTCCAGAAACTGCTATGTAAACTTGTTAGGCTTAACATTCACTCCCTGATTCCACCCACCATTGCATGATTTCATTATTTTTGAAGTTATCACACTGGTTATAATGATTTTATTTAACTTACAAAAGAAAGTTGCCTCCTGAACGTAGTAATTCTAGTTAAGACAGTGGAAATATTCAGTATTCTGTGGGGCATTCATAATGACAGTAGTTTAAAACTGTCACTGTACAAAAAATCTAATGTTATTCATATAGAAAAGCAAATAAAATAACATTTGTCAGCAAAAATAAATCTTTTTGGATTAATTACATGTTTGTATTATTGAAAGTATTCAGTAACCAATTTTATGAATAGTACAACAATAGCTTGGTTGAATCCAGATATTTTCTATCATAATAAAAATTGGAATGGATTTTCCTTGGCAGTTTTTAACGTTAGGACGAAGTCCACCAAGCTTTGTAATATACTATTATACTAAATTATAATATTGTAATTAATTGTATGAGGAAGTAGCTGATCCCATTAAAGAGTGCTCAATACACATAAAGTGTAGAGCTAGTTATATATATAATATCAAAGAGGCAAGATTTTGCTGTTACTCCGAGTTTCGTGCTACGCACTCATCAGACAGTATTTAATTTGGATATATATATAATATCAAAGAGGCAAGATTTTGCTGTTACTCCGAGTTTCGTGCTACGCACTCATCAGACAGTATTTAATCCTAATTAATTAAATTATTAATTACTAAATCATTAGTATTAATTAAATACTGTCTGATGAGTGCGTAGCACGAAACTCGGAGTAACAGCAAAATCTTGCCTCTTTGATATTATATATATAATATTGTAATTATTAAATTGGCATAAATATGCTTATGATGATACAATTAGTATATATATTTATCACTCATACATCAAGTGTTCCCTATATAATATAATAGTCTAAATTAATGTTTTTTGACCTTGTACATGTACGCTTCACCTTGTTGAAGGACTGTCTTGTTTCAAGTCCGCGCAAATGACGTGTACAAATATCGAAGCATATGGCAACACCTCACCCTCCTTGTCCATCAATGGCACATGTCTATAACCCTGTTGCATGCTTTCAAAGGGAAGTACAGCTTGGCCAATGAAATCATCAAAACCAACATCTTTGTCATACACAGAAAACGCCACCATTGCTAACTCTGGTACCAAGACATTAGTCTCAAAACTCTGATTCCAAATGGGATTGAAACTATTATCACATAATGCTTTGGTTGTGAATGTGTACTCGTCTGAGGGTACGCCCTGGATCTGTACTTGTACATATGGATCTGGCTCGTCTTTCACTACCGACCATGACGAGTTGGGCTGGTCGGGAAGCTGCTGACCACTTATGATCGTCATCTTCAGTACTTTACTGCCGGCCCTTGGCTTAGTAACATTGGGGTTGAACTTAATTGAAGGATCTCGAAGGAACTGTGGCTTTAGAATGTAACCAGCTCGACCATTCTGGCGGAATTTTCCATCATACAATGCCATACCTTCATCGTCTGTCTGATGGTTGAGAGCGACTATCTGGCTGCCAATGCTCCAGGGTTTTATAGGGTTGTAATTACTAGAGTCAATTCTTAAGCCTCCTGGGTAAATACGACTTAGTTGGCGTCTGTTAAACCTGATGAAGGCTTCAGCGTTTTTGTCAGCATGATATTCCATATCGCCTTCAACAAACGATGAGGATTGCCAATACTTTCCACTTCTGTCAGATTCTTCAAAGCTTACAAACTTTGCATTAGATGTGTAGTTGATCAGATTTGACAGTTCTTTAGCAATAGTCTTTCTTTTTGTGGTCGAACTGATCTTTCTTTCTCTCGTCTGGGAGCTCGACTCGGGGTGCTCTTTCGCCATGTTTACATCCTCTCCCCCCTGTGACGACACCACTTTCTTTTCCCTTTCCTCTTTTTTATTTTCTTCCTCTTTCTTTTCCATCTTTAGATTGTCAGACTTTGGTTTGCTGTCATTGCTGTCTTCTTCATCATCCATGGAGCCAACTTTTCCTCGGATCAGAATTTTGTGCTTAAAAAACTCAGGCGATGGAAATTCACTGCGGCTTTTATCAACAGGGATTGTGTACATCTTGTCGGCCAGAATTTCCACCAAGTATGAAGCCATCTTTTTCTGTACATCAAGGGAACAGTGATTCTCCAAGGACACGATGACAGGATACGATGACGTCATGAAGGCGCTATCATTAATGGCTTTAATAATATCCTTGAATAATATCTTGGTTGTTAAGGTGTGTCCATGGTAAACAATTGGTTCTCCATCGTCACCATCCCAGCAATCTAACTCAACACAACGACAACCCTTCTTCAGGACGTCCGAGTAGGCCTCGGCGCTAGAGTCGCCGCTCAATTGTTTCCCACAGAGATATGTGTTATGCGATGAGGCGATGTAATAGTGAGTCAATGGCTGGCTCATGTCTTGATATACACCATCATGTTTTGGATTGAACAGCTTTTCTTTTTGCATAAAATGTGTGAAACCATCAATGTTGAGCTGAAGGTTCTCTTTGCCAGCTTGCGTGACTTCGTTAGTGACAATGATTTCTTTGCAGTGATCATGCGTGACATTTTTTTGATATTGTTGCTCGGTTAAGAAGTACTGGAGGTCAGAAGTTGTGATAAAAGTTCCGTCAGAAGCGACTCTTCTGAATAAATTAACCATCTCTTTTCTGTCGAAAATATGCTTGTAAAACTCTACAAAGTTTTGTAGTCTTGGAAATCCGTCATCTTCTCTGTATTTCAACTTCTTACTTTTCAAATACTCTTTTAATTTCTGCTTGAAGAAGGCTGGAGACACGAAATTCTCTTTGGCGTTCAGAACGTACTTGAAGATATCACTATACTTCAATTCATGATGATCTGCGGTTGAAAGAGCTTGGAAGATTTCTCTTAGCCATTCGTCCCGTCTTTCGACACCTTTGTGCGTCAGTTGTTGATTGCTTATAAGAGTTTTCAGCCCATAAATCCAATCTTGAGCAAGCGTCACGCTCGGTGCCTTGAAGTGCATTGATAACTTAGTGTTCAGCTCGATAGTAAAGGTCTGTGAGTTGGTTTGTTCACTGTAGATACGAGATATTGACGATATCTCTTCACTGCTCTCTTCTGTACCTTCTAGATAAGTAAAGCTCGTCATATTTTGATTCAAGTACATCTGTACGGATTTGCTTGGAGTTTTGTCCTTGTTTTCAACAGTTGGTGAAGTTATCGTGTCATACTTCTGCATGTCTGACTTGTTCAACATATGTTTCCAACGCTGCTGAATTGGGACAGTACGGTCAGGTTGAGCAGTTTCCATGTTTCTATATTTTAAAATATGTAGAAACGAACACCGTTATACTTATACAGCGAATCACGTCATACTGATTTCCTCTTGTGTTGACGTCATTGCTTTCACTTCTCGCACGAACTACCAGCATGCTTTGTCCTTTTCCTGTTTGTAAAACACGTCTCCGCAACAGTACTTTAGAGACCGTAAAAGACAATTGAGACTAATAGTTGTTATCTGACACTCTAAATCTATAAAAACAGTCTTTTTCAAGTGAAGTTAATGCGTTACGCGTGAACGTAACTCGTGGAATAGTAGCTAATAGTAGAATACTTTAGAATACTGGTCACACTGTTATCATTATAGATCCCTTGCAGTTCGTGGGAATGCAATTTCAACTGGGAGGACAAATCAATAGATTCTAGTTCCCAAGAGGGCAAAAATCTTTTGTTTTGTCCTCCAGATGAAGCTGCTTTGACATCAGATGCAGGGGATCTATACTGGTATAATTATTTCTCGGGTTGAGTTGTAACGGAGGAAAATTGATCAAAATTATTAGGGAAATAAATAATAAATTTATTGTATAAAATTGGGAATATTTGAAAATTGACTAAAAATTGTAAAATTCACCTGTATCACTAGGTGAACGCTTTACTAGGCGTTATAGTTACATCCAATAGTCTTTTGCGAATGTTACCTCATCTTAGGACATTTTCGCTTTTATCGATGTGGTTTGGATGTTAGCCGTTTTTGGGCGCGTCTTCAGTTTACAAAACTTTAGTTTATAAAAGTTTATAAAAACTTTAGGTAATTAGTATTGTACAACGGTTCTAGAATAAAGGGAATCCAAGTTTTGTTGTAATCTAGAGACCAACTTCCTGCGTGCTGCTATTCAAGATTAAAGCAAGATTTAAAGTGAAGTTCATTCAGTGCTCTGTCTCGTAGGGTAAATTCTACACGGGCCCAAACCATTCGAGTCGACTTCTACCTGGCTAGTCCACGCACAATCTGGCAGAAACATAACACAAAATACCTTGGGAAGCTAGTGTAGGGGAAGCAAGGATGGCCGAGGGGTGTGAGCGCCGGCCTGTCACCGCTGTGGTCCGGGGTTCGATTCTAACTTGGGATCATAAGTGGCTTGGGTTTGTTTCCGTTGTCTCCCTTGCTTCGAGGGTTTTTTCTCCAAGTCCTCCGGTTTTTCCTCGGTCGGTTGGTTGGCTGCTTTGTATACCGCATAACCGACTTGATCACGTGAGCTGCGTCCTTCGTTCAGCACTCTGGCTGCAAGGAAAGGCGATTAGCTATCACCAATTTTTAACGTAACAATAGTAACTGAGGGACTATGTCGTAACAGAGTTGTTTTTCCGTCGACTATGAAAAGAAGAGACTTATACCCGTTTGTAATTTTTATTGACTTTTTTGTATCATCCACTTCAGATTGTTTTTGATTCAGTTCTCTTATCGGACTTTTTCTCATGAGGAGGTGTACTTGTACAAATTCTACCCTGGATGCGGCTGTTTACTGGTTTCAAGTCGACTGAGGAATACCCCACTTTCGATATTTATGTTTGACGACGCAAAAAATGATGATACTGTAGATAATTCTTTTGTTTCCCCGGAGCGCCGTCCTTAGTTGTTTTGTGCGTGATTATTGTAAGAGGTCTATTGAAGAAGATTTTTGAGTAAACGTTTTCTGATATTTAAACTTCCATGTGGTACAAACTACAGATTGAATTACATTTTGCAATTTTACTCGATTTTACTGAGAAATTGCAATGAAATAAATAAGTTTTGGTCTTCGTGAATCATTCCCTTAATGCATTGGGACTTCGTTCAGTAGTTATTTTCAAGATGTTGGTCATATTGATAAGAACTGCTTTTGATTGCTTCAAGGTTGATAATCTTGTCTCTTCTTGTCCTCCCTTTTTTAACTGTTTTTAAATATATATCTAGACAATCATTAAAGCATGCCTGTATAGTTCACGAACCTATAGTTATAATAATTATTTAAACCGTTAAAAGCGTCATTTTCGTATTTGCCTTCTGGCGTACATAATTTGCATAAGTAGAAGTTGGCATCAGTAAAATTCCTAAAGTACATCGTTGCTAAGTAACATGTTTTCAATGCTTTTTCTGTGAAATGGAAAAGATAAAATGTAAAATATTGACTTAATCTTTACAGATAAACCTGCCTTAATTTGGTCGTACGAACCGACAATTGATGAACCGATTTGTGTGTTTACGTAAACACTTACCTAACACCGTTGATATCAACAAAAAATACGATTTCTAATGACCGTTCAACTTTAATTACTCATAATTACTTTAAAACTTACAAACGAGCAAATCATAAGCCACAAGAGAGGCTAAAATCAAAGCAAGCTGGTAAAATACTGTCTGAAGACGAAAATAAATAACTGTGCATCATGCATACTGCAGTGAACTGCACTTGAAAACAACAGAGAACAAAGAAAAGATTAAGTTGATTATTCAGCAAAACAGTCGTGAGTCAATTAAGCAAGACTGATGAGTGGAGCTTATAAAGGGGCTTTCTATTAAATCAAATATATGACCACGAAATAACCCAAAATGGACAAGCCTTCAACTGTAATAGTATTTTAGACAAGTAACAAAAACCTCGTCCATTTAGATCATAATTTGGTTTCTCAGTTGTAAGGCATTTTTAGCTTTTTAGACGGCAAAAAGGACAATCGTCAAATGAATTGGTTGATTGCTGTGAATTCTGGCACGGTCAAGCAAGAGTAGCACGGTATAGTCAAAACACCCTGATTGCAGTAATTCATTGACGCGAGGAGTAAAGAAAAAGCGGCAGAGAAAATATCCTTCAGCTATAATCGCAAGAATCTTCCAGTAAAGTAAGTACATTTACATTTATAATTCATGATTGGTTTACTAACCAAGAAAACCGCCAGTAAGTATTGACCTCCGACTGCGAATAACCATTTAAAACATTAAGATGCATGGTATCGACTTGTCCGTATAGAATAACCCTGTATTGGCTACACTGAATTATCTAGAACAGGGTATGCTCATCTGGCCGCAGTAAATTCTCTATTCAAACAGAGAATTGTACTGTTTTGAACGATAGTATATGATCATTCATTGTATCATTTCAATGTGAAGAGGGATGAAAACAACGGGTAACTGAGGTTTTAATCACGAAATATTTAGTGGTAGGTGGACAAAAATATTTAAAAGTAAAGAGCAACTTGTCGTGCATCAGACGACGTTTAAAGTACATGTCGCCCCCTCCCCCACCCCCCAGACTGTTCAATCACAGATGTGCAACATGAGGGTAGGTGGAAGGGAGGGTGTCAAGTCAGCAAACTTCTGCGCAATTATTTATTTCAACAATTCTCAACTGTTTTCGTGTAGCCTCTCAAAATTCAAACCATGATAACAAGATAAGAATTTAAATAAAAAGCAGGTAAGTGTTTGTTTGGTCAGTGTATCAAGCGACACTGTCTAGCCGAAGGATCAGCTCGTCAGCTCGTGTGGCACTCGGTTGTCACGGACATGTTTCTTGGTATGATACTCATCGTCCGGCAACAAACAACAACAGCCATCTTTAGTCTTTGTTTGTTTCTTTCTACTTGACCATAGTAATTTAAATTTCATCTGTTGACTTGTGGGTGTCTTGGTTGATGCCTCTACTTCACCCACTCTTTTTACCTTGTTCGCGCTCACTTTGACTAAGCCAATCAGAAGACGCGCTCTCACACTGCCGTCAAGAAAGTTCATATAGGTTGTATTAGTTACTGGCAATCGAAACTGTTTGATAATAAGAAACGTGCTACAATTATCAAGTGATAATATGGACGGTGTCTTGAAACGACAGAATGAAATAAAAGCCCATTAACAAGGCCCATCGTGAAACCAGTCTTACCGAGATTGTCATGTTTTCATTACCTGGGCGAAGAAGGTCAGTCGTTTTTTTATTTTTATTTATTTTTTCCTTCTAGAATTAACCGACTTGTAAGCTTATCATTAGTCATAAGTTAATTCCTATAATCTCCATTCTTCTTTCAAATATGTTTTATCCCATGTAAGAAAACACACAATGGAGGATTTAAGTTCAGGGTACCAAATTCACAAAATTTACGAATTCCAATGATCATATAGAATATCATAGAATATATCTATATTCGTTCCCTCTCACAGCTTTCTGCATGGGACACGGATATGTTTACTACACAAGCTCCTTTCGTACTTTTCGTAGTACGATATCATAAAGACCCCTGAAAGGCTTCTCTCTGCTTTATTATTAGCAGTGCTGTTTCCTAGAAAACGATGATATTCTGTAATTATCACAGTAGTTCTTTGTTTTGTTTCTTTTGTTTTCGACAAACCCATCAGGCGATAAATCATCTCGGGTGCAGGCCCTCCCCTCCCCGTGGTCATGTTTCGTACAAAACACTAATCTTAGAATAGGGTGTGCTTTTGATTGGCCATTTAATTCGCTAGAATTGTAGATAGTAATGTTACTTAGTAACATTACTAGAGGCTCTACTGAAATTGAGAAGAAAGACTAAAAAAACAAGGGAAAATGATCTCTTTTTCTCTTGAAAAAAAAACTCATCAAATACTAGTTATTGCCGACTAGATGTTGGACCTTTCGGCGGATACGTTGATCTATCGGATTATCAGCGTTCTGTTTTGTTTGTAGCTCAAGTGTTTCGCCGTTGCCTTTTTCTTTGTCAAACACTTTGTTTACTAAAATCAATTCATTTAGACAATCTTTTCCGCCATGATTTCAAAAATTACGAAAAAAGTAAGAAAAAAAGCGGTTAAAAAGCAGTAAATCGACAATCAATCTTGGTAATGTTTTTTTCGAATTTCCATCTCTAGGCAATTCAATTAGAACAATTTCTTTCAAATAAAAGTCCTATCCATGTATTTTGACCTTTTTAAATACGTATTCTTTAGTAATTTAATGCATAAAACCTTTTTAATTTGTTTAAATTCAAGTGTTTTTAAAGCTATCAATATAGCCAGGACTTGGATGAAAGCAACAATTTAACCTTACAGATATAGCTTTAAAAGGTTTCTTTGAGTGCTTTCGCGTTCACAAGATAGCGTTCGTTCTCAAAACATTTCCGCTTTGAAAAGCATCGACAAATTATAAGTCGATTTTTTTGTTTTAACCACGGCATCACTTTTGCCATCAGCCTGGCCTAGGATTTGTGAATTAACCAAATAAACAGGCTGAATATTCTTAGGAGAGACCATTGGAATAGCTAACCTGAGAAAAGACAAGTTAAATATTGGATACTTAGATAAGATATATAACAATTGGCCAAATATTCCTATTTACAAGCAAATTCATTTTTATATGACCATAAATTCTCCTCTGAGTGTTATTTCGTTGGCACCCCTCGATATTTAGCGAATATATATAATTCTATACATATAAGAGAATTCATATCGGCTAATTTTATAACTGACCATAGAAAAAATGGACGAATGTGTTTTATTTTTCTCATTGAAATGCTATAATGAAGTCATGTAATGATAAGGAGGTATTCATACAAATATCCAAGAGTTTATAATATATACATTATACAAAAGGGTGATTACTAGGACTGCTATATAATCAATAATTCACTCGGCTATACGTGTTAGAGTCAATTTATTGAAGTATCAAGAAAGTAGTTTCTTGTTTTCAAGTATGTTTTCAATTTCAACCTTTCGTTAGCACTTTCAGTCTCTCTATGAAATAATCGCTCCACATGGACAGGATCGTTTTGTATTTGTATAACCAATTACAAATCGATGGTCAGGTTTCACGAAAACAAATCGACTGCATTTCCCACTAGAAAGCATGTCTCTGGCGGTAAAAAAGATAGCATGATGATCTCACGCATTTTTTTGTTTTTCAAAATGAGCTGAAAGAGATTTGACCAATGCGTTTTCTGTTTGTTTATGGGTTATTTTGCTCACAAAAACACGAGTCTAATGATGGCGAACGCATGTAGATGACCTCAGTTCCGGTTGTAACGATTGGATATTCCAATTGCTATACATTGAAAAAATTAAAAACCAGATTGTTTGGTCTATTGTTCAAGAAATAACATAAGCGAGCGACGAGACGATCTTGATTCCTGCCCAGTCACGGATTTACATATCAAAGAAATTCTAGTGTTTTTTTTTCTGTATAATCGTTTCAGTTTCTCTAAGATCAACAGATTCTCCGTGGTTGTTGGCGAGCGTCTCTTTCTCATCGTTAGCGAAAATTTTTCCAGGTATTTTAAGGTAGGGTTTTTGTTGGTATAAACGGCCAATTATACGATCATTTATTCAGTATACGTTTAGTCATGTTTGATGCTTCTTAAGAATTTTTAGACAATTATATATCCTGAATGTACATACAGTCAGAAACAGCGAAAAAACCCAGAGCCATCTTACGACTATGAAAGAGTCCATTGATCATATACTGAAAGCCAGGCCGGTGTAATTATATGTAAGCATTTTGTTTGAGTACTGGGATGGTTGCTAGCTAAGTGCTTGATCGTAGGATGCGCTTTTTTATGTCGAATAACGTGGCCTTTAACATTTTTTTAATTGTTTTTTTTTTTTTCTTTTTCTTTTTTTTTTTTTTCAACCGAGACATTTCTCAATTTCATTCCTGCTGTATTCCCTCGAGCTAAAGCATTTATTCACAATTTGATATTCCCAAAGAAAATAAGATGGCTGATTTCACGAAGAAAAATATTCATTATCTATTCTCATATAAAGGCTGAATATATATGCGGACAAATTAGTGCTTATATTACGGAGAAAATATGCTTATTTTTGAATTATATTATTGAGATAGTAATATAAAGTGGCGGTTGTTTCCACTGTCGGTTCGCTGTGAGAGCATCTTGATGATTTTAGTGGGGTAACAATCTGGACATTAACTCTGTATGGATCAAGCTGTGTAGCCTTTTAATACAGCATTAGTTCCATCCAAATAAAGTAACGAAAAATAAGGAAACATGTTCCAGTATGAATCATACATATCTATCAGGGATTATTGACAAGTTTATCTATTAGTACGTCGACCTGTTTTCATTGTCAGAGAAAGAAGGGAGACAGAATTTTGACGTTGTTCGGTTGTATTTGGATATGGGGAATAGACTTTTATGTTAGAATGACAACACGTCTCAACAAACACCTGTTCGGTTCATTTCCTATCTTTTTAAAAATATAGAAACATCTCTCTCTTCGTGTTGTGCGCGCTTTGTTTTCAATGAATAACCTCATTAACAAGGACAATTCTGTTAATTATCGATTTCCAAGGAATACAGAAAACCGGTGTTTTCTACGGTTTATAAATATGCTTTTGCTCTTTATGGACCAACACTTAGTCTTTTGTGAAATTGATAGCAAATTCCTTCTAGTTAAAAGCATATTCAAACGATCTTCCTGAATATTTCCTGTCTACTAGAGCGCATGCTTACAATAGGCTTTCTAAATATAACGCGTCCTCTGATTGGTTAAATTTAAACGTGACTTATTTCTGTTTGATGGGAGTTGGAATAGACTGAGAATGACTGAAGTGTTGATTTTTTTATGTAATTGTTTGATATCCTATAACGTGAATCCGGACAGCTTGCAACACGAGCAGTTGTCAATGTATTTCATTTTGGTGTAATTTATTTTCCGTCGTTCTCTTTCATTGAACTATTCTGTTCCCGGTTCTGGTGCAAAGCTTTGTTTCGTCCTTTTTGGCTTTCCATAAATCTTACAACGTATCATTACATAAAAGCTCTACATCAAACATAGCTGACGATGGTGAAATGCCGGTCGAAATGCATACCATCCTTGTCTAATAAAAGTGAAAACACCGAATCTCTTTTACGTTAGGTAAAATTTTACTATTTTACCATGCTTATCTCAGCTGCATATACAGTATTTTCAATAATCTTAACACCTGCACAGGGACCTCGAGGCAGGTATGCTAGGCGCCAGCTTTCTCGTTAAAGATATCTTTATCTTGTCTTACTGAAAGTACATGTACTGAAGTCTTCCAGCACTATCATTGACATGATAATATGCCAAGAAAAAACTGAAAAGATTAAAGCAATTTGCATTGATTCAACACATGTGTTATTTGACGTTTTTATTAAATTTTTCGAATTAAGTGTTAATCTGCGTAGACAATAACCATAAAGAATATCTTTCACAAAGACACGCCCGTCCAAGGTCTATATAAAAAATCGCCCGTCCTAGTTTTGTCAAAAAGACACCCCCATACAAGGTCTGTCAAAGACCAACCCGTCCAAGGTCCCGTCAACAAGATATGACGTCCAAATTCTGTCAAAAGATACTCCTGTCAAAACTCTGTCAAAAAGACACCCTGTCCAAAGCGTGTCAAAAAGACACACCCCTCCAAGGTCTATCACAAAGACACACCCGTCCAAGGTCTATCACAAAGACACACCCGCCCAAGGTCTATCACAAAGACACACCGTCCAAGGTCTATCACAAAGACACACCCGTCCAAGGTCTATCACAAAGACACACCCGTCAAAGGTCTATCACAAAGACACACCCGTCCAAGTTTTGTAAAAAAGACACCCCCATACAAGTTCTGTCACAAAGACACACCCGTCCAAGTTTTGTCAAAAAGACACCCCCATACAAGGTCCATCAAAAAGACACACCCGTCCAAGTTTTGTCAAAACGACACCCCCATACAAAGTCTATCAAAAAGACACACCCGTCCAAGGTCCCGTCAACAAGATATGACGTCCAAATTCTGTCAAAAGATACTCCTGTCAAAACTCTGTCAAATAAAACACCCTGTCCAAGGTCTATCACAAAGACACACCGTCCAAGGTCTATCACAAAGACACACTGTCCAAGGTCTATCACAAAGACTCACCGTCCAAGGTCTATCACAAATACTCACCGTCCAAGGTCTATCACAAAGAAACAACCGTCCAAGTTTTGTCAAAAAGACACGCCCGTCCAAAGTCAGTTTGCAATGATATTTGACAACTGATTCATTCATTCAACTTGACGACATTCAATTGGGAAACAATAAAAGAGAGAAAAGGAAATACGTCACAATCGTAAGACTAATAAACTTGTGGCCCTTCACCACTTCGACACACTTCCTCGACATTGAATGTTTATCCTTCTTGTTCCTGTTTGAATTTTAGGATTCTATTCAATATATGACTTCAATTTCATGCCATGTTATTGCACAACGTTTTCATTTATTATATTCTATTAGTCAATGTGAATAACACGGCCCGGCAAGACGTCCATTTCCCACCAAACATCTCTCCTAATTTTTCCGGGGGTTTTCACGTTTCAGTCTGTTTATTTAATAGATACAATTTCCTCCGTTTCCTGGCTACAATTTCCATTCAAGAGAATTAATAATTAATAATTTTCTTCTTTATTTAGTTATTGCCAAAGTAAGCTCGCTATGTGACCGGTGAACATAAGGTGGCATGGTCGCAGTTTTCTTTCATTGAGTTCTGAAAGCTTAAATTTCAATATTTACGATGTTTTCAAAATATAAGCTTGTAGCAAGCTTTAGTACAGGCCGTGTTTATTCTTGATAACATAAGGCTCTTTATGTAATTCTCAAACAAAGAAACAAAGCCTCGAAGAGGATTTCTTTACGTAGACATAACATACTAGTCTGCGAAACTGATTGTGTGATATACATCCTATCAACTCATTAATCTGTTCATTTTTCATTCTTTCTCTCTTTCATTTATTTCAGTTCATTCATTCATTCATTCATTCATTGTAAAAGTTATCCCAGTAAATCATTACTGAGTTGTCTTTGTACCAATGAGTCCATTCAGTTTTGCATTTGGCCTGCATGCGTGAGGTCGGTAAACGTCAAATCTCACATGTACCGAATACAATGCAAATAACGTGAATCGTTTGCCAGTTTATGCTTATTATCGTCTCATTTCCATTTAATTCAGGAGAATATGAGAATCTGTGCTTGGAAAGGGCCTTAAATCGGGTAAAATTCTACTTTCTAAATTTTCATTTACACATAATGATAGGAGATTTGTTAAATACTTGCTTGTTGTTATTGGTGATATTAGAGGACGATTACTGTTATTCTGCGCCTGTCAGTGAAGAGTCAGTCTTTACAGGTTTGTTATTAGCATTCAATATGCGCTGAATATACACTTCAACAATTAACGAATCGACATCGCTCTTAGATTCGATCGTTAAGCAGTATACCTACGAGCAACACTTAAGCGCCTTTTACGTCATTGGAAAGCTTTTCGGAAATACGATGTAAAAAACATCTTACAAGTGCATTTGAAACTTAAAAAAGGCTGTCCGTTGGTTTTAGCTCGTTTAAGTGCATCTACAAGGAAGATTCGAATCGAAGTGATTTCAGAGTTGATGATTTATTCGGTAATGTTTGACATCTGTTAGCGTATAGGATAAGTTATGATAAGCCAAGCTGTAAACTGGAAGCTTTACTTTTTGTAATCTTTAAATCCCACTTAAGGAGCTTACGAACTGTAGCTGTTTTTTTTGTTTTTAGTTTTTGCTTTAAATAATTGCTGTTTAATCAATATATCATTCACTCTATTTCTCATGCATTCGTTTTGTTATCAATCCTTTTTTCATTTGTAATTCTGGCCATTCATGATTTCATTTCTCTTTTAGTACAGCCTCGATGTGTATCCGACTAGCACTTTTTAATTCACTCATATCTCAGTTTGTTCACTGATTTTTTCATTCGGATCAGTTTTTCAAACCGATTTATTCAGACCAATCTTAGCTAAAATTAGTTTTCAGGTGATTTGCTTACGAATTTTATTCCGTCGTTTGTTTCTTCCCTTTCAGCTCATCAATATTTCATTTAAAATCGTGAATCCTTTTCTTAGTTCCCAATCCTTCATGCTTTTCGAATTAATATTCGAGTATAATTGTATCGTTCGTGATTTTACGTTCCATGCTTTCAACAGTTTGTTACGGCTTTTCATCTTGTTTACAAAGTAAAAAATCCAAGATTTCCACCTACTCTCGACTCAAAAGAACGGATGTCACTAGAAAATGTCTAAATATCCTCACAATGCTCGTTGTCGTCTTTCAATCGCATTTAAAGCAATTACTGATAAATGTGTAATTTTGTTGTTAACTATACTTTAAAAACAGCAAAAATATATCATCCTTCCTAGAAAAATCCTCTTAAATGGCTGTAGTGGTTCTTGAATCATTTTAACCAATCAATCTGGCAGCCGACACATACCCACGCAAGTTGACATCATTTATTCGTATTTCTGTCATATTCAACGGGTTGGACACTTATCGATAGCTTGAAACGTCTAGTATATCTAATCAATTTTCAATTCTTTCTGTGTGGCCTTCGCTGTACTCGCAACTCGATCAATTCAGACGAAAAATCTAGGACAACTAGGTGACACATCAGTACGGAAAGGCATTCGCAGAAATGTTGTGAAATTCGTCAGTTTTATTTGGCATTTTTGTTCTTGATTGGGTGACAGCTTGAATGTTGAAGGCCATTTTGATACCGAGGTATATTGTTATGTTCTTATACCATTAATTAAAGACTCGTGGAGCTTAACCAAGGATTGTTAATCCTTTATTACTTTCCTATAGCTCCAGTTTAAGTGTAATTTTTTCATATTATAGGCACAGTTTGAGAAGAACCACTTTGATTGGTTGAAGCTATTTATTTTAATCCTGCTTGACCGTCACAGATCACTCAAGTTTACTGTGGCCGGAGAACCGCTAACCGCAACTCATAAGGTAAAACAATTACTTTTCACTCAAAACATTTTCTTTTTGTTTAGAATACAAACAAATTGCCGCCTTTTCCAGCAAATTTTATCATACAAAATATTTCATTACTGCAAGGAGGATTTTGTCATGTAGAGGCAATAAACTTCTTGGCCTAGAAGGGTATATTTTTGCCAAAAGATTGCGGAAGCTTCAAAGAAAAATAGTGAACATGTGCATCTCTTCTTCTGTCCCCCAAAAAAATTTCGTGATTTTTCCCACGAATATCCGTCACGTAGTTTACATGAGTTTATGTCATCGCAAACACATTTGCATATTGATATCTTTCAAGTTATTATAAAAGCTGGACGTAATATGTTCCACTTTCTGTTGAATGATTTACATAACCATTCAATGTATACATTGACTTAATCTTTAATATAAGTCCAGTTACACTTCATTAATATATAATGATTTTAATTACGAGGATTTTTAGTTTTATGAATTATAGTTTGTTCAGAAAGTTTTTGAAGTTGTAGTGTTGTATATTAGTTAATTTTATGTTTCTCAGTTTCCTGGGTTTGTAACGAAACGTGCAAAAATGTGCAGTGCCGACACTGATGACGTCACTGAATTTGCAAAACCCTCGTGAGGTTGGCGCAAATTATCGAGGACTCAGTGAAGATGCAAACCGCATGACTTCTTCAAAAGAGAAAGAAGCAAACAGGCTAAAAAAGTTAATCAACTGCAAGCCATTAAACTCTAATTGATTATTGTTTGTATACTTCTTACACCGAGATCATCCAAAAACGTCCGCCGACAAGCGGTTTAGAGATGCAAAACGAACAAAACTAAACAAAACAGAGAGTTTTAAATGGTAAAGGATTTGAGCGATAATGCTAAATTGTCAATGACGCTAAACCGGTTGCCATCGTGAAATTTGTTTTGAGAAGACAATGTCGTCAGGCGTCCTTGTATTTAATGACATTTTCCACGGTTAATTTCTTAAAACATCTAACATACATCAAAGCAGAAAGGCATTTATCGTGTTTGTCTTGACAGCAAGAATTGGAAAAACTTTTTCTTTTTCTTACAAGACCTTTAAAAAACTTTATATAACCATGACCAACTACTTTTATGCACGGAAAAAGACTTGTTGGTCATCATAACCTGAGAAAACCGTCTTAAAATTCGCTTTACATATTTCGGCGAACGTTTAAATATTGCCTGTGTAATTAGTAATCTATTCTCAGCTTTCTGGCAAAGTCTGTCTATGGATTGATGAGTATAATGCTTGGATCATTGTTGCTATTAATACCATTTCACTTGCGATGCTTTAAAACACTTGTAGTCTTCAATCAACCTCAATGATTGCTTTGAAGTGTCTCTATCCCTTACTTGTAAATCATTCCACAAAATATAGGCAGACTGTCAAAGATTATTCTCTTAATTTCTCAAAGAATTTATCGGGCTAAGCGTTTATCTTTTTGTTGCCTTCCTCTTTGAGTTAGAGCGCGGAAATTATTTATTACAGATGAATAAATCTTAGAAATATTCAATAATACCAGGGGTCATTTCATCAACAAGCCAAGCGAAAACTGTTGATGTCGGCAATGTTTAAAAGATAAAAATGAGTTTTGCTCATCGATTATCAGATACAACGTTCGTTTTTAGTCACCTAGGCCGTGAACTAATGATTGAAAATCTTGAAGACAAGATAAGCCTATAGCAAACACTAGCCCAGTATGTTGATTCTTAATCTTTGTTTTCAAACTGCAGGTCTACGTGTATGTTTACTGTTTTGATGCAAAGGAGGCCGCGATGAGGACGAAGCAGATGGTTTGATCCTGACGTTGTCGTCCATCAATTGGCGCCGTAGCGTTTCAAAAACACACGACTTTTAAAGTACAAAATTACCTGTAACTATATCCCAGTAGTGTATTACACCGCGATTACAGTACAGATATCACAATACAGTCTTGAATGACGGGAGTGCTATTAGATTTCGTGAGCTACCATCTTCGCTGGAAGTACCGAGAGTTTGTATCAAACATGGTGTGCGTGCCGGCATTGCTTGGTATTGTTCTAGTGTATTTTATTGTATTTATTCTGCGTTTTCTTCATCATAAACAAACGTTTGAAAGTCGCTTGTACTACAAGAAGTCAAGACTTGGTGTTTTATTAGTGAAAAAGTGTAAGCGATTAAGCCAGCCCTTTGTACCGTGCTTCTGGGCTTGCAATGCTCATCTTCAATCCATACTTCCATGGATTTTACCTCAGATTGAGACCGAGTTCAGTCGTGAATACTTGCAGATGGCCGATAAGGGCGTCATTGCATTAGATTGGGCTGTTGTTAACGAGAGAGCACTTGACAAAGATAGCCCTGTATTGATCATAATTCCAGCACTTCCACAAAGTACTGCTGACATGAGCTCGCTTTGTGCTTACGCACTGTCTAGAAAGTATCGACCTGTAGTGTTTTTGCGGCGAGGACACGGCAAAATGCCTCTAACGACTCGCCGTTTGCAGACATTCGCAGAAGTTGGTGATCTCGAGGAAACTATTGTATTTGTGAATCGTATGTATCCTACTGCTGAGATCTGCGCGGTAGGAATATCATCAGGATCTGGTTTACTCATCTCATATCTAGGAGAACTGGGAAATAATTGTGGGCTGAAATCAGCTGTTTGCGTTTCTCCTTGTTATGATGCCGAGACGTACTTTAAAGGGAAACTATGGCAGCCTTATAACTGGCTTTATACTTGGAAACTTAAAAACTTACTCAGACAACATCCTTGTCTTCGTGAATGTCTCAACTATGAGTACGCTATGGATAGTCAGACAGTAAAAGATTTTGAAGAACGAGTCTTTATGAAACTAAACCCCCAGTACTACTCCCCTGAGGAATATTGGCGCTTAAATAACCCCATGAGAAATGTAGCAAATGTTAGCATTCCAGTATTATGCGTGAATGCATTGGACGATCCTGTTTGCCCTAAAGAAGTTATTCCTTTCAGCCTGTTTAAAACGTCTTCGAATTTCTTCCTTCTTACGACGGAAAAGGGAGGTCATTGCGGCTTCTTAGAGAACACAATACCAGCATCATGGACAAATTCTTTGGTTTGTGACTATCTGGAGACTATTATAAGCATCGAAATACCCAAGGCACCCGAGGACAACCATTTAACAATATTGGATAAACTAGGGCCGCGAAGCCGAAGCTACACGACTTAACATTGTAAATAATAAATTGACTTAATTCAACATACATGACAACATCACTCTAGTAACAATGTACATGATAGCTTATCCATGTTGTGAACAGAATATGAATAATGATCACAAACTCAAATCCCCGTCATTATCAAACCCTCTAAATCGACAATTTATCATTTGTGTTGATTCTCGTACTATATTTGAGACAACTTGCATTTTTACGACAATAAACCATCAGTATAGACTCTATAGCAATGAGCAAACTAGATAAGACAATATCATTCTTTTTCACGTAAACATTGTCAAAATACATTCATATCGTAAAAAATCCTTTGTCACGTAGTTTTGCTGTAGAATCGAAATCAAGCAGAGAGTAAAGTTAATCTATTATTGTTACATTCAAAGGAATTTTTTGTTTTCATTCTTGATTTAATTAAAAAAGATGCAACTTTCTATTGCCCCAGGCCAAATGGTATTCGATGTTTTGTTTTAAGTCTGAGTGTTTTTATTACTGATATTACGGCGAATAAATGATGAAAAAAATTAAGGAAATGGAAATACTGAACAAACATTTTCGTTTTTTAATGCTCTCCAGGTTATTGCCAATGATGATGTAATGCATGTGACATCATAGCAAAAAATCTCGATATTTTTTCTCTAGAGTTCTTCTTGCAGTATATATCTTAAATATACTTCTAGATAGTGTGTATGCAAATTTTCATACAAATTCGACGTATTGGTGGCGAAACACAAGTTTTAGTTTGTGCGGAGTTTCACTTCATTCTACTTTTAGATCGTAAATAAAAACTTCGAAATTGGATAAATCATTCTTTCAACTCAACTCCGTAAGAACTTACTTCAGGTGATTTTTCTTTGAAATAAAGACATAATTGAACAAAATTTACAAAGGAAACCAGAGTTTTTGAAGACAATTTGAAATCAGCCGCCATCTTGGATGATCAAAGTTGTCATCCAAGATGGCGTCCCCATACAAATTAACCAAATATTTCAAATCTTCATTCGCTGATATATCTTCATCAGAAAGTAAGCTGCAAGCCTTAAAGCTCGTATTCTAGATAATCTGACTATGCTCTTTATGGACTTGCTACTTGGTTTTTGAAAATAACGACTAATAATTTTTCACTTCAGGGTTGCACATCAAATAATACGGCGTCTGAGACGCTTCCTAACAACAAATCTTTACAGATTGCGTAAAGACGGAGTCACTACGTACAATCTACACAGATAGAAGTTAATGAGAGGACCTTAAATGACAATAGTCATTCCGGTTTCTTTCCCTTTCTCAAATGTTTCAGACTAATCAAGCACTGCGTTACACTTCTGCAGAGTAATTTAATCATAAATTATCAATAAATATAATAACTGCTCCTGTTTATTGCGATTATGGAAATTCAACAAAAGCAGGGATTACTAATGAGCAAGGGAACAATGGCCAACACCTTTCTAGTATTCCTGTACTGATGTCTTCACGGTTTAATGAATGCGTTACAACTTGTCACGCACGGCCCTCACGCAAATGTCTTGTGCAGATTAGGAGTGAGAAACCTACTTTAAGACGAAATTCCCAGCTTCGTTTAGCAACATGGAACTCGCGCTCGATTAATAAGAAGTCTGCTGCTCTTTGTGATCTTGTTATTAGTAAACGGATTGACATTCTCGCACTAACGGAAACTTGGACATCTGAAAATGAAAACCATTCAAAGACACTAGCTTCCTCGATTGCTGGAGTCACAAATACTCTGAGAGATCACCAGTTCATACATATGCCCCGGTCTGAAGGTCGTGGGGGTGGGATCGGTGTTCTTCTACGCAAAAGCCTAATTGTAAAGCAGAATGAAATCATTGCTTTTCAGGCGTTGGAATACATGGACTTAAATATCTCTTGTAACCATAGCAACACTACATCCATCCGTTTGATTC